GGGGTATTTTAAATTTTTTTTTGGCTGTAATTCCAATTATAAATTCAATTTGGGGTTTATTTCCAAAAAAAAATATAACAAAAATTGTAAGCGTTTCTGCCTAGCTAAGTTAGCCATTTTGTCTATGTGGTTTAGACACTCAATATTGTACCTATGTTTTTAGACTTGACATGAGTTCTTGATACACTCAAATTAAAATAAATTTATTAAATTAATTATTTTAGGAAAAATGGTATGATGGTTACTCGGTGAGTTTAAAAAAACTTTTAATTCAAAAATTGTTTAGAAATTTTTTTCGGATTTAAAAAAATAAGGTGTTGGGGGGGGGGGGGGAGGGGGGGGTAGGTTATGAACAAGAATCTAAAAAATCTTCAAGAAATTTTTTCCTTTTAAATTCCTAAAAATTTTTGTTTTAAAAAAGATTTTCTACGTTGACGGTGATGGTTTAGTATATAAATTTACATTACAAAAAATAATGCCAGATGACGAATCTTCACTACAAAAATTTAAAGGAACAAAAGAATTTGTTAAAAAAGTAGTTACACAAAATGTAGCAAATTATAATGAAAAACAACAAATTGTTAATTTAAAACAAAGCTCAATAAAAAATTAATTTTTTATTTTAATTTATTTGCATCTACGAAAGGTTTTGATACAAATGGGGGTAAATTCAAACCCGTTATAAATTGATAAATCTGAATTATTTTTAACTTTTCTATTTTATTGCTCCATTTTTGCTTTCTAAAAGTAGGGTTTCCGTTTTCGAGTCGGGCCGATGATCGGGGCATTTTTCGGGCCTCATTTTTATCGAATCAGGCCTGTACGAGTAACTTTCGGCCTGCCCAAATCATCCATAATTATTTTTCTAATGTTTTGTTGTGTATGGGCGTCAGCCCTTAAAAGTGTTAGTATAAAAGCCCAGCCAATAGTTAGTTCGTTGTCTCAGTTTTAGTTCTTCTTCCTACCCCAACCTTCGTCTACTTTGTATTTCTTTGTGCAATAAACGTTTCTGTTAGCTTCCTCTACGTAACCGGGGTCGTAACAGATTTGGCGCGGTCGTGTTCAAAAAGAACCTGGTCTCGACAACAGTTTCGTCAACTTCAGTGAGTGCTCGTCAACGTAAGCTGTGTGCAGTTCAGAAAAAGAAAATCTGTGTGGACAATTGTAGTGTAGTAAAACCAAAAAGGTTAGTGAAATTGTAGTGTAAAGTGTAGTGATAAAAAGTTTATTTTTTAGTGAGTGCAAAATGGATGCAAAAACAGTGGAGAAATTGTTGAAGGCTCAGCAAGAGCACTTTGAGAAAATGTTAGTGAGGCTCTTGAAGCCGAGTGAGTGGAACGACACCGAATTGTACAGCAAATTAGTTGGGATGATTGGTGAGTTCGTTTTTGATTTGACGAGTGGTATGACCTTTGAGTCATGGTTGGGCAGGCATCGGTCCTATTTTGAGGTGGAGGGTAAAACCCTGCCAGAATCCTCTAAAGTGAGATTGTTGTTGAGTAAATTGGGGCCAGAAGAGTATGCCCAAATTGAAAGGAAAATGCTGCCAACCAAGTTGAGTGAAATAAAGTTTTACGAACTCTGTAGTGAGTTAGTGAAAGAGTTTAGTGATCATAGGTCCAAATTGTTGAAAAGGTTCGAGGCCTTAAATGTTAAGTGTAGTGACCTCCAAGATATTGTTGAGTTTGGGAATGTAGTGAATGCTCAATGTGAGCGTGCAGAAATGGCCTTGTCGATTGAAGAATTGAAAATTCTTATTTTTATTTCAGGGTTGCCTAGTGATGCTACCTCAGTTCGACAAGTCGCAATGAAAAGTGTTGAAAGTAAAAGTGAAAGAGGACAGGCAGTAACCTTGAAAGAAATTATTGAAGAGTGTCGGGCATATTTGGCAAATAAAAGTGAGGCACTGTACCTGGTAAAAGAGAAAATTAGTGAAGTGAAGAAAGAAGTGCCTGTAGTCAACACAGTGCAAAAAGTGAAGTGTTGTAAAAAGAGTGAAAGTGAAATTGGAAGTGAGTGCAAAAAACAGTGGTCCAAACCAAACGTCAAGTATCAGCAAAATGTTATTGAGAAAAAGTGTAGTCATTGTGGACGTTTTGGTCACTGGCGTATGCATTGTAAGTTCTTGAAGAATAATCAATATCAGCCAAAAAGGCAGTGGAGTAATGATAATAATCGTTCAGGTTCTCCATATTGTGCAATTCTGGACATCTTAGATCCAATGCAAAGTGTGGAAAAAGAAGAGTGGATAAAGCAAAAAGTGAAGTTTGGAGAACTTAGTGTAGAAATGATTGTAGACACTGCATCGCAGATCAATCTTGTCACCAGTGAAGTGTGGAAAAGTATTGGACAGCCAACAATTGAAAAAGTGAATTACAGTGGTGTTGGGCTGGGTGACAACAAAGTTGAAATTGAAGGAAAATTCAGAAGCAAAGTGAGAGTGAAAGACAAAGACGTCTTTATGGAGTTCCATCTAGTGCATAGTGAAGTGTGTATCTTAGGGTTGCCTGGATTGAAAGAAGTGTCAAGTCGGAACCAAAAGCCCAAGTACCAAAAGTGGAATAAAAAGAAGGCACCATTCAAGATACAGAAAAATGCTTTTCCGAACGGCACAAAAGTGAAAGTGAAGAATACCAATAAAAGAAGTGGTAAAATCGAGTGGCTTCATGGAGAAGTAGTGAGAAAGACGGAAAATGCATGGAAAATCAAAGTGTCAGAGTTGAAGAGTATTGTGACCCGGACATTTAAAGAGATCCGTCGAGATGAGTGGAACAATAAAAAGAAATTGTTGAGTGAAGATATTCGGAATATGAATATTAGTGAAGAAAAAGTGTCCAGTGAAAGCAGTGTAACTTCATCGAGTGATAGCAGTGTGGACAACTCCAAGAGGATCAAGTCAAAGATGAAGGACAAAAGCGGGAACAATCCAAATATGAAAGATGTTGAAGACGATAATAATATGGAGACAGATGAGCCACATATATAAAATTTTGTGATAATATTGTTGTTGTATATTTTTTTGTAATGTTGTATGTATTTTTTGTTCCCATTGTCCTTATTCCCCCAAAATTATTGTATGTATTTTTTGTTTGTTGTTTGGCTGGAAAGTGTTAGTATATTGTAAAGCTTCGGCTTTAAGTGAAGCCGAACCTTTTTTTTAAGGGGGGAGGTGTTGTGTATGGGCGTCAGCCCTTAAAAGTGTTAGTATAAAAGCCCAGCCAATAGTTAGTTCGTTGTCTCAGTTTTAGTTCTTCTTCCTACCCCAACCTTCGTCTACTTTGTATTTCTTTGTGCAATAAACGTTTCTGTTAGCTTCCTCTACGTAACCGGGGTCGTAACATGTTTACTGCCCAAAACACTAACTGCCCATATGCTTACAGCCCAAGTCATTCACTGCCCAATTCAATTCCGGCGAAATCACACGGCACCAAACAAAAGTATTTTAATTAAATTCAACTTCCTCCACCTCGTTTTAAAATTACAATATAAATTGGCAAATTTTCAAATTTTATTTGTTAACGTATTTATATTTATAAGTTTTATGAGACAGCGATATCTTGCCTTCCTTTTCTTCATATCTTTCCCAAATTTTTGAATCCTTCAATGCTTCTTTAACAGTCTCCGGTTTGATTGTCAGAAATGCTTTGACCATCTCTTTAACTTTATTAATATAAATCTGAATTTGTTCAAGACTATCACAAGTCTTCCCAAGGCTGTAACGATGAAGCCTAAATAAAAATTAGCATCAGTTTATGTTAGTGTCCAGTAATTGGTTTTTATGAATATGTGCTAAAAAGTTTGTGCGTTCAATAAAATTTTGTACACCAATCAAAGCATAATAATCTGCCTACTAATTGTCATTGTAATTATAATAAATTACAATACAATGGCTAGCGGAAAATTATATAGCATCAATCAAAAACTAATATATGCACGAAAATGTGTCAAAAAAATTTTTGAATCAGAAAAATCGTTTGGACCTATAAAGTGCACTAGGGGCCGAAATTTTAAAATAATTAGATCTAAATTTATAAATATTTAAAAAACACTCACTCTTCTCCTGCACTATAACCAGCATCCAAAATAATGGAGGTAAGTCCATTGTCGACACGGCGAAACGTTTCGTTGTACACAAGAAATTCGCAAAATTTTCGAATTTCATCAGGTGACGTCAGGTGTATTTGCTGATCAAGAGCCAAAAGCTTTACACAATAAACAGCCGCGAAGTGTGAATTTCTTGCCGCTCGAATCCAGTCCTTTTTCTTAAAAAGACGTCTAGCATTCTCCACAAACAGCTCCGGCGAGTACCGTTTAAACATCTAAAATTAGATTTTTGAAAAACAAAAATTTTACTTAAAAAGAAAAATAAATTCTAACACAGGTATAGAAGAATAAGTTTGTGTTTTTCAAAGAATTTTCAAAAATCAGTCTTTCCTTAAAAACTCAAGAATATCACAATAACCGTTCAAAAGATTGTGTACTCAATCTAATAGAAATTTTTATGCAAAAAAGGACATTTTTTGTTGTAAACCACTAAAAACGGAAGGGTTTCTTTACTCGCCGGAGCTGTTTGTGGAGAATAAAATACTTTTTTATTTGCAACCCAATCAACAGGCCCATCTTGTGGTTTAGCCATTTCAAGCCAAATGCTACAAATATAAAAGGTCATTAAATTAATTAGCATTAATTCAAGAATACGTACGGGGATCCTTTAATTTCCTTAAACATCAACTCCTTCACTGCCTTATGTGCATCATCATCATTTGAAAAGCCAACGAAAGCATAATTATTCTAAAATTAGGGAAGCATTTTAAAAATCTTGATATTTTTATTATGGTTAATTTTGTTAATTTAAATGTTAAATTCATAGTTGAAATTGAAATGTAACTAAAAGTTCAGGAATGACATTAAAACAAAAATTTAACTGTAAATATGCCGAGTGATAAGGGTTTAAAAGATTTTGCGAAAATCATAATCTGGAATGGTCTACCATCTAAACCTCATTAGGAAATAATTCAAAACGTATCCAAAATAAATAATTTGGTGAGTCATTCGAAAAATGTTAGAAGAGGCATATGCCTGAAAGACGACTGATAAAGGACAAAACCGATAAGATTTCCAAAACGTGTAAAGAAATGACAGGATCAATTTCGGAACACTAAACAGATTCCGATTAGGACATACCTATTATATGTTATTCGACTCAGCTCGGCGAGCTCTTTTGAATGAGGTATAATTTGCATTTTCGAATTTTTCACCCCAAAAAAGTGCTTGGTCCCTCCTATGGTTTTTCGAAATTTAGGGTGCTGTATCTCGGCCCATAGTTACGTCCCAATCGAAATTTTGATGTCATTCAACTCAGCTCGACTAGCCCTTTCGATTGACATATTTGTCCCAATCGGAGTCTGTTTAGTATTCCGAAATTATACCTCAATTTCAATTTTTATAAAAATCGTATCAGTTTTTAAGAATTAAAAATGTTAAATGTAAACTTGTGCAATCCTGATATTGCTTATCTCGCCATAACCAGAGAAAAAAGATATTAAGTCCTTCATGTTGAGATTTTTTGGAATATTCCTCAACTAAATTTGTTTAAATAAAATTTAATTATTTAATTTAAAAAAATACATAAACAGATTTCTGGAGCGGTGAAGAAATAGAAAAGTTTCGGCATACTATTTTTGTCAAAAAATTGTGAAGCATCTCAATAATTAAAAAATAATTTTTGATTGAAATTGAGATAGCTAAGAAAAGAAAAATTAATTTAAAAGAACAGATGAAGTTACAAATGCAAAACAAATATATGTATAAACCATGGGAAATGTTAAAAATTTCCCATAATTTGTCCTTCCCCGAATTCGTCCCATATAAAAATGTACAATAGACTAAAATATTACAAATATGACCAAAAATCAGAATTTTTTGTGGAACGAAATCGGTATGGAAAAATTTGTTTTGCAGCGCTGTAGGCTTGAAAAATTAAAAAATAAATTTGTTATAATTATAAACAATTTGAAAAATCATCTTCATTATAGAAAAACTCTTTATTCATAATCAATTTAAATAGTAAAAGTGAATTTAACTAGATTTTAAAGGAAAAGTCTAATTTCACAAAGGCAAAAATACACCTAAAAATGGGAGGTAATAAAAAATAGAAAAAAAAGTTTAGTTATGTTCTCCCTCAATTAGAAATCCATTAGTTAAAAGTTCATTCAAATTTTCTAATGATTGTTGATTTTCTAATGGTGGAGGATCTATTTCTTCTTCAGGGATTGGCGCTGGTGGTTTTTTCTAAATAAAAAATTTTTAAAATTAAGGTATTGGAATAAATAGATTTTATTTTAGCGAAAAAGGAAAAAGTGTTAGTTAAAATTGGGAACAGAGCCGAGGCCTCACTATTTAGTTTAGGATAACGGAAGGTTAAAAGAAACCCCGATAAAAATATTTTTCAAAGTAAAGCATTGTCTTTGAAAAGTATCCAGAGGAAGTTTTGAAAAAATAATATGACACCCAGAATTGTTAAAACAGTCAGATCTTGTTTATATATCAACTTGAGTTTGGAATAGTATATTAAGATAAGAGGTATTTCACTTGGGAAGTTACAGCGGCCAAACAAAAATCGACTCGGATAGTTGAAAATCTTCGGATATCGTATCCAGTACCCGAACCGAAAATTTCCTGGTATCCGGCCTTTTTCCGAATCCGGATCTGACAGCCTTAGACTGTGATACATATACAAACTAAATCTGACTGTATTCTGACAGGCTTTAAGATTCTCCCAGAACAAAATGAAAGTGGGAAAAGATTAAAAGCCAAAAAGCACATTTAAAAAAAGAACGAAAAAACAATTTAACGTCGTCCAATGTTTTTTTTTGTATAAACTTAGTCGATTAATTTTAAATTTTATTTATTCAATGTTTTTTCGATCTCAAGCAGAATTAATTTTGAAAAGACAAAAACATTCACAAAACAAAAAAGAAAAACAAAAAATAAAAGCTTTTTAACTAACCAGGGAGAGCGAGTGAGAGGAACATCTCCTTCCGAATATTCCCACTACAAAGGCACAAATGAATTTAAATTTATTTTTTTTTTGATTTTTAGCAAGATGAAAGCAATAAATGTAAAGAGATTTTGAATGAAACGAATAAATAAGTAAAAATTTAAGCAAAGGAACCGGGAATATAAAAAAAGAAATTTCAAAGATTTTTAAACTTACCACCTCTCCAGGTTTAGCTCTATAAGTATCAACAGCATCTACTTTGAATTTGAACATTTCGATTAGACAACCTAAAAACAATTTTTTAAATAATTATTTAAAAGTAGAAAAATTAGTTTTTAAGGATCCGAAGATTTCAAACAATATTTAGCGACAAATTAATTGTCCGAAAATATCTTCGAAAAAAATATAAAAAAGTGATGTATAAAGTGAGGATGAATGGAAGTCAGGTCTGGATTTCAAAATTTTCTTCGGGGTGGTTTAGGTCAACTGAAGAATTTTCAGAACTTCCATGAAAAATAATGGATTTTGAGGGTCTCGTTTCAGGTCAAAAAAAGTTCAGAAACCCTATTCACCCCTGTCTTATAGCTCACAAAAGTTTATCTAAATAAAGCAGTTTGTGGAGAACAAAAGCTTTTATTTGCCCGTAAATATTGTCAATAAAAAATTTCCGAAAAAACTAGAAAAAATACAAAACTAACTATAAGCTTTCGGTGTCAGTTTAATTACTGTGTGCAATGGGACATCCAAATAAGGCAACTCTTCACGATTTTTATTATTAAAATAGGCAAGAATACCTTAAAATTTGGTTAAAAATTAAAAAGTTTTAAAAATTTACAGCGGAGAACAGCTTGATGTGAAACGACAAGAACGTTTGACTGCCTAAAAATTGTTTTAAAAAATTATAAAATTGTTAAACATATTTTTTACTAAAAAAACTCCATAATATTCCAATAATTTATCGAGCTTGACTTTCGAACTATTAGGTGCGGACATAATTAGTGACACATTTTTTCAATCGCGGATAAAAATATTAAACTCTATTATTTTTCTCTTAATTTATATATCATTTTAAAGCATTTTAAGCAAACCAAAATTTCTAATCACTTTTTTACTTAAAAAGAGGTCAAGCAAAAAATATAAATTTAGATTTGAAAAAAAAAAGAAATTATGTCCCTTCTCTATGGTCAAAAATTCAGGTTTAAATATTTACGATTTTAGATTACCAAAAAATAAAATAGAAAACCTTTCCAACTCCATAATTACAGGTTCTAAACGAGCAACCAAATCTTCATAACTTTCTCCAGATGGATATCTGTAATGATATTTGTCCTTGTCTCTTTCAATAAATTGTGTTGGATAACGTAATTCAAAATCTTTATAAGTCAATCCTTCACAAATTCCCTTTAAAAATTAAAAATTTTATTCAAAAACTCAAAAATATACAGCATCAATTTCATCCAAAACTTTCCAATATTCTACATGGGCAGCCAAATCTTTGAGGTAATTGGCTGTTTGGGCAGCTCTAATTTTTTGTGAACTCCAAATTCGTAAATCACCAATATTTTCATGCTTAAATTAATTAAAAAAAATAAAATACTCTGATTTTATATTTCTAAAAAGGGACAAAATGTCACTTAATGGTTATAACTAGAGGTCGACACGGGATAGGATCCGTACGGGATTTTACGGGATCCTGTCCCGAAATCCCGTATTTTAAGTGACAAACGGGATTATCGGGATTTACGGGAGAAATCCCGCAAATCCTGTCTCGCAAAAATTTTTGAAAAAAATCCCGTTACGGGATCCCGTGAATGCGATTTTACCGACCTTTAGTTATAATATTTTACTCGGCTAGTAAAAATAATTTACTGGGGATTTCACGGATTTTAGGTGATATTTTGCTATTTCGGCATTTTATAATATTTTGTCAAAAAATTTATATCTCAAATAACAAAAAAAATTAAAAACCTGAAAATATCCATGCAGTTTCTGTGCATAATTAATACCATTTTCGCTAAGGGGGCTGTCTCCTCCTAATCTTCCAATTCTATTATATTCACTCTCTCCATGCTTAAAATAAAAATTAAAAAAAAATCCTTAAAAATTAATTTACCCTTGTTAAATAAATTGAACGAGGCAATAAATGAATATTCATCAAAAAATAGACTACTCGACTTTGGACGTGGCCATTTACGTTGTGAACATAAAAAGAACGTCCAGCATTAATTACCTTTAAAATTAAGAATAAATAGGCAAATAAATATTATTTTAGATAGACAAAGCTAATTGTCTTTTAAATTGGCTTTGGTGCAGTTGGAAAATTCGAAATTCCGTCCCAATAGGAATATTATTTTACTAAACCTTACCACTTTAATTTAAATTTAAAACCCAGCGTTAGGAAAATTTTTAAGCCTCGAAAGATTTTTTCCCCAAAAAATAAAAACCTTAATGTAAGAAAGGTCGTCATCAATATCGTCATTTAAAGGCTCATATTGAATTTTATAATTTTCAATTCGTTTTAAAAAATCTTGACGTGCTTCTTCTTCAGTCATTTTTCCCATATAATCGGGAGAACTTATTTTGACTTCCTAAAAATTTAAAATAAGTTAGTTCAATTTTTGAAATAAATTTAAATATTTCTTTTTATTTGGGAATGTCGATCTCGAATCTGACATTAATTTGCTATTTATTTAAGAAAGTTATAATTTTTCTTTAAAGGAAAGGGTTGTTTAATTTTTTTCAACAAATTAAACATCAACAAAATATTAGTGTTTCACCGGAAACGAAATTTTGACCGGAACCGGAACTTCCGGTGAAACTCTACAAAATATATTATCCGTGCTCACTCAACATTGCCTAAAAACAACACAAAATTTTCCAAAAAATTAATTTTTTTAATTAAAAATAGGCGAGCGAACTTCTCTCTTCAAAAAAACTTTTAAAAAAAACTAACCGCAATATTCGAATTAATAATTTCTGGATCATCACAAATACTTTCAATAAAAAATATTCGAAATTTTGGCTCTCTTTCCCCTTCTTGACAAAAATCAACTAGCCACCTTCTCCTTTCCCTTGTTGTATTTGTTGCATCGAAAATCTTAAAAAATTTATTTTTATTTTTTTAAAGAAAACTTTTCACAAACCGCAACTTCCCCCTCCTTATTTTCCAAATATCTACCCATATCTTCCATTGCTAGTTTGGCACAGTGACTGGAAAAATAATTTTTTTAATCTTTAAAAATTTTAAATTACTCTCGAATTTGTGTTCCTTGTTCATTAAGTGGACTAAAAAAATCTGAAGCACCTTGTTGAAAAAAATCACAGGCTTGGCGTCTATACTCACCAACATTAAAGGCTAAAAATATTATTTAAATAAATTTGAATTGGAAAATGAATGGGAAAATGAATTTTTGAGATCTTCAATTTCGTAAAAATTAAAATGGTTTCGACTAGTCTGGAATGAAATTTCATTTTCAGACATATCTGGGAGAAAACAGAAAGTTTTAAACACCGAATAGGTGGTCCAAAATTATTAGTGATTGAGATGTTAATATGTAAGTATGAGTAAAGTACTAATCTTCTTATCCACATAATGGGTAAAAGCATTGACTGAAAAACCCTAGACGTAATAACACCTTAAATCACAAAAACTATGAGTAAAGAAAATCTACATAAACACCGACATCTCGATTTGTAGAAAATTTTAGTTTAATGAACAAACTAAATTTCGATAAATATTAATATCCACCTAAAAAAAGAATTTAAATATTAAAATACCTTTAGTTTTAATTCCAATCCAATTTAAATATCTACAAAGTTTGTGGGAAATATCTTTAAAAAATTAAAATTAGATCATATTTTAGCATACATATAACACTCATCCTAAACTTTTTGATTCTTCCTCTAAAAATGATTTTGTAAACAATCAAAGCCAAAAAGGGGAAAGTTTGGATAAAATAAAAATTAAAAAACATTTTTGTTCTTACAAGTTTTTCCTCTAGCAGGCAATCCAACCAAAGCAATGACATTAGGTACCCGTACTTGATCGCGTGTTGAATCTAAAATTAATTTTTAGAAAAATGTTTTCTTAATTAATAATATAATTTGTTTACACTGATGAACTCTTGTATGCATCTTTTATAGAAATTAATAGTTAAGATTAGAATTATATTTTTAGTTAATTTACAAAATAATTATTTTTATGTACATTTATTTTATCTAGAAAAATTATTGGTATACTCATTGGAAAAAGAAAATAGTAACAAGAAATATTTACAAGGACAAATAATTAAAGTAATTAATTAACAAAAAATGTCCGCAAAATAAATACGCAAAAAAATAAAACATTTCGCCAAATTATTCCAAAATTTAAAAATGTCTTAACTTGAACGAACGCTACAAAGGAAAATTCTCCATAAAAAAACCACTGAATAATCCCAAACTTTAATTTCCTTACCTTGAATTCCTTTAACTTCAAAATATGTCATCTTTCTTTGTGGCACTATTCGACCCATCTTTTCTTTTAAGCAAGTGTTAATTTATAAAATAAAGTCTAATCTCGGTTTTAAATATTAATTTTTGTTTTTTCTAATTATTTGATTTTTTTCTAAAACTTATGTGTTTTTATTTTCCCATTTATTTAATTAACCTCAATTTTCTATCAAAACCTAAATATTTTATTACAACATAAACATGTGTTTAATCAAATAAATCAATTAATGACGAGTTAAAGATAAAATATAAAAAGATAGAGAAGGTAAAGAATAGGGGGAATTATTGGGTACTTTGGCCTTTAATGTTGTACATATATTTGGTTTTTTGGGGTTTTTTTGAAAACCTTTTTCTTTGGTTTTTTTTGAAAAACGGAAAAAAAACTCGTCTGGGAGAATTAATTATTGTTTAAGGAAAATTGGGGAATAAAAGAAATTAGGAAATTGAATTTTCCATGATCAGAAGAAAAGGTGATTTTTATACAATCAAGCCTCATTTTTAGATTCTTCTTAAGGATGAAAAAATCGTATTTTATATAATGTCAAGGAGTTTACAGTTAGTGACAACTTTGCACCCAGTGTCCAGCCAAATTGATTAATTAGGCGTGTCTTGGTGTGTCTTAAATTTTAGGTGTGTCTTGTGGGAGTATTTAAAAGTTAGTGCGTAATTTTATAAGATTCAAGTACCCTAACTACCCTAGCAAGTAAATAACCAAATATAAAGTTTATTCTAAAATTAATAACAAGACCTGAAAACAATTGTTTTTTTGTCTGAACGCGAAATTTATTTTTCTTTTATTTTTTTTTTCTCTTTTAACTTCCTTGCTTCCTCACTCACATAGTTAACTCCTAAAAATTGATAAAAATATTCAATTTAAAAAATATTAAAAAAAACCAACCATTATAGCATTAACCAAATCATTATCAGCTTTTCGGAGCGCTTTTATTGCTTTGTTTCTAGAAACATTCGCTTGCGACATAACTAACTCAATATCCTTTTCCTCAATTCCAGTAGCATCCACCTAAATAGTTAGAAATTATTTATTTGTTTTTGAGGGAAAAATTGAAAACACAATGTTCAACTTGGATTTTCCTTCCTAACATTTTTCCCACCTTGTTCGAGGATTTTTTTGAGAATATCCACCAACCAGTATTTTAAATATCGTTGCCCGTGTTTAAAAAAAATTTTTGGTTAGGAAAAGCTCTTCAAGTTCAGGCACCTGGGCCCGTAGAATAAATTCGGGGTAAGGGTTATTTAACCCCTACACGAGGGTCAAATAACTCTCAACCCGCAGCATAAATTCCTACCCTGAGTTCAGGGTTAAACAACCCGGTAGTTTAACCCAAAACCCCGAGTAGCTTTTCATATTGGTAGAATAAATTATTTACTCGGGTCAAATAACCCTCAGCTAAGGGTAAAATTGTTACACTGGTCGGGGGCAGTGTAACAGGGTAAAAAGCGTCTCGAATGCTATTTTCCAAAATATATTAAGTTTTCAAAGTTATAAAAAAATTTTATATGCAAAAAATGAAAAAATATTTATGAAAATTTTTTTTTGAAAATCCAGGTTTGGATCCGGGTCTAAAAAATTCGGATTTTGATCCGGAAAGTCCAGTCCAGATGAGAATAAATTAAAATCCGGCTGATGTGAGACTCACCCCCCCCAAATTACCCTCATTTCTAATTTAAAACTAAAAACAAACCTCTTCCTCATCACTTTCCTCCTCCGGTTGAGCCATTCTGTTACGCACATCACGAATAATTGAAGGAGGCTTCAAATTCTCAACATCAGTAATTTGCGCATGCTGAGCCAAATCTTCAATCTTTGCCTCACCAAAAACAATATAAGTGTCAGAACCAGGGCTTTTATAGACATCTGGTTTGTTGATAACAAAAAGAATATTCTTGGATTTGCGAATGCAAACACGAGAAACGCCGTGAACTTGTTTAAGGCCTAATTAAACATTTAAAAAAATATTTAGAATTCAAATTTATTTACCAAGTTTGCTGAACAGCTTACGTGCCTTCTTCTCGGAACGCGATTGCTTGGCACCCTTATCAGTCACCTAAAAATTTAAAAGAAATGTAATGTCAATCTATAAGTGATCGAGATTCAAATAGGCATGGAAACTGAGGGTACCAAAAAATTCTAATGAAAATTAGATTGAGACGAGTCTGGCCCAAGCCAAAACAATCAAACAAAGCATGTTTTAAAAACCTGTTCTGCAATCCCAGCAGCCTCGGCTACTTTCTTTTGGTCTTCAGTCACTTCCCCTTCTTCCAACTCTGGCACATCCCCATCAGAACTAGAACCATCATCAGCAGATTCCTTCTTCTCATTTTCATCCTTGTTTGGTACAGCGCTAGTAATGTCATCAGCAGTCACCATTTTTTCTTTAATTATTTTCCTGTTAACTAAAAACTTTAAAAATTTAATTTTATAAAGTTAGATATTTTTGAAAGTTAAAAACATAATTTTTAGAAAAAAATAAAAAAAGAATCATTTATTTATTAGAAAGTAAATACACAAAATCTTTATTAGAAAACTGGCTTTAAATTTGCCATTTCCTTAAATTAATATTTATTTTCTCACATTATTTAGTCAAATTACTTTGGTTAAGAAATATTTTTAATAAAATACATATAGGAGTATTTACTTTTTAGTTAAACCTAATTTTTGTTAATCTTAAATAGCACAAATTACAATTATTGAATGTTTGGTTAGATAGCTTCAATTTTCTAAATATTTTCACATTTGTTTAAATTAGAAGACATGGCCATAAATTATATATTACAGTCAAATTATTTTTGTATTTCAGATTGGGAGAGGATTAGAAAATTTTATAACTTGACTCGAGGGAAGAGGGTCAGCCTTCTAAAAGAGTCAGTTATGAACAGTGCTGGGTATGGCTCCGGGAGCACTGGTTATGACCCAGCACTGGTTATGACAAAGATTCTAAATAGTGTGTTCCATATATAAATCCTTTTGGCGGTTAACCTCTCAAAATCTTTATCAAATCTATGGCCACACCCAAAAACACATACATAAGATAGAATTTATCCGTATTTATTTTCTAACTTTTACTTTTTAAATATCTATTTTTTATTCGTTGCCAAAACCTTCAGTCATCTCAATGGCAGCAGTTAGTTTTTCTGCAAGTTGCTCATAAGAGCGATATGGTGGCAAATCAAGGCGATTAAAACAAGTATGTGAACGTGGCAACCATCCCTCTTTTCCCACCCTTTCAATACAAAATAATTGAGGGCCATTTGAACCAATTAATTCAGCAAAACCGCCAACAGGCACACGACATGTCCTAATCCATTCATGTTATTTAAAAAATTAATCTTAAAAAGATAACAAACCCTGTAACAAATTGTAACAATTTGGAATGTTTTTCTTGATCCAAAGATCGAACAAATTGCCAGAACCACTGAATTTGTTTACTTTGTGGAGCATAATGTCGATAAACAGTATTTCGCTGCCAATCATCTACATCAATATTTTGCATTCCACATAAAAGCAATTCAAGTTCACGTTCATCAAAATACTAAAAAATTCTCTAATCTAAATATATTTTCTTTCCAAACCTGTAGCCATTGAAGAGGAAAAATAGATGTAAATCCTTGAAAGAAAGCATTTGTTTGTTGTTCAATTCCTCTATTAAATCTCCATTCTACCAATAATTCTATATATTCAACTTTATTCTCTTCATTAACGGCAATTTCTGTTCCATTTTCTTTTAATTCATGTGTCTTCACTTCACCCAACAATTCATAATCTACCACAAAATATAATTCCATATCACATTCATCAATGTTATTATCACGAACTTAAAAATAAAAATTTCTCAATCTTATGCACCTCCCCCCTCTCAAAAAAAAACTTACTCCAAACAATTGAATTGTAAAACTCTGAGTCAACAGATTCCAAATCTTTAAGAGTTATTTTTCGGCTAAGCATCTTCTTGTAAAAAGGAAGAGTAAATCCACTATAGATAAATTTTCCATGAAACAAAGCCTTTAAATAAAAATATTTTTCAAAGCTTTTAAAACAAACCATTGCAATAAAACGACCAATAAATTCAAAATATTTTAAATGATCAGGATTTACAAAAGAAGCAGGGTTTATTTGAAGACTATAATTATTTGAATTGGCATATTCGAAGAGACAATACATAGGGTTGAGCACATCATGAGAAAGTAAGAAGAACCATTCTCTGTATAATTAAAGAAGTGAAGGTTTTTAAGCTTATTAGAAGAAACTAATTATCAACCGTCAGAAAATAAACCGTTCGATTTCCTATTTAAAAAATATGACATGTATCGACAGTCCAGTTAAAAAGCATAAGAATATCCCCAGTATGGTCCATTAAAATTATATTGTTTAAACAGTAACTAACCTAGCAACACCTCCATAGTCAAGTCCATCTTCTCCTTTAAATTGAATATATAAACGATTACGAAATTCTATTGGACTCTTTCTCATGACCTGTTAAAAAATAAATTAAAAATAAATTTGACTTAAAGATTAAACCTCTTGAAACGAATCCTCAAAAAGGTTTTGACGAGTAACAGAAATTTTTACATGTTTAGGAAAAGCATTAGACTAAAAAACGTTTTTTGTATTCTTTTAATTAAAAAATGACTAACATAACACAGATAACGGAATTGAGCAACTTTGTTCTTAAACGTCTTATCTGAAGCCATTTGAAGTCCAGGCCCTCCTAGCGGTCCAACAGGACGTCCAGTACGAGGATGGTTATAAGTTGTTGACTTAGTATTGTGATCAATGAAGAAAGGAATTCCTTGTTCAGTTATACGCATTTCCCATCCTTCGGGTAGTGGAGCGTTAGGAAGACTGAATTTTTAAAATTACACTCGTTCAAGAAAACAAAAGATTACCCCTGAGTTCGTGGGTCCTCCCATTGAGTTGTTCGGTTTTGATGATTTACAAAGTAATTTCGTCCAGTGTTGGGTTCTACTCTGCGCTCCCATCCAGTAGGCAATGGACCCAAATGATCCTCTTCTTCAGACTTGAATTATAAATTTATTCAACAAACAACTTTTCTAACAAATAAGGTTGTCGGATAGTTGGAAATCTTCGGATATCCGGATCCGGATTCGGTATCCGAACCGAAATTTTCGGATATCCGGATCCGGATCCGATATCCGAACCGAAATTTTCGGATATCCGGATTAAGGTTGTCGGATAGTTGGAAATCTTCGGATATCCGGATCCGGATTCGGTATCCGAACCGAAATTTTCGGATATCCGGATCCGGATCCGATATCCGAACCGAAATTTTCGGATATCCGGATCCGGAACCGAAATTTTTATTTTCAAAATTTTCGCCTGCGGCGCTGTAGTTGAGTCCCTATGGATGATATAGAGGGATTAAGATCAATTATAAATGGATTTGGGGAATTAACAGAGGTATTAAGGGAATTTAGGACTAACAGAGTTATCGATGTGAGTAATGAGTTATTTGGGGAATTAATAGAGACATCGGGTATTTTCTTACATTTAAGATTGGTGGGTTAAGGGCTGGGGGTTGGGAATTACGAGAGATATTGAGGGATCTATTGCTTAATCCCCTATATCCCCTCTAATCCCAATATCCTTCAAGGGCGTATCCAGGGGGTAGCTTCGGGGGGGGGGGGGGGGCATTTGAGTTTTTACAACTGTTTACAACTCTTTCTCTTTTAGCGCCGCAGGCGAAAATTTTGGGTATTTTTGAGGTCCTTAAGCTAGATTTCTTCATTTCCTGCGCCGCAGGCGAACATTTTGAGAATTTTAGAAGGCCGTAGGCCAAAACGATCACTTTTTCACCGCTGCAGGCAAAAATTTTGAGAATTTTGGAGGTCCTTAAGCCATTCTTCCATTTTCAGCGCCGCAGGCGGAAATTTTGAGAATTTTGGAGCTCAAGAAGCCAGATTTCTTCCATTTTTGGCGCCGCAGGCGAAAAATTTGTGAATTTTTGAAGACCAATTGACCACATTTCTTCCATCTTCAGCGCCGCAGGCGAAAATTTTGGGAATTTTGGAAGACCAATGGGCAAGATTTCACCCTTTTTTCGTAATTCTAGGATCCGAACCGAAATTTTCGGATATCCGGATCCGGATCCGATATCCGAACCGAAAATTTCGGATATCCGGATCCGGATCCGATATCCGAACCGAAAATTTCGGATATCCGGATCCGGTATCCGAACCGAAAATTTCCGGATATCCGGCCTTTTTTCGGATCCGGATATCCGGATCCGACAACCTTACTAACAAACATTGTAAAGAAAACGCTGTTCCCATTGACTCATAGCTTGAGAACGATTGGAGTTCCATTGCTCGTGAGCAGCTAGCATATCAAGAGTAGGCCTTTGCCAAGTTGTAGTTCTAGTGTTATGATCAACATAATAAACACGCCCTCGATTATCACGTCGCGATTCCCAACCTTGGGGTAGTGGAGTATTACTTGGTCTGTAAGTATACATTTTATAAAATCAAAAAAGTTAAACTTTACCTGACCCATGTAGTACTCTTAGTCGTGTGGTCAACGTAGTAACGCCTTCCAAACTGGTCTGAACGCATTTCCCAACCTGAAGGAAGTGGCTCTTCGCCAGCAGTATTAAGGGCAGCCTCCGTTTGTGGCATTATTGTATCACGAGTTTTTGGCGCATTTACAAGTTCCCCATTAGCAACTAATAGAAAAGTTATTAAACAAAAAATTTTACTACCTGCATTTATTCCAGTTGATGTTGACGGCTCGTTACTCTCGTTACTAAAAGTAGCAGGAAGCTCTTGGACTACAGAAGGTGTAGCAGAAGTCCCTCGTGTACATCCTTAATAATAAAAATGTTCCTATTGTTATCCAAAATCACAAAATTTCATTTAAAGTTCGATTCAACTCTGCCAACCCAAGACATTCAGAAATGACTAAGCGAGATTCTGAAAATATAGGAGCACGGAAAAAACGAAAGGGAAAACGAGGATCAGACCCTGATTGATAAGAAAGCAAACCACGTCTGGTCCTCTCAATTGTTCCATTGACATAAACTTTAAGCTCGCCAGTCTTCGATTCACGATCTCTTGCATCTTTTGAGATTAATGGAATGGTTATCTTTACATTGTCAACTAAAAAATTTTTTCAAAACAAAGATTAACTAAAAAATATTTTACATTTGCCATTATCAGATTCTTTCTTAACCCAATGCATAACCTTTATGGTCTTCGAAGCTATCAAATTGTCATCAAAAAATTTAGTTTTGCTAAATATTTTGAATTCAATCAAGGAATTCTCTCCAACAATTAAATTAAAAGGTTCATCCCATTGAGGTGAATAAGTTCGTTTTTTGGTACTTGTTCTCTTTGCTAGTTCAGCATTTGAGTCAACAATAATCTCTAAATAAACATCTGGAGCTTTGTTGAACAAACCACCACCATTTAGTCGAGCAGTGTGAACTTTAAAAGGAAAATAAATTTAAACAAAGTTTTTTTAAAGAAACCTGTAAGTTGGATAGGAAAGGTTCTTGAAGTAGGCTCTTGAATGTTGACATAACCATTTGAGAATACAGAAGCAAAACTGTTGCTGTGTGCCATCAGATATAAAAATTTATTTACGATATATACAGCAACCTAAAAATTATTTAAAACTTTTTTTGGTTATTCGTAAATAGAATGAACGATAACGGAAAGGATATTGAACATAGAGGTCGGCGCGACGGGATCACGCCGGGATTTTCCGTGATACCGATCCCGGATTTTTTTGATTTTCGGGATTCGGGATTTATCCCTCGGGATCCCGTCCCGGCATCGATTAGGAAAAAATCCCGACTCGGGATCCCGGAAGTGCGATTCTGCCGACATTGAAACAATTCTTCTTTAAAGTACCTACTTTCCAAGACAATTACAAATCAATTTACTTACTAACATAAGAAACCTACACTTTCATTTCATACTAAACAAATTTAAATAAAAAGTTAATAAACTACACCTCGATGACGAATCCTTATCAAAACAACAACTGATTTTAAAACAAACAACTTAAAAAGAGATAAACGTGTGAAACGTCAATAAGTCCCAATTTGGGCGAAAATAGCGTGTAAAATAAAGAGAGACAGTTAGAGATATTAAAAATACAATGGAAAAGAAAAGAGAAAAATCCGTGCCCGCTCAAAACATCAAACTCTTAAAATATCTAGACGAGTAAAAAAGCTCAAAATATCTAGACGGTTAAAGAATCTCAAAATATCTAGACGGCTATAAAATCTAAAAATATATTTTCTTAAAACGTCAAACTCTTAAAATATATTTACGGGTAAAATATCTCAAAATATCAAAATATATTTTTTCAATTAAAAGGGACAGTTGAGTCCGCAGAAAAAAGTTTTCGCCGCTGCGGAGGAAGCCGGGCATGTCGAGCGGAACGACGGCCGCCGCTTCGCTACGGTCGCCGCGAGCGAAGCGAGCACGACCGCAGCGAAGCACGGCCATCGTGTAGCGAAGACCATGCCCGGCCTACCCTCCGTAGCAGCACAAAAACAGTTTTTCCAGCGAAGATTCTGTTGGTCATAACTTTGTTCAGAAGCGTCCAATCGAGCTGATTTTGGTTTCACTTGATTCAGCTCGTCGAACTCATGCAAAATTGGTCCTGAAGTACTACATCTTAAAATATATTCACCCCTGATACAAGGAAGAAATATGGGACTCAACTGTCCCTTTTAATTAAAAAATATATTTTGATATTTTGAGATATTTTACCCGTAAATATATTTTAAGAGTTTGATGTTTTGAGAGAATATGTTTTGAGATTTTTTACTCGTCTAGATATTTTGAGAGTTTGATGTTTTAAGAATTTATGTTTTGTATGGGAGCCGAAAAATCAAAGAACACAATGCGTGTCCGGACAAAATACCGAATCGTTAAAATATGGAATAGGCTAAAAAAGGGTTAAAATCTCGAATCGGGTAAAAATGGGTTAAAATCGCGAATAGGCTAAAAAGGGGTTAAAATATGGAATCGTTAAAATATGGAATGGTTAAAATCTCGAATAGGGTAAAAAGGGGTCAAAATGTGGAATCGTTAAAATATAGAATTGATAAAATGTCGACACGACCAAAATAGGTCAAAATGTCGAATTTTTTTTAAAAATGGCGCCAAAACCTAGAATCCGGGCGTTGCCGTAATACCGACGGTATTTTTAGGTATTCCGTTTCGCTAGTACGGTGCGGAATGCCGACCGATAAAATTTAAAAGCTGATCGGTATTTTTCGGTATTCTGTACCGTATACGGTACAGTTAAAAAATTCCGGGTTTTATTAGAAGCTAGGCACTCCACTCTAATTTGACGTATCAAGATCGCGTTATGTTTTCCGGATCCGCACGATCATTCCGGACCGGATCAGGTCGATTATGCTTGATTTATCCGGTCCGGTTTTACTCGGTAAAATACAGTGAACTCAGGCCGAAAAGATTGCGACGGACTACGACATACGAAACTTATCAATCAAATTATCAACAATAGGTTGATAAGCTGATAAAATTATCAATAATCAACGTACGGCACTCATCTGACCCTTTTTAAAAGAATTCGACATTTTGACCTCTTTTTAGCCTATTCGAGATTTTAAACATTCCATATTTTTACGATTCCATATTTTAACCCTTTTTTGCCCGATTCGATATTTTAACCATTCCATATTTTAACGATTCGGTATTTTAACCCCTTTTTAGCCTATTCGCGATTTTAACGATTCCATATTTTAACGATTCCATATTTTGTACCGGAGCCAACACAATGACAAAATGAGACCAATTTTAATTTTTTTTAAATTTTAGGGAAGGAATTTTTCGTAAATCTTTGATTTTTTTGTTGGATTTTTACATTTAATTTTTACATTTAATTTTTACATTTAGTGCTTTATTAAATGCAATTATTGGCAACAGAGGAATTTTATCTTATCAAGTCTGTAAATACAATATTAAAATGTTGTCGAAATACTTCAAATCTTTCTATATTTTATCATTCAGGTTACACATCTTTTTATATTTTTTTATTTTTTCAGATATAAGTGCACTTGAAGATCTCGAATTAATTGGAGATGTTTTTGCTTTTATTGGTTAGTTTTTAAAATATTTTCATTGTAAGGAAGAGAAGGATCTAGCTGGCTAGCATTTAAAACGCTCACTAGACGGGGGTTTAAGATCTATTAAAAGTGAAAGTGAAAGCTGCGTCCCGGTAGCTGAGTTGGTAGAGCACCTGTACGTGGTGAGCGAGAGCACCAAGCAATAACTGTCAGGAGGTCGCAGGATCGAAGCCTGCCCGGGATTAAACTTTTACCTCGCTCTTACTTTATTAAAAGCTCGTTTTTTTGTAGGCAAAGTTGTGATTGATGGAATTTCTTATCTTTTATTGGTCACTCAATGTTCTGAATTGGGAAAAATTTCTTCTAAAAATGACACAATCTATCGAATAGAAAAAGTCTGTGCTTTGCCTATTTTGGCTGATGGAATGAAATGCAAAACTTTTTTTGAAAATATTGATGGAATTGACAATTTGGAACGTTTAAAAAATCAACCAAAAAAGTTTGCTAAAATGATCTCACACAAAATGCCTATGCGTAATTTACCTATTTCTCCTAAACTTATTGATGAAATTGTTTGTTTTTTGTTTAATTTTATTTAAAAAATTCATTGAGATGTTAAAAACTAAGGAATTGACAATTCTTGTTATTCTTTTGACTCCCCTTCCTTCTCCCCAAGAGCATAGCCAAGTTTTAGCCTCAGAAGCCCCCTGGCTACGCCCTTGCCCATACCTCATCGTTTTTAAAACCCCTCACTGCAAGTCAACTCCGACAAACTCGAACTCCTTACTACTCTATCCTGAAGAGTCTGGGTTCAATTCTAGTTTAAACAATCTCATATTTCTTGTTATTCTTCTGACCTTTCTTTATCTAACTATAATTATAATTTATTTTTAGGTTGTATTTTTAAGTCAACCAAACAGTTTTTACTTTGCACATAATTTTGATATTACAAGAAGTTTACAAAGTGCAACATCCAACACTGATTTGTCAGATTCTCGTTTCTTTTGGAATAGGCAATTATTGGATGGTTTTTATTTGTTTTTTAAATAAAAAAATTTTTGATTTCTTAGAATTTTTTGTTCGTGATGGAACACCAATTCCAGCATTTAAAGATTGGATAACCCCAATAATACATGGCTATGTTGATCAACAAACAATTTCTTTTGATTTAGACTCTCCTTTGTTAACACTTATTTTAATATCTAGACGTTCTATTAAAAGGGCGGGAGTTCGCTATTTACGAAGAGGAATTGATGAAGATGGGGATGTTGCCAATTTTGTAGAAACTGAATTCATTATTTGTATGTTTGATCATTGTCTTTCTTTTGTACAGGTTTTTTGGATTTGATAGAAGACTATTAAAATTTATCTTTTAGTGTCGTGGTTCAGTCCCAGTTTTTTGGAGTCAAAAAGGTTATCGTCTAAAACCTCCACTTGTTATTGATCGCCCTTTGGAGGAATCATTGCCCACTTTTAGCATCCACATTGAACAATTACTACATTTATACTCAATTCCACTTGTTATTGTAAATTTAGCTGATCAGACAGGGAGAGAAGCTGTCCTTTGTGATGCTTATCTTCAAGTTCGTTTAAATCTTGTACAAAAATTATGCATATGGTCAGATCTCGTTATATTTTAATACCAATACACTCTAAAATCATTTTAAATTTGGTTGTCCACTGGGTGTGAAGTTGTCCAAGCGATTCTTCTCACCTAACATAAGACACATAATTCACGATTTTCAATCCAAAATTTTGTATCCTTGCGAGCTCAACCTTTAAAAAAAGACATTTTAAATCGTTTAAACTTTAAATTTAGCACATTCTGGCTTTTAATTGTAACAATGTCACCTACCATTCATTCGATTTTCACCGAGTTTGTGGCAATAGACGGCATCACAAACTGTCAGAATTAATGGAAACTTTAAAAGACGAAATTTCATCAATTGGTTTTTGTTGGATTGATAAAAGTGGGAAAGTAGTAATGCGGCAAAAAGGAATAATTAGAACGGTTTGGATTTTGTTTTTGTTCAAAAATTTTTTTGAAATTTTTTAAAGAATTGTATTGACTGTCTAGATCGAACTAATGTTGTCCAAAGTGCAATTTCCCAGGCTGTATGTTTAATTCAATGTAGAAAGTTGGGAATTATTGAAGCGGAGGCTAGTGCTCCTGAACAGTTTGTGCGGTTATTGCAGCGAATGTGGGCAGATCATGGAGATTCGATTTCTAAGCAGGTTTTGACTATTAAATTTTTTAACAAATTTCTTCCTTAATTTTTATCAATTTTTAGTATGCTGGCACTAGTGCATTGAAAGGAGATATAACTCGAAATGGACAACGTAAAATTTCTGGTTTAGTCAAGGATGGCTATAATTCAGCTTCTCGTTATTATTTATCGCAAATGTGTGATGCAAATAGACAAAGAGTTATTGATGCTATCTTGGGGTTGTCAATAACAGAAGAAGATACATAATTTTGTGGAATGTTTAGGGTATTGGTATTATATATTCAAGAAAATTTTCAAAAAATACTTTATAAAATACCCTGTCAAACTGTATAAGGACGTCCTTATGTTTTCATAGCCTTTTTGAGTTTTTCTTCCTATTTTGATTTTCAAACTTTATTTTAAACAGTTTTGGTTGTTATTTGTAACGGATGTTAATTGTCTATTAATCGGTTACCTAATTTCTGTTTTTATTTTTCGGAGAACCTTTATTTGGGCCGGACATTTAAATCTACTTGGGGAATAATCTCTCATATTCTAATCCTTTAATCCTTCAAAAAATTCCAAAAACTGATGAGTATTTTTGAAATAATTTGAATCAAAACAAAGAAAAAGTTTCTCCTACCTTCACAATTTTTCAATTTATATTTTCAAATTTTCAAAAAAAAAATCATTTTTATTATCATCAAAAAGCTTTAGAGTTTTATTTTTCTTTAAAAAATCCCAATTTTATGCATTTTACCTTATCAAAACATTTCCTTATCAAAATTTATTTTTTGTATTTTTATATATTGACTCTCCCCCTTCTCTTATCAATTTATTTAGTCATTTACATATTTTTAAAATACAAATTCCTATTTTTCAATGTAAAAATAACCAAAAAAATATTACTAAAAAACTCAAAAAAATATTTCCCCCTCAATTAAATATTCACTTGTCAATTTTTATCTTTTCTCTCCTGTATTATTTTTTAACAAACATTTTTATTCTAACTGCGATAAATACATAAATTCTTTTATTTTTTAATTGTCATTCAATTTAAGCTCTGACTAGAAAAATTTTTTTTATTTGTTTATTCACTCGTCTAAAATATAAATCTAAATTTATTTTTCAAGTAAAAAAAAATTTTAATTGAGAGAGCGAGCTAAGATTAAATGACACGTAAATTTATTAAAAAATTTGTCAATTTTCCAATTAAATATTTTTAACAAACGTAGAGGGTCGAATAAAATATTTTTTGATACAAAATTATGTCTAAAACAATTGGTTTTTTGTTAGTATTCACAGAGGCTTAAACGCGTTTTGTGTAAATGTGGAAAGAAAGAATGTTTTGGTGAATAAACTTACAGAGAAAAAATTTGAGAATTAAAAAAAAATTTTAAGAATATTTTATCTCAAAATGCACATTAAATATAATAATTCGTCGAAAAATATCATTGTTTTTCTTATTTAATCCATCGAACTTACCTCCCTGTTTTTTTACAAGAGCTTACCGACTAAACCACAAACACAATATCCATATAAAAATAAGTTCTACTTAAACTTCTGTGATTATTAGCAAGAATTTCCAAATTTTTTTTTATTTAAACATTATTTACCCACAGATTTTTTCTAATTAATTTTTTGAATTTAGTAAATTAATTCCAAATTTATGGCAAATCCACTAAAAAATGCAAAAAATGTTTTAGTTTTAATTACGGGGGCAAGTCGAGGAATTGGGTATGAATTGGCTTTGCAATTTGGACAAATATTTGCTGGGACTCGTTTTCAATTCTTTTTGTTGGCAAGAAGTAGAGGCGGGCTTGAAGAAGTTGCCGAAAAGATTTGTAAAATTAAGTTAGTTTTTTATGTTTGGGGACTCGCGTCGTTTAAGTTCCCTATTTTTCTTTGTCTAACTGTAATCAAGCAGAGAGATCCATCTGGTTAGCATTTAAAACGCTTACTAGGCGGGTGTTTAATATCAAAGAAGGTGAAGGCAACCTCGATAGCTCAGAGGCCGTAAAATAAGAACTCAGTTACCTGACGATGGTTGTGTCACCTAATCATCAGGTGACCACAAGGTCATGGTTAACTTTACGACCGTCTTATTTTACCGGTAAAAATATCTAACCAGCAACCGAGTTCTTATTTTACGGCCCCAAAGGGTTTGTTTCAGTACATGGTGAGAGAAAGCGTTTATCATTAACTTCCAGATTTTCATACTTGTTCTATTCCCTTAAATAAAATATTTAAACAACCAAAAATGTTCTCTTAAAGAAACGCCTCTTCCGGAAATGTCGAAATAGTTGTAGCTGATTTATCCACCCCAGAATGTTCTTCAGCCTTCGAAAACATTCAACAAAAAATAAAAGAATTGGAAACTAAAAATAAATTTGATTTATGTTTAATTATTCACAATGCTGGGACTGTCGGGGATTTAACTAAAAAATCATCAGAATTAAATGAAATAGAGCAATGGCAAAATTATTTACAAACAAATTTATTATCAACAATTTTACTTAATAATTTAATTTATTCGGTTATTTGTAAAGAAGATAAGGTTTAATTTTTTATTTTTTAATAATTAATTTTCTTTTTAATTTTTAAAGAAAATATTTATAATTAATGTGACTTCTTTACTTTCTGTAAAACCTTATCCTTCATTTACTCAATATTCTGTTGGGAAGGCTGCTAGAGAGGTTTCTTCTTATTTTTTTCTGTTTTCAGAAATTTTTTTCGAAAAATTTTTTCGTTTAAAAATATTTTTTAAATTTTAATGAAAAATATTATTTTAAAAAATATTTGGAATTAAAAGAAAATTTGAACGGGCAACTAAAAATAATTTTTTAATTAACTATTTTCCATTCCTTTATCAATTCTTTTTAATTTCATCTAACTTTGTTTGTGGTGTAGTGGTAGTGTTCCCGTCTACAATTTTTTCTTAAAGGTTCGAGTCCACTCGTCACCAAAAATTTTTTAAATTTAATTTTAAAATTATTTTTAATTATTTAAGGCATATTTTCGAGCTTTTGCAATAGAACATCCAAATTGTCGTGTTCTCAGCTATTCTCCTGGTCCTGTTGATACAACAATGCATAGTGAAGTTGCAGAAAAGTAATTTTAAAAATATTAAAAATTAATTCAAAAAATTCCTTTTTTTAAAGAACTTATGATGCTGGAGTAAGAGAAGTTTTTGGAAAGAAGAGACACGATAGTAATTTACATAGAAAGCTTTTAACACCTACAGAAACTGTTCAACGCTTAATTCATTTATTGGAGAAAAACAATTTTGAGAATGGATCGAGGGTGGATTATTTTGATAAATAATTTTTTCTTCCAAAAATCCTTAATGATATTATTTTATTTATTTCCACTTCTTTTAATTTTACAAATTTCAAATTGTTCTTTTAACACTTCATTATCTTTTATTTGCTTTAATATAATGATTGAAACAATTTTGAGAATAGATCGGGGGTAGCGTAAAGCAAATTTTATCTTGCTTCCCTTAATTTAAATTTTTGGATGTCAGCAATTTAATTAACGAAGTCAGGAATTTACTTAATTTGGGGATTAAATCTGCAAGATATTGTTTTTCTTTTCCTACTACGTTCTCCATATTTTTATAACGCCCTACCCAAAACACTGTCCAAACATTGGAGTAAATTGTCTGTAAAAACGAATGATGTTTTTACTTTAATGTCAGGGACGGTGTTTTGTCTTCACCCACAAAATTTTTTTTAATTTTCCATTTTATCTTTTATTGAATAAAATTTCCAAAAAGAAAAAAATAAAATTTCCAACTAGTAAAATAAAAAAAGACAAACATTTATTGAAATTTTGTCATAACGGAATACATAAAAAGGCGTAAAGCAAATTTAAGGTGTTTTTTTGGAAAAGAACGAAACAAAAAAGATCTTTTAAGCTTTTAAGTAGAAAATATATTTTAAGGTATTTATAGAGAATAGAGAAAAAACCAAAAAAAAAGAAAATTTAAAATTGAGTAGGCTTTTTCTTATTGCAAAATTTTTGTGTATTTTTTCGTTAAATAAAATAGGTATGGCTTATAATTTTCAAAAATATCTAGTTTTTATTGTTAATATATTTATAGGGAGAAGAGAGTAGTTAGAAAAGATTGAGCTGCTAAAAATAAGTGCAAAGGAGGGATGGACGGATGTTTAGAGAGAGAGTATGTCGGTAGATTTTATAGATCCTCGATTTGTAAACAGTCAAAATATAATTATCAGAAAACCAGAAAAGATAAAACTACTAGGCTTTTTTGATGAGATTACGATTGAATAAAAATAAATACTTTAATTGACAACTGTTCATTTAAAAAATTAATAACTTTTTTGTTTCCCCTATTTTTAATAAAAAATATTTTTCTCTTCCAAACTTTTCTCCTCAAAAATTGTTGTCAATCAAAGCAAAAACAATTTCAAAGAATTAAAGAATATATTTTTATAATATAAATGAAGTGTTTACTCTCTCATCTTTTTTTATTTATTTACCCAAAATTAATAAGCGTAGGCTCAGGCGGATGCATTTCTTCACTACCATGCCCATTATTCATATGTGGATCCTCTGGAGGAGTCCGAATTGATTTATAGTTGTCATGTTGAGAATTATGTCCATTTGTTTCGTTTTTCTCTTCAGAATGGAAAACTGCATTGACCGGAGGATTTTTCGCCATGATCGTAGCAGACACCTTTTTAAGAAAAGATTAATTTATATGGAGAAAAATGATTTTTAAAAATGTTAGTGCCCATGGAAAGGTAAAAAAATTTGGAATTTTCCTTTCAGTTTTCGAAACACATACTTGTCCCGGAAGTTGCGGCTGTCCATCTCCACCATTAGAATCCTGCATAGATTTATTCATCGCACGACGACGTTCTTGCAAAAATTCCTAAAAAAATAAATTAAAAAAAAACAAGTTAAAAATATAACCGCTAAAGCAGTCCTATCAGACATCTTTGTCATTAGCGGATTTGCAACAGCAATGTTAGGAGAAGTCATAGTATCCGAAAACAAATTCTAAAAATAAAAAATTTAGAAAAAAAACCATTTTTTCCTTACATCATTTTTTGCCAATCCATTACTACTAGAATGGTGGATTGTTGGTGTTTGTGGACTTGCACCATTCTCTGGACGAATCTTCTGAAGAATTTCATTAAGTTGTTGACGACGCTGATTCCGCTTTTCCTCCAGGATCGGAGGAATTTGAACTGGTGGAATCGTTGGTTTTGGTGATGTAACTTCACTTTCATCTAGTGAAATTCGATTATAACTTGGTGGACGTTGCTCCTAAAAATATTCGATAATAATTAAGCTTTAAAAATAGATGAGCTCTTAGAAAAAATAAACATGACCAAAAATATGGGTAAGTTCTAAAGAAATTTTCTTAATTTTTTGGAAAAAAATCTAGATAATTTAATTCTCGTATTTGTAGCTACAAAATAGTCCAACACTACGCATAGATACACAATTGAGATTAAAAATATTCTACAAATAATGAGGCTATAACTTATGATTGCATCTTATGCGACCAAAGGATACGTTAAAATCTTTAAAATTAAAGATAAAACCTCAGTTGATGGAACCAAAGTAGCATCCGTCATATCAACAATATTCAAAGAATCATCCTTATCAACCTAAAATTATTTAAAATTAAATTTAAATATAGTGTTAAAATATACTCGAGAAAAAATGAGTGTTTTATCGCTCATAATACTCTCGCGATTACGATGTTCAGTTGGAGAGTGCTTTAAATAAAAAATAAAAATAATTTTTAATAACAAAAAAAAACCTCCAAAACTTCTTCCATTTGGTCGTGCAAAGATGTATAAGGACCGCTATTTGAAGCCAAGTAAGTTTTGTTAAACTCATCACTAGAATCGTGAAGATTTGGAGATTTAGCCTCATCAATTGGAATCGAATTGGAACAACGCTGAAAGTGGAAATTGAATAATTTATTTTCTCCTTTGATTTTTTAAAAGTAGTGTTTAATTTTGATACTGAGATATAAAATGATACAGAGGTTAAGAGTGAAAGAGATTGTATATAAGAAAAGAAAATCTAACCATTTTATCAACTCCAAGATCCAGATTATCCTTTGGCAATTGATCAGGTTCAAAAGCAGGAACAGCGTTATGTTTTTGGACAGCAATATCTTCTTCAAAAGTTTTTTCCATAGTCATATTGAAATCAATTGTTGGCTGTTGAAAATGTGTTGATATAGTCGCAGAGGTGCCAGCAACTGGACTTTTCAAAACCTTCGCTTTGTCTTCAACCTTACGGCGCATGACTGGTCGACGTTGCTGACGCGGATCAATATCACTAAATCGAAAATATTTTAATATTTTAAAAACTTGCAACTAAAAACTTATAAAAACATACGTGTTATTTTTCGAAACTTCAGGAGTTTTTGCTTTAGAAGGTGCAGATTTTGGAGACCCATTTTGCAAAGGTTTCGCTAAATTAAAAAATATAATTTAATACATTTAGTAGTTATTTTACATGAATAAAGTGATTGAGTCATCAAAGGTTGCGGAGCACTTCTAGTGCTTGTGGTTGAACTAAGTGGCGATCTTGTTTGCTTCTTGACCGCTGAAGGCTTACGTCGTGAAGATGTTGCTTGTTTATTATTATTAGCAGAAGTAGAGCTAGTAAGAGAGCCAAAAACACTACGAGTCATAGTATTCGATGACGGAATAGGTTTTTCGCCTCGGTAATGAGAAGTTGTAAATCGAGAAGGAACACGAGCAGTTGGTGGCTCACTGCGTAAGTTCTGAAAATTATAAAATATTTTTTTTCAATTCAACATCCGGAACAAATAACCTGCTGTGGAGAAGCAGATCCTCTCGAATTCGTAGATAAGGCTTGATTTGATCGTTTCTGTTGACCACCCTTCTCCAAAAAACACAATTCACGCGGTGTCGAACTGCCAAAAGCAAATACAGGTTTGTTTTGTTGTCGATTGGCTGCCACGCGTGAAGCTTTCTGATGGTTCTTTTGTAAAATTTCCTTAAAAATAGTACTGAACATTTATTCAAATTAATCATTTAAACCTCTTTTTTAGCATTCAATTTGTCCAACTGAGCACAGCGACGGTCCAATGCAGCCTTTTGCCTCTCCATCTCCCTCTGCTGACGTTCACGAATTCGCTCACGAAGCTCGGTTTCCTTCTGACTTCTGGCGCGCTCAATACGTTCGGCTTGTTCCTTCATTTTTGCCTCACGTCTAAAATTTTACATGAATTTTAGTTATTAGTTAGAAAGACAACATACCGAGCCAACAACTCCTTTTCAGCTGCTTCCTTCCGTTTGAGAACTTCTGCAGTTTTATCTATTCCAATATAAATGCTCCGCGTCATACTCATATTCATTAGGTTATTGTCAGGTTGTGCCATTATTAAAAAACAAACTAAAAATGATTAAAAAGGTTTAGAAAAAATAAGATACTAGACGTGCTTTGTAAGCATTAGAAAAGGAAAAATTGATAAAATAATAACAATTTAATCACAAAAAATAATTAAAACAATTAAAATTAACAAAAAAAATTATTTCCTTCCAGATTTGGCCATTTTATCTCGACGTTTCTTAACCTTTTTTGGCACTTTATTTTTCCTTTGATCCCTTTTCTCTTCCTTAACAGCCTCTTTACGTGCCTTTCTTGCTTCATTCGACTCTCCTTTTATTCTTGGATGACGTTGGTGAATAAACTTTTTGTCTTGTTTATCCAAATTTTCAATAGAATTTTCTTCGTCATTCTCATTTTCACAACTGTTTTCATCACTTGATTCATCTGTTGTTGAATCATTTTCTTCTTTTGATGTTGACAATCTTTCTAATTCTTCAACATTCTTCTCTTCATTATCAAGAGTTTTACCAATAACTTTTTGAAACGGATTGTTTGGTTCATAACCTTGTTTTTCCATTAAATGATCCCTCTCAAAAGTGACAATTTGTTCAAGTTTGTGTGGGATATAAGCATTCATGAAAAAACTGTCATCTGGCAAATTATCACAACTTCGCTCGCTTGCTAAGGCTTCAGCAAATTTTAATTCATCAACTAATGGATCAACAATAATCTAAAATTTAGGATTGAAATTTATAAGTTCTCCTTTAAGATTTAAATTAAAATCTCTAAAAAATCAAAAATTTACCTCAAAAAGCCTTTTCATTCCAAAAACTTTCGCTCCCCTCTCCATAAAGAATTTTGTCACATTGCCTATATCAGACCTCAAAAATGTTAAAGCATATGGGTGATCGTGTTCAACAGATTGAGAGACATCAATAATTATAAGATGATTATCATAAAATAAAATGTTGAATTCAGAAAGATCTGAAAACTTGGCTTTAAAAAGAAAAGCAATAAAACTTATACCGGCATGAACAAGTCTGCACTTTCTGTACATATTACGCATAATTGTAACGCATTCTACGTAAAGTTGGTCAGCCAATTCTTCGTCCATCTCAAGAACATTTTTAAGTAAAGGAGCTGGACAACCATCCTCTCCAATAAATTCCATTACAAGCACGTGCCCCTGACAAATAAATATGTTTTAGTTGTATCCAATGGTAAGATTACAAATGAAACAATAAAATCAGAAATTATTAACTCAGACATGAAAAAGAGGAAATTCCTCACCTTAAGCAAGATAGGTTTAGGAACAGGAATGCCAGCCAAATACATTCTTTGTAAATTTCTAATTTCTTTTTCTGCCCATGTTGCAACCATTTTTCTAGGATTATGTCGGCAATATCCTTTGCGGTACCTAAAAAGCATGAAAAAACAAAAAATTTAAACAAATACCTAAATTCACCAGCGACATATCTGTCCCGGTCTTTAAACGTCAAAATGCTCGTTTTGTAAATTTTAACAGCCAAACTTCCATTTTCTGTGATGCCATGATAGACATTTGCTTCTTTTCCTGTACTAATACAACCTTCAACAGTATCAAAAAATCCTCTTTGAATCAATTGAAAAAGTATTAGTCTTGTCCGAGGATCTAAAACTTGTTCCACAGTTGCTCTATTAGATCGATCATTGTGCCTTCGATGTTCTTTTGATGCTTCAATTTTGCTCATATGTGACTGGATATATGTTTCACCACTTCGCAATGATTGAGAACGAAGAGCTGAAGCAGAATCGTTGTGGTGTTGACGATTAGGCTACAAAAACAAAAGATTACGATTATCGTAATAGTAAAAATTACCCTATAATTAGTATGGCCAGCAGAGGTAAATATTTTTGTTAAATCTAAAAAAATATGTACTTTGCTTAAGGAAATAAAAAATATACCTCCAGTAAATTCTTCACAATCGTCAGCAAACTCCTCAAAATCTTCTCCACTTCCATTCTCCTCGTCATAATCGTCTTGTTCAAATATTGGGTCGCATGAAAGATTAAAAGGATCCATATGAATATGCATTGTAATGCTAAATTTCCTTGAAAATAGATTATTCAATAACTACGAATGGTTTGGAAAAAAAAGAACGACTAAAAATTTGATGAAAATAACATGCAAAAAATTCCAAACGACTTTATAATTTGGATTTCGTTGTTTGCATTTTGATACTTTAATTAAGTTTTATTTACAAAACATCTAAAGTCAAAACCGTCATAACTAATAATTTTTACATTTTGTCTCAATTAAATTCCAACAAATCGGGACTTTTCGGAGCATTGAATTTTTTAGCAAGTCTCGATATTTATTTTCTCATTCATTTTTCTACGTTACGGTTATTTTAAGCAACAATTAGTCCTTGGTAAATAAGCAGATTAAAATCATATGGGAAAGTAGATAACAATAAAAATTTTTGTTTAGATTAGTTAAAGAATATTTAAATAAATATGGGAGTTCCAGCATTCTTTCGATGGCTTTCCCGCAAATATGTCTCAATTATTGTCGATGCTGTAGAGGAACGACGTAAAGAAGTTGAAGGAATAAAAATTCCAGTTGATTGTACTCAGCCGAATCTAAATTATCAGGTTATATTAATTTGATTGTAGACATTTTCTTATAAAATAATTTTGTTTTTAGGAATTTGATATTCTGTATCTCGATATGAACGGTATCATTCACCCCTGTACTCATCCAGAAGATCGCCCAGCGCCAAAAACTGAAGAGGAGATGTTCATTTTAATTTTTGAATATGTTGATCGTCTCTTTTCGATTGTCCGTCCACGGAGGCTTCTATACATGGCTATTGATGGAGTTGCTCCTCGTGCTAAGGTTTGTAGCACGTTGTATCATTTTGTTTTAAGATTATTTTAGATGAACCAACAACGTAGTCGTCGTTTTCGTGCGGCAAAAGAGGCGGCGGAAAAACGTGAGCAGATTGCTAGCATTCGCAAGAGATTAGAGAATGAGGGTATTCCTCTCCCACCACCACGTAAAGAAGAGGAACACTTCGATTCTAATTGCATTACACCCGGGACACCGTTTATGGCTCGTTTATCAACAGCTTTGCGTTACTATATTCATAAACGGATTACTTATGACCCTGCTTGGATGAAAATACAGGTTTTGTATTATGAAAGTGAGGACTCAGAATTTGTTTTTTAGGTTATCCTTTCTGACGCCAATGCTCCAGGTGAAGGAGAGCATAAAATAATGGACTACATTCGGCGCCAACGAGCATCTCCTTCACATGACCCCAACACTGTCCATTGTTTATGTGGCGCAGATGCAGACTTGATCATGCTTGGGTTAGCTACGCACGAAGCAAACTTTAATATTATTCGAGAAGAATTCGTTCCAAATCAGCCAAAAGCATGTGAACTCTGTGGACAGTATGGGCACGAATTAGAACATTGTCAAGGTTTAGCTAGAGCAGAAGCTGGACCCGACCAAGCTGATCCTTTGAAGAAAGAGAAGAATTTTATCTTTATTCGCCTCCCGGTTCTTCGTGAATATTTGGAACGTGAATTATTTATGCCGAATTTGCCTTTTGCTTATGATTTGGAACGAGCTATTGATGATTGGGTATTTTTTAATTTTTTAAATTAGTCTTCTAATTATTTAGGTAATGATGTGTTTCTTTGTTGGCAACGATTTTCTTCCCCATTTACCTTCTCTCGAAATTCGTGAAAATGCTATTGATCGTCTAGTCAAACTTTACAAGAATATGGTCTATCAAACGGGTGGTTGGTTGACAAACGATGGAGTTGTTAATATTGATCGTGTGAAGATGATTATGCATGAATTGGGGAAGGTCGAAGATCAGATATTCAGAGAGAGACAGGTAGTATTTTAAGGATATTTGGGGGAGTCTTTGTAATTGCCAAAAAGTTAAATTTTTATGCTAACATTAATTTTGGTGAAACCATAGGTGAATAATGAGCCTAGGTGAATAATCTAGGAAGTTTATTCGACTTTTTTAAATCTCGATAATTAAATTTTCCATTATTTAGCTTCGCGAGCTAAAATTTAAAGAAAGCCAGAAGCAAAGGAAGAGGAGAGCTAAAGAAGCAGCAGAGATGCTAATGCCTTATAATGCTTCATTAATTGCTCCACAGCCTATTTCTTCACAAAATTTGAACAAAAGTGGCGAGGAAATAAGAAAAATGGCATCAGATGATAGAAAACAGGTTTAGAAAATATTTTTAATTATTATTTATCATGGCTAATGATGTTTTTAATGAGAAGCTACTTTGATCTTATTTGACCCTTAACTGGGTTTGATATCAAACGAGAACTGAAGCCTTTTTTAATATTTAAATATTTCGTACATATTATTTAAGCTAAATTATATATTTCTTTTATTTAAGATGCAGCTAGCTGCTGAACAAGCTCAAAAATTGAAGTCATTGTTGACTCCTGTCGCCGTTTCTGAACAAAAAACGATTGGAACTAAGCGAAAAATGGAACAAACATTAAATGATTCGCCAAGTGGATCGCCTCCTATAAAGGTGTGATTTTATTTAAATTTTTGTGGTTTTTCTTTATTTGATTTTTAATTTTGTTTTGTTTTGGTGCTTTAATAATACCTTTTACTTTCTTTTAGTCGTTTAAGGATGGTCGAGTTATTGAAGATAAAAGTACACCAGATGGTCCAAAACCAACAATTGTTTTTACAACACCTTCTGGAGGTAAAGCTCCTTTGGCTAAAGGTGCTGTTGGTGCACTTATGAACGATGATTCGGATGAGGAAGAGGCAACAGATGAAATTAGACTTTGGGAAGAAGGATGGAAAGAAAGATATTATCGAGCAAAATTTAATGTTGATGAGAATGATACAGAATTGAGGAAGAATGTTGTATGCGCTTACATTGAAGGACTCTCTTGGGTGTTACTCTACTATTATCAGGTTCTTAAATATTTAAAAAATAAATATTGTCATGTATAAAATAATATTTTAAGGGTTGTGCAAGTTGGACATGGTACTTTCCCTATCACTATGCACCATTTGCTTCCGATTTTCATTTGGCTGGAGATTATAAACCCAGCTTTAATAAACCAACTAGACCATTCAAACCTTTGGAACAGCTAATGGGCGTCTTTCCCGCCGCTAGCAGGTTTTTTAGTTTTTGTGTGAAATATATTTTTGTTAATTTTAGAGCACATATCCCAGAAGGATGGCATTGGTTAATGACAGATGAGAAATCACCAATTATTGATTTTTATCCGAACGACTTTGAAATTGATCTGAATGGAAAGAAATATGCATGGCAAGGAGTTGCTTTATTGCCTTTTGTTGATGAAAAGCGTCTTTTAGATGCTCTTACTTTGGTTTCTTAATTTAAATATTCTAATGATAATTTTTTGTTGTTTTAGGTCTATGATACATTAGACGATGAAGAAAGGGCTAGAAATGATACGGGTCCTGACAGGCTTTTTGTTGGAAAACAACATGGACTTTTTGAATTAATGCAATCTGTGCATCAGTTAACAAAGGAGAATAATGAAAATTCTATTGTAACTAGCAGTGTAGAACGTTCAGCAACTTCTACAGGTACTAATAATCGTTCTGTTGAAAGTGAGCGAAGTCAATCAAATGGAGAGAATACTAATGAAAGAAGTCAATCAACAGAAGAATCAAACGAAAGAAGCCAGACAAGTGAAGAGAATTTTAACGAGAGAACTGGGGAAGAACAACTGAGGGAAGAACAAAGTAAAACTACTTCAAATGAAACAAATACTGACGAGAATAATGGTAATAAATTTGTACTTTCGATTTTTTACTCTTTTAATTTTATTTTCAATTGATAAATTAATATTTCTTAATTTTAGACAATGTTGTGGCCAAAGTTGAAAAACAATGGGTAATTATTGATGCAAGTAAAGCTTACGGAATGGCTGGTGAAATTTCTCCTGATGAAAATGCTATTGATTATGGCGTTGATTATGTTTCAATGTTTAGAGGTTCTATTGAATTTGGCGATATAAAGGTATTTTTAAATTTTTATTACATAATTTTCGAATCCTTTTTCAGAAAAATAGTTGTATTATGGCACAATTTCGCGATCCTCAATTTCCGCCACATTTTCAATTCAAAGCTTGTCGTCTCGAGGGAATTAAAGAACTGCCTCGTGCATTGAAACCTAAGGATTACGATGATCGACGTCAAGGATCTTATCGTCCTCAAATTGGATTCAGTCGAGATATTCCAAGAGCTTCGCTTTCTGCAGGTGGTCACCGAACTCTTGATCATCATATTACTCAACAAAATCGAAGAAGTAAACTAAAATTATTTTCTTACAAGTAGCTCAACCTAATAGACAAAAATAAATTAAATTAGTTCTATCTAGTGAATGAGGAAGATTTAGTTTTATAACGAATGGAGATTTATTTGGAGAGAAATTATGTGTGTAAATGTAACATTTCTTTTTAAGGTGGACCAGCTTCTCTTATGGCTTATCAAGCACAACAACCACAACAACAAATGCAGTCATCGCCTCAACAACATCTTCCTTGGCATAGTGGTGCAGCACAGCAACAATATCAACAGTTGATGCCTTCTGATAACTTTCAGCATCCAATGCCCTTAAATTTTATGCAAATGGCAATGCCTCCTCCTCCACTTCCTCCACAACATTGGGTTGATTCAATGCAACAACAGCAACAACAAATGCAACAACCATATATGGGACAATGGGGACAACCACCTTCTTTATTACAAAATCAAAATTACGGAAATAACAATAATTCTGACACATGGCGACGTCGAAGTGATGACGGGGGCGGGGGATCATCTCGACCAAATCAACAACATTTGCCATATCATAACCAATATGGTCGACATAGTGGTGGTGGTGGTGGTGGACGTAACTACAATAATGATGACAATCGTGATTCTTCACAAAGAGAGTATAGATCATCAAACTATAGACGTCAATAAAAATTGGAGATCTTCTTAAAATATATTGGAGTGTTTTTATAATTACTTTTCTTTTAATAAGTTGTTCTATTTTTCTTATTTTTCGTCGGGGTTATTTTTTCTCAAAATTTTAATAAACTTGAGTTGAGACCCACAATAATTCTTAGTAATCGTGGTCATCTGATAGTGACGATAATTCTTCCGATCTCGTAAGATTAAGAAAGGAATTTAGAATTAACTGGGTCTGGGTGACATTTCTCTAAATCCTTGTCTCTAATGATAAGAGTTGATTAATAATTTTGAAGTATTTACTAAATAACCTGACAAAAGATTAATAGTAGTATAATTATACTAGTTTTGTTAACTGTGAAAATTGTCTCTATATGTTTTTTGTTATTTCGAGATTTGTTTAAAATTATTTTAAAATTTATTATTTTCTTTGTTTTTTTTCATCAAATGTGGAGCTGGAGATGTACAGACAACCCTTTAAATATATTTGCTTTGCTCTATTTTGTTGCTTAATCGCGTGTAATTGGAGAAATTTGTGAATAAAAAATATCAAAAATAATTTTTAATTTTTACGATTCTTTAAGAAATTTTAAAATTTCTCCAATTTTCCAAAAAAAATTTTCTTGTTTACATGCATGTCTTTTCCATCCATCTAATTACTCTTTGTTGTTCTTTGTAGTTTTTCTTTTTAAAAATATTGTTTTCTCTATTAATTTAATATTCTTGAGCCTATTTTTGGTTCATTTCAGGATGTTGTGTACACCTCCATTCTTGAATTTCACCTCAAAACTCAATTTGTTTTTTCGCCTTTTTTATTCGTTCAAAACAAATGTTATTTTGCTTTTTTCTGGTCCAAAATCTCATTATTCATTTGTTTTTTAAACTCGAACGAAATTTTGAATAATTTTATTGTTTTTTCGTTTTAAAGGCCTTTATTTGGCATATAATTTTTTTCATATTTTTAGTTTATTTAAACTTTATTTGTTTTATTTTTAGAAATGTTGGTAAAATTATTTGATCGGAAAAGACGTTGTTTGGACAATCATTTAAAGCAAAATGATCAGGTCAACTTGATCAAAAAATAGTATTACTATAAGATACCCCCTCGAGCTGAAAGGGTTTATCATGAGGTTTTCTTAAATAGTTGGTTCACAAGGCCATACACATTTTTACTCTTAAATTGGGGGTGTATTTAGTATCATGTAAGAAGCTTTTATAGATAACTGCAGTTTCCGGCTTTGGAACAATTATTGTTGTTGGAACATATTCGGGGATGTTGATGATCTTTAATACATGCACAGAGGGTTCATCTTCTGAATGGGAATTGGAAGCAAATATTTGTTTATCAGAAGAGAAGGTGGGGTTTAAAATCGATGTTTTGTTGGGTGGAATTTATGCCTGGGACGGGAGGGGCCTCCTTAGAAACATTTTAAGGCCATTTTAGAGGGAGAATGTGATAGAAAATATACTACACAATTTTTACTCAAACAAGGAAATTAATGCACGCACAAAAATACAATAAACGTATATATTATAGAATCACATATTATACAATTTGTTATATTTATCAACGATATCAACTGTCCTCTTAGTCTTCATTCCTTCTCATCCGATTCGCTCGAAGACTTTGTCTCCTTTTCTTCCAACAAAGCCTCACTTTCAACCTTTTCAGCTTCCTTTTCATTCTTTTCCTTGTTTGATTCTTTGTCGTCTTTTTTACGGACAGAAATCGTTACAGATTTAGTACCTCCGCCTTTACCCACTTCAACAGATTTTTGAAGGGCTGAAGAAGTGTTGCCGGCACTAATTGACTTTTGAGTTTCCTTGACAGATTTTTCTTTTGGCGGAATGAACTCTATTGCTGTTCTAGTTGACATTTGTGTGATGCTGATCGACTTTTGCCCCTTGTCTTTGCCGTCTTTCTGAAATTAAAAAAAAATAAATTTTTAAAAATCACTCGTTTCAGACTTGTCTCTCATTTATCTACAAAAAATCGGAATACAGTATCCTACTTTCTCACCCCCAAGAGAATGTGAGGGACATCCAAAAATAAATTTTTAAATTTTCTATTTACCCCAGATTTAGTGGCCTCCAATTCCTTTATAAGTTTCTCCTTCAGTTCAAGTGTCGTCTCCAAAGACATCTCCTTTTCGCGAGTTCGTTGGCCAGTTTCACGCGACAGTGGATTTGATTCGCTTGTAGAGCTAACTGAATTTGCACTTTCAACCGATATTGCCATTGCTTCCGTTTCTTTTAATTTGTCTAGCTGTTTGACATATTCGGAATTGTCTTTTTTCTTCTTTTTTGTCTTAGAATTTGTCATAGAAACTGTACTTGTTGTTGGCTTTGAATTTTTCTTTTTCTTGGATTTTGATTTCTGAAAAAGAAAAAAATTTGTGAAAATTAAGTTTTTTTACCTTTTTGCAACACGGCACAAGAACAAAAACAGAAACGAGAAGCAGGGCAACAACAATCCATGATGGCGTTAGAAACGGGTAGAAGAACATTATTTGAAGAGATTATTTTTGGGCGTAGTAATAGAATTTGTGTTGTTGAGTTTAGATTAAGCAACATCCTTTTATAGTGAAAAAACGTGTAATAAAATTTAGTTGTAATACAAGAAAGTAAAGGATTATCATGTAACGATCTTGCTCTCGAGCTGTATATCTATTTAAAATCTCCACACCTATCTGGATTTAGACAATCGGGTTGTTGAAGAAAGAGTCCTTTCATTTATTCAAATTTTTTTCACAATTTTTAACTTTTTAAAATTCTTTTCAAAGGATCGAGGAGCACCAGTTACACAAATTTGTTGTGCTTCTGCAATAGGGCTTTTAATTATTGTTGTTGGGGAAAGAGTACTTAATTTAATATTAGAAGAAGAAATGAGGATTGAAGAATTATTTAAAGCAAAAAGAATATCATTAAATACACATCCAATAAATAATTTAAATCCTTTTTCTATTCAATTAGCTATAATTACAAACAACAATCAAATATTAATTGGAAGAATTTCTTCAGGGCCCTATTTCAATTGTCCACAGATTCTGCGGTCTGCGTTCTGTGCACAGACCACAGAACCACAGAAATTCTGTTTCAATTATTCCACAGATTCTGCGGAAAAAGAAGTCCGCAGATTCTGTGGAAACATGCACAGAATCTGTGGAAACATCCACAGATTCTGCAAAACATCCAAAAACATGCAAAAACCACAGAATTCTATTTCAATTATTTTTCTGTGCACAGAAAAAAATCCACAGATCTGTGGCTTTTTTAGTCGATTCTGTGCATTTCTGTTTCAATTATTTCTGTGGTCTGCGGAAAATACACAGAATTCTTTAAAAAATCCACCCTAAAATTTTTTCTGCGAACTTTCTGTGGAAAAACTTTAACAATTTTTTTCTAGGCCTAGGCTTAACCAAATTTCAAAATTTTTAAAGATTATTAAAGTTTGAATCATTCTCTATTTTTTGATATAAAAATTATAATTTTATTACCTAAAATTATTGCTTAAAATTAATTTTGAAAAAGGTACATCTTTTTTACGCAGTTTTTGTTATATTCAAGCAATAAAAAAATAAAAAACGTGAGAGATTCTGAAATTTAGAGCTATGATGTTCTAATCATCATGGATATCTCTAATGAGGGGATGTTTACCAGGATCTATAGAAGATATCTGTATAGCGTATACTGGGATATCTCCCATGATCTCTCATTGATATCCGTCATAATCTCTCCTCCTATTTAATGATAGATTTCCTCCTTAATCACTCCAATATATTAAACCTCAAAATCAATGGATATCCCACTTAATCACTCCTCTACGATTTTAAAGTTCCGATTTGACTATAATTTTGGATTCCAGGCATTTTCGATTTCCAGGAACCTCAATTTCTGACTAAACAATCCCCAGTTTTGTAACATTTCCCTCCCTTGCAACAACTTCTATCGTAGTTTGAAAAAGCCACATGTCGGATCGACATCTCCTGATTTTTCCGATCCGAACCCTGCTTTAGGACATTAATTTAATTGGAGATTTAAGGATATTGGATGAACAAGAAAATTAAGCGGTATATCAGCGGTTTTAAAGTGATATCAAAGAGATTTAAAGGGATGTTATGTGATTTGGAGGGAAAATTTTTAAATCTTTACAATATTTTTCAGTTTAATTTAAGAATTTTTAAAGTTTTACTTCAAAAAATCAGGTACCATTAATACTGCGGTAGTACCGAACTGTCCAAACCATTTTTCGTTTCAATAAAACTGTTATTTTCAAAAACGCGGAAATAAAAAATTTGAATTTAGAAGAAAAAATACACAGAACCACAGAAAAATAATTGAAATACAAATTCTGTGGATCAGTGGAAAAAATCCACAGATTTTTATATTTTCCACAGAAATTTTCATCCACAGAATCTGCGGAATGTTTCCACAGAATCATTGGATGTTTCCGCAGAATCTGCGGGCACCACAGATTCTGTGCACACAGAATTTAATTGAAACAGAATTTCCACAGAATCTGTGTTCTGTGCACAGAATGCAGAATCTGTGGACAATTGAAATAGGCCCCAGAAAATAATTATTTATTTATTAAAGAAAAGAAATTAACAACAAATTTTGGGAATATTGTTGAAATTGTTTTTAATGGAAATTGTGTTTGTTATGCTACAAATAATTGCTATTTTGTTCAGAATATTAACGAGAAAAATGGAATTAAATTATTTGATGTAGCTGATTGTGAAGTTCTGAAAGTTATTTGTTCTGTTGGAATGGTTGGGGAGAAAATTAAAAAAAATTTTTTTTGGGAGAAAAGGATGTGAGGACTAGTGTTCCGCAGGAAGTTCCAATTCCGATAGGCCGTAAGTTCCGGGATTTTTGGTTCCGGTTCCGGCCAAATTTGCGGTTCCGGCGAAACACTAGTGAGGACCCAAATAAAAATAGAAATCTTCCATTAGACCTCAATCTAAGATTATTTTTTTCCAAATATTGGTGGGCCGCCATGAGGATAAGCTTTCTAATAATCGTAACTGTACCCCCTAATATATCCATAATTATATGACACGATTTTTCAGCTTCAAGGGTGTATGTAAAATTAGGATCCAACCGTATTTCATAATTTTTTTTTTAGGAAGAATTTTGTGTTGCTGGAATTCAGAGTCTTTTAATGTTTGTAAATGGAGAAGGGGCATCCACAAGGCCTCCATTATCTTTACCTGGACAGGAACCTCCTATTGGAATTTGTCTTAAAGAGCCTTATTTAAATGTTTTGGACACTGCTGGAATTCTGTTTATTTTTAGGTGAAATTTTGAAAATTTCGGAAATTTTTGTTGTGATTAGCAGATTAACTAGTTCTAGCCATTTTCTATTATTTCAACTTTCCCAAATTATCCCAGGTCTCTCATTTTTTTCAGAGACATACATATTACTCTCTAAATTTACCTTTGGAGTGCGACAACTCAGAGGTTTTAGATCTCCCAGTTATACATACTGGCTGAAGACAGTCATACTTTAATCATTGAATAAGCCAGAGATTAAAAAATAATTATTTTTTAATTTTTTCCAGTATTCAAGATGGTTCTTTAAAACAAAGTCTCGAGTTTCCCAGTGACGATGAAAGTGAACAACAACAACAATCCCTCAATCAAAAACAAAATTTATATCAATTAGCTAATATAGATGGACAAACATTTATAATTCCGCCTTTTAGTGGATGTTTTTTTGAATTAATTGCGATGACTATATATTCACAAATTGAAGAAAATATTTTACATGGATATTTGGATATTGCTTGCTCTATGTTGGAAGAACAAATTTCTGTTAATTTTGAGAATTTGAATGAATTAATGGTGAATTGGGAGAGGGGGGGCTTTAATTAATTTAGGAATGCTTACATTTTGGGAGTACCTACTGTGAAGTCTGTCTACCATAAAGTCATGAATTGATTTTTAGATCACCAATTCTTCAAATTTCCTATTTCCGTGTTCCCTTAATTGGGTTATTTTAGATTTATGATACCTCCTCACTTCTGATTTAGATATCCGTTTTCCTAAATAATATTTAAATATTTTTTTTAATTTTATCCTTCTTAAGCAATTAAAACAATTACAACAAAAAATAGCCATAATATTTCTTCAAAAAGGTAATTTCCTCAAAGCAATTAATTTACTTGTTGAAAGTGAAGCTAACCTAAATATTTTACTTTCATTAATTGCAAAACAAAATAAAGACATTTTTGAGGATTTTGAAGAATTTGAATTGGGAAATAAATTAAAAGAAAATGAAATACCCATTGAAAATATTCCTGTTGAATTAGTAAAGGATTATTTACTTAGAATTAGAATATCCAAAAATAATGATGAGGTAAGTAATAGGGTAGAGAGATGAAGGTGAAGGTTTAGCTGCGGGCAGGCATTAATTCACTCGGAGCTACCTTCACCATCTCTTTTAATAGAAATTCAAAAGGTGAAGGAACTTGCCGTCTTGCCGTCTAACTGAACTCTAACTTGCCGTCTCTTAACTGAATTTCCCTTCCATAAAATTATTAAAAATTTAATAAAATTTTTAAAATTAATAACAGACAAAATTCATTTACGAGATTCCATATCTCGGAGTAATTTTTAATTTCTAGGAGTTAATTTTCTAGTAGTAATTTCATGTTCCTTCGAATCAAAAAATTGCGGGATTACTGGAGCAAAACCCCCGCAAACCTGTTTTTACAAGATATCCACTTTACTTTTTTTATTCTACTTACTTACAAACGTTCCTCGTTCAGAAAATAAATATTTTAATTAATTAAAAAAATTTTTTTCAGTTAATAGAAAGTTCATTAGCCAGAATATTTGTATATTTAAATCAAAATAATAATTTAAATGAAGAATTATTAAATACAAAACATATTTGGAATAAACAAAAATTTCGTTTATGGATAATTAATAAAAATTTTCAAAATTTGAATTTTGCTGCAAAATTGGCTTTTGAAGATGGAAATTTGGAAGAATCTTTTAATTATTGGAAAAAAATTATTTTTGAGGAAAATGTTGATGAAGAAACGAAGGAAATGGCTTTAAATGATTGCTTTGAGGCTTTGGAACGGTAAATAAACGGATAAAAATAGAATAGCCGTTCAACACAATAATTTTAATTTGCAGTTCCAGTTTCTTTATTTTTTTTTCAAAAAAATTTTTGTTTTCAAATTTTGATTTTTCTTTCCTTTCTATTCCTAAATCACCAAAAAATTCGGAAAAACTTGCCAAAACCTATAACTCGGCATAAAACCGTTTGAATTTTTGGAATTGGCAATCAGCCTTCAAAATAATATTTTTCTAGGCTTCTCTATGATTTTTCCTACAAAAAACTTTTAATTCAATTTCAGTATTGATGTTAATTTATTAAAATCAGTACTTGTCTGGTTAATTCCAATAAATCCAAATTTGTGTATGGAAAAAATAGAATATTTGGAGAATAATAAACAAATTAAATTACTTACAGAATTAATTATTGAATTATTTAAAAATGAAGATTTTGATGAATTAATTTATAATTATTTGGATAAAAAAGGAATTAATGAATTGGTAATATTAAGTAATTAATAATTAGTATAGAATTAAGGGGCATCTCTAGTGTAGAAATTAAGGGCTAAACTTATTCTTTTAATTATTCTTGCGTATATCTTTCAAATTGTTTTCTTGATTCCAAAATCCAAAGTCTTTGGAAATGATCCCATAACCGGAAAAATGCCGATATAAACTTTTAAAAACCGTTTTTTTGGAAAATAAAAATTTTTAAAAATAATTACGGGCGGAAAATAGTCGAAAAGAATAAGGGGAAGTTTGGGTGAATAAGCCTTTTTTACAATAGACGAGACCTGGACCCATATAATTATTAGTGATGTTCGAGACTCTCGGTCTCGACTCTCGAGTCGAGAAATTTCTCGGGTTTTTTGAGCTCTCGGTCTCGGTCTCGGTCTCGGTGTTTTGGTCTCGGAAAACGAGACTAAATTTACACCCCTAATGACGGAAATTTTTTGAACTTTACTCGGACCTTGCGTACTTTGATATTAAAATTTTTAAGGAAAAGTCTCCAAAATTCCCAAAATTTTGCCTGCGGCGCTGAAAAATGGAAGAAATCTGGCTTCTTGAGCTCCAAAATTCTCAAAATTTTCGCCTGCGGCGCTGAAAATGGAGGAAATTTGGCTTCTTGAGCTCCAAAATTCAAAAAATTTTCGCCTGCAGCGCCAAAAATGCAGCAAAAATTTGAATTTAATAAGATTAAAGGATTAGATTTTGTGGTTTGTGGTATATTAGATACTGTGGATTCTGAAGGATAAAATTTAATATCAAGGGATGGGTGCATCGATGGATCAAAAAGATATTGTTGGATTTGTAGGGATATGGAAGGATATGAGGGGATTTTAAGAGATTAATGTGAATATCATTGAATATATATTGTGGACAAGTGGATTCAAGCGAGTATGGGGATTTTGAGGTATATCAAGGGATTTTTGGGGATTAGGAGGGACATCAAGTGATATCCCTCTTAATCTCTCGGTCTCGACTCTCGGTCTCGACTCTCGACTCTCGTTTTGGTCTCGGTCTCGGGGTTGATTCTCGGTCTCGGTCTCGACTCTCGACTCTCGGGATTTTTTGACTCTCGAACATCACTAATAATTATCAATCTATAAATTCAAGTTATCGTCTTGAGTTGCGATAGATCCTCTGGTCCACTCTATCCCACTCTTAATGATTTTTTAAATAAAATTCTTTTATTTTTTAAAGGGTTCACAAGCTTCAGTACACAATAAATTTCTTGCATTATTAACACAAAAATATAAACAACAAAAACAAAAAAATAATTTTGAGTTGAGGAATAAAATTTGGAATTTTTTACTTTTTTCATCTTTTTATGATAAAACAAAAGCTTTGAAATTATTTAAAGAAGAAAAAGACAAAAATGAATTTTTTGTGGAAAAATTGTTTATAAGGGCAAATGTAAGAGAATTTTGATTTTTTAAAGGAAACATTTTAATAATTTGGCCTCACCTGAGAGTTGAAAAACTCGTATCTTATAGGGAGGTTTACCATAATTTGTGAATGATGGAGGTACTCGTACAGTCCCTAACCCTAAATTTTGAAGATTGACTGTTTTGGATATTTTGTCTGAAAATAAAATTATAAAAAAATTTTTTTAATTTTTTCTTAAGGAAAATAATTCTATGGAGTGTCTAAATGAATTGGCTAATATTTTTGAATTAAATGAGAATATGGGTGAAATATTGGTTGATGCTGCTGAACTTCTTTGTACACGTTTTCCGAGTCCAGAAATGCTTAAACCTTTGTTGACTTTACATTTACTTATTTCCAAGTATTTTTTAAAAGAAAATTTAAAAAATTATTTTTGTTGAGACTCCGGTAATGTTAAGGACAATAACTATAAATTAATCTACTCTGTTTAAAAAAGAGTTTGGCAAAAGTTTAGCTACCGGACAGGATCTGCGACCTCCTGACAGTTACTGCTAGGCGCTTTCACTCACAGGAGCCCTACTATCACTGAGCTATCGTGGCATCGACTAATGCTTTCTCTTCTATCCTTTTAGATTCTTTAACCCCCACCTAAGCGCTTGCTCTAGGTGAAGCATCCTTACACTTATATCAAAATCCAGTTACATATAATGGATTTTTCTAATTCTCTCTAAATCCCTTCCAAAAGGCGGAGAATCAAAAGCTTTATTATATTCATTTAAAATTTTCTAAATACATAATTTTTCCCCTTTTTTTAGATCAAATTCAACACTTCAAACAAAAATTCCCCATTTACTTTCCCTTTTAGAAAGTGAATTAAATAATGGAGAGCAAGTATTAAATAACCTTCCAAATAATTTATCTTCAACAGAATTAATAAATAATTTTCTACATAGACATGTCTCTAATCGTTTAAATACTTTTAATTGGCAAAATATTTATTTAAAAATGGCTAATTTAGAAATTAAAAATTTAGAAAAACTTTTGGAAGAAAAATTAAATAAAAAAAGATTTAAATTGGATGAAAATAATATTTGCATTTTTTGTGAAAGAAATCTATTAAATATTGTTGGAGAAGAAGAATTTGTTTATATACCAAATAATAATGAAGATATTGGTGGTGGACAATTTGCACATTTGAGGTGTTTTAGAGCTAGAAAAGAAAGAGATTTACTTGATTAAATATAAAAATTAATTAAATCAGAATTTATTTTAAAAAATCAGAATTTAAATCAGAATTTATTTTTTCAGACAGAATTTAGATCAGAATTTATTCTAAACTTTTCCGGAAAACAATTCCGGAAAGAATAATTCTGAAATAGGAATTCTGAAAAAAAGAGAAATTCTGAAATAAATCAGAATTTATTCTAAACTTTAAAAAATCAGAATTCTTTTCCGGAAAACAATTCTGAAAGAAATAAATCAGAATTTACCTTTATAAATGTTATTCCGGAAAGAATGATTCTGAAATAACTCGAAGCTTTCCAGAAAATAATTTTAATTCTGATTATTATTTTTTTATATTTTCTTTTTTTTCTAATTAAAAATTCTTTTTTTCAAAATTATGTTTTTGTTTCAGAATAATAAATAAAGACAATACACACATACATATATTTTCCCTAAGAAAACAAAAAAAACTAAAATATATTTACAAACCCCCTACCATGTCCTATTCAATTTGTATATTTTTTATTGTCACCACTCTTGAAAGCATTTTTTGTCTAAAGAAAATTTTTTCTTCTTAAAAACAATATTTTATTTAAAAATATTAAATTCCCCAATTTTGGCATAAATAATTTAAAGCAATTTATCAATTCCGTGGGAAATAAGGAAAAGCTTTTTTAAGGCTTTGTTTGTGTATTTCTTTCTGTTATTGCTTTGTTTATATAAAATAAATAAATATCTTTATTTCAATTTTTTGCCATTTTTATTTACTCAAAGAAATTTAGTAAAAAAATAAAAATATAAATTAACTAGTCCCCATATGTTTTTATTTAAAAACATTCTAAAGGAAGCAATGTTTTAAATAAAACCTCATTTTACTGAAAAAGTTTCTTTTTTCAGATTTTTAAATGATTTATGCTTTCTTTGTTGGAAACTTTAAAGAAACTTTAAAAAAGAAACTTTTTTTGAATGCAAGTTTTTTTATTTTCCTTAGGTTAAACAAAAAAGAATTTAAATATTTATTCCTTTTCCGGAAATAATTCTGAAAATTAACTTTGTAAATATTTTCGGAAAGTTTCCGGAAAATATTTTAAAATTCTGTTTTGGTAACAAATATACCTAAACATTTTATTAAATTAAAAATCAGAATTTTATAAACAGAATTCTTTCCAGAAATACATAAAAAATAATTCTGATTTTTCTGACTCACCAAAATCGGTGAGAGGAGTAATAATAATTCTGATTTTAATTATTTACCATTTACATATTTAGTGGAAGCATTTTCGAAATTATTTGTTCTGAAACCTTTATAAAAGTTAAACTTTTCTGATAGTTTATTTATAAAATACTCGTATATTATTGTCTTTTCCTCCAAATTTTTTTTTATTTTCAAAATTTCTTATTTTAAACAAATTAATAATTAAAAATCATTTTTCCCTTTTATTTTTAACCTAGAAACGAAATTAGTAATCCTCACTTTTTTAAAAAAGGACTTCGAAAAACTCCTCGGTAACTAACCAAAACCGGTGAGAGGATGCTAATGAATTTGTAAAAAAATATTTAGAAAAAGTAAGAGAAAATGTGGAAATGAGAAAATAAGCAAAATGCAAAAGGAAAATAAAGTACTTTATTTGTTAATGCATTTTATTTTGAAAGAGGACACTACTAAATTAGTTAGTAGCATTGTTATTTTTTACTAATTTAACTTTAAATAAAGTAAAAATTTTTTTGAAACAATTTCGGGAAAGAAATATTTTTTTTGAATTATTTATTCACAAAATTTCAGAATTAAATAAAAGTTGGAGATTATTATAGTAATAATTTGATATTGTTTTCCGGAAAAGTTTTCAGAATTATTTCAGAATTAATTATTTCCGGAATAACTAAAAAAAAATAATTAAATTCTGATTTTCTTCAGAATTGTTTTCCGGAAAAGTTTTAAAAATAATTATATTTTCCGGATAATTTTCAGAATTATTTAAAGATAAATTCTGACTTATTTTAAAAATTGTTCCGGAATTATTGATAAAAAATTAAAAATATTTTCTAAAAATTTTCCGGAAATGTTTATTAAAATAACTTTGTGGTATTTTCCGAAAAGCTTTCAAATCAAAAAATAATGTAGAAAATAAATTAAAGTTTCAGACTTATTTAAAATAAAATTTAATTAAAAAATGTCGTCAACCCCATTAAATGAAGAGAATTTATTACAGCAAACAACAGAAGAATCCCCCTCTTCTTCAATTTGTTCTCAACATATTTTCTGATTTTGATTCTGATTCTGATTTTTCTGGCTCACCAAAATCGGTGAGAGGAGTAATAATAATTCTGATTTTAATTTTTTGCCATTTATTTAGTGGAAGCGGTTCCGAAATTATTTGTTCTGAAACTTTTATAAAAGTTAACCTTTTCTGATAGTTTATTTATAAAATACTCGTATATTGTCTTTTTCTCCAAAAATTTTTCTATTTAAAATTTATTTAAAAAAATTTAATAATTAAAAAAAACATTATTTCCCTTTTCATTTTTAACCTAGAAACGAAATTAGTAATCCTCACTTTTTTTAAAAAAAAGGACTTCGAAAAACTCCTCGGTAACTAACCAAAACCGGTGAGAGGATGCTAATGAATTTGTAAAAAATATTTAGAAAAAGTAAGAGAAAATGTGTAAATGAGAAAATAAGGAAAATGCAAAAGGAAAATAAAGTACTTTATTTGTTAATGCATTTTATTTTTATTTTGAAAGAGGACACTACTAAATTAGTTAGTAGCATTGTTATTTTACTAATTTAACTTTAAATAAAGTAAAAAGTTTTTTTGAAACAATTTCAGGAAGAAAAAAATTTTTTAAATTATTCACAAAATTTCAGAATTAAATAAAAGTTGCGAGATATTTTAGTAATAATTCAAAATTCCGGAAATGTTTCTGAAATAGCCCAAGAAATAATAACCCAAGAATATTTTCCGGAAAAGTTTTCAGAATTATTTCAGAATTAATTATTTCCGGAATAACATAAAAAATAATTAAATTCTGATTTATTTTCAGAATTGTTTTCCGGAAAAGTTTTAAAAATAATTATATTTTCCGGATAATTTTCAGAATTATTTAAAGATAAATTCTGACCAGAGCTGTTTCGAAATTTCGATTTTCGATTTTCGTTTTTCGATTTTCGAGGTTTTTTTCCTTTCGATTTTCGATTTCCGATTTTCGAAATTTAGCAATATTTTCGATTTCCGATTTTCGAATTTTTGAAAAAATTTGAATTTTTGGCGCCAAAAAGTAGGAATTCTGACTTATCGGCCATCATAAATTAAAAAAATTTTCGCCTGCGGCGCAGAAAAAGGAAGATTTTTGGCTTAAGGATCTTCCAAAATTTTCAAAATTTTCGCCTGCGGCGCTGAAAAAGGAAGAATTCTGGTGACTTGGTGTTCCAAAATTCTCAAAATTTTCGACTCAGTAGGTAAAAAAGGAATCCCTGATCTATTAACAATATTATGTTCCGGCTCCGGTATAATGTAGGATTTGCTCGAATTAATGTGGAGTAGGAAGCCCACCCCCCATGCCGGAACCTTATGCCTGTACCGCCCAATCTTTTAAGTAAAGCGGCCTAGCTCTTTCGCTATATCAGGGGATTTTACTTAAATCCTCCATTATCCCTCTTAATCCTCACAGATCTCATGATGAAATATTAATCTTTAACTTTCCACCCGGAGTCTGGGGACACCATGAAGCGGCTCAGTAAATCACCGGCTCCGGAGCCAAGAAATAATAGGTCGCAGTCGGTGCCGTAGATTCGGATAACAAAATTTTGGGTTTGGATATTCATGATTTCACTGGATCTCCTATTTTAGTCATTAGTTTTCCCCAATTCCTTAGAGTTAAAGTAACTTTGGAGAGGAAAACGAAATAAAAGGAAAGAAAATGTGGTAACATAACCGATAAGTACCAAAAATTTATTTTTCATTTTTTTATTAAAAAATTTTTTTTCGATTTTCGTTTTTCGATTTTCGAGGTTATTTTTCTTTCGATTTCCGATTTTCGATTTCGAAGATTTTAAAAAATATTTTCGATTTTCGATTTCGATATTTTTGGATTTATTTCGATTTTCGATTTCCGATTTTCGAAGATTTTTTTGTTTCGAAACACCTCTGATTCTGACTTATTTAAAAAATTGTTCCGGAAATATTTATAAAAAATTAAAAATATTTTCTAAAAATTTTCCGGAAATGTTTATTAAAATAACTTTGTGGTATTTTCCGAAAAGCTTTCAATTCAAAAAATAATATAGAAATTCAATTAAAGTTTCAGACTTTCTCAAAATAAAATTTAATTAAAAAATGTCGTCAACTCCATTAAACGAGGAGAATTTATTACAGCAAACAACAGAAGAATCCCCTGCCTCTTCAATTTGTTCCCAACATATTTTTGCTTTTGAATGTCAAAATTCAAGTTGTTGTGCTTCTTATCATCAACGATTTTTAATGCTTTTATTTTCAATTTTTATTTTTATAATTGCTTTAATTGTTTTTATTTTTATGATAATTTCTGTTCAATGGAGACCTTTAAGTTTGAGACAAAGGTAAAAATATTTAATATCAGAATTATGTATTTTCCGGAAAAGTTTTCAGGATTATTTCGGAATTAATTATTTCCGGAACAAGTTTAAAATAAAATTAAATTCTGATTTATTTTCAGAATTGTTTTCCGGAAAAGTTTTAAAAATAATTATATTTTCCGGATAATTTTCAGAATCATTTTAAAAATAAATTCTGACCTATTAAAAAACATTTCAAAAAAAATCTTAAGATAAATTCTGATTTAAATTTTTAGAAGAGAAAAAAGAATATCAGAAGTTGAATTAAAAAGTTTTGAAGAAACAAAATATTTGAGAAGAATGTCAGAATTAAAGTAAATAATTGAAAATATTTTAAGTAAATTTTTTTTAAATTTTTAGTCCAAATATAAGACGCGAAACAGGCGAATAAGAATAGCTGAATTTAATTAAAAAATATATTTTTTTGAAATTTTTTAAACAATTTTTAAATCTTTTTTTGTTTTAATAAAAAAATTTTTTTAAAGAAATATTCTTTTTTCGATTCAAAAGGCTTCCTGATATCCCTCCAAAAAACGAATCTCTCTTGATTCTTCACATTAATCACACGATAATCATCCAAATCCAACAACAATCTGCCCTTTAATCTCGCAACTCTCATACAGCCAAATCCACTATACCCCGATATCCCCTACCTAAAATTAACAAATAAATACCCCCCCCCTCTCCTCCATAAATATCCCTCTTAAATTATCCACCCTAGAATTAAAAATAACAAAAAAACATTAAAAAATTTTTTTAACTTCTTTTAAAAATTACCAACCTTGAAACTATCAGATTTTCAAATTTAAAAATATATAAATATAATTAAAGTTTTAGAGGGAATTTTACTTTTAGAATGAACATACATATGTACTTTTAGAGTTTATAGACCTCCTCTACCTCCTTTTTATAAAAAATTAAATTTAAAAAATCAATGTTACTAATTAAAAATTATTTCTTAAAAGTGATTTTCTTTTTCTTTAATTATTCCTCTCCTTTCTTTAAAATTTTCCTCGAGTTTTCCTCTCTTTCAAAATTTTTTAATTTAGCGTTGTCAATGGCTAGGCGAGAGAATTTAAAAGAGAAAGGCAGTCTAAAATTATAAATTTAATTGGAAAGTTGCCAAAAAAAATTTTTTTGGGGAGGGGTGGAGGGGCCTGCCTAGCCATTGATAACGCTACGTTATTAAATTTATTGTGTAAGAAGGGGGGGGGCATAAGGTTACTTAAATATCCCCAATTTTAATTGCCAATGCCATTCATAATTTATAAATTTATTTTTTTTAATTTTTAGGTTTTTAAAATATTTTATATATTTAAAAATAAATTTTAGACAAAAATTAGAAAAAAAATTTTCCTTTGAATTTTCCCTTTTTTAAGGGAAATTTTTTTCTACTTCGCTAAAAAATAACATCGGCTGTGTCTAATACATATATTAAACTAAAACAATCAACGGAAGGTCCAGTAAAACAGCTGGGCTATAGCTATTTCTCTCCTTCAGCTAGTGCTAAAGGTTATTCGGCGGCTGGGAGCGAAGCAGCATCTTCAGTAGACCGGGCTGATGTGTTATACATATACCACTCCGCCTACTGCACAGCCTTAGGAATTAAATAGCTATACTATGCTTTACAGTCCTTAAAAATTTAGATTTTCTTGACACCAGAAAATCATAAAATCAAAAAAATTTTTTTTGTAAATTTCCCAAGAGAGTAAGAAATTTCCAAATACTGACAACCAAGTGTGTATTTAACATCGACTGTACTGTATTTAAATTTTTAAACAAATTTTTTTTATCATTTTTAGATAAAAAACGAAAGGAAATTTTTTGAAGAAAATTATGAATTTTCTTCAAAAAACCTTTCGTTATTTAACAATTATTTTTGTTTTTATTTTTGTGAGTCAATTTATTTGTGTTTTGGGAAAAAGGAATTTTGAAGAAGAATTGGGAAATTTGGAACGTTTTTTAGATCAAATTGGAGAAATTAAAATTGAAAATTTTGAAAAATTAAAAGAAAAATTGCCTGAAGGAAAATATATAAATTTTGAAATTTTGAATGGATTGAAGAGTGTTGATGAGGTAGTTGATTTTAAAATTTACTTTATAAATTTTGTGTGTTTTTGAATGAGGCTGACGAAGATTCGACCCTTCCCAAAAGAAGGGCGGACTCAGACAGACAAAACACGGACGGACACGGGTCGGTCAAACGTCTTCTGACCCGAGTCCGTCCGTGTTTTGTTTGTCCATGTCCATCCGTCTCATTCTTTCCTTCCATTTTTCCTTTCCTTGGAGGTAATGAAAAAAAACGATTCCACCCTTCTTTTGGGATAGGGCCAAGTTTTCTTTCATACCCCCATTTGATAATAATTTTGATTTTTAGAACGTTCAAGATGATTTTGAAATGTTAAAAATATTTATTGAAGTATATGAACAATGCTCTCATTTTGAAAAACAAAAAAACCCAGTTTTTGAGAAATACAAAACTAATTGTAGAAATTATTTAAATAAATTGGAAAGAATTAGTAAAGTATTAGGTATTGAATATATTAAGGGGGAAATTGAAGGAAAATACCCAAAATATATTTTTAACAAGTTACCTTTATATGAAATGATTGGAAATGAGGAACTTAGAATGAAACAGATGCAAGAAATTGGAAATTTTGAGATAATAAAACAAAAATTGCCTGAGGGGAAATATATAAATTTGAAAATTTTGAAAGAATTGAAAGGTGTTGATACTAATTCTGACTTTGAATTTCTAACAAATATAAGTAAAATATATGAAGATTGTACTTATTACAAAATACAAACAGACCCCATTTTTGAGAAAAACAAAAATAAATGTACAGGGAATGTGCCAACTGACGAATTTTATCAAGAAGAGAAAAATATTAAAAAAATAAATAATTTTCTTAAACAGTTGGGGGTTGAATTTAAAGAAGAGGAAAAGGTCGGGAAGGAGGATATATGGCCTGATTTTAGTAAAGTAAAAGAAAAGTTTGAGGTAATTGAAACAAAAATTGGAGTTATTGAAATGAAGACATTAAATGAAATAAAGAATGAAATGCCTGAAAGAAAATATATAAATGGGGATATTTTGAATGAATTGAAAGTTGAAAATGAGGTAAGTATGACGTATATGCTAAAATAATTACCCTGGGTAATTATTGTTTCAACCTCTCGTCGGAGGGGGTAATTAAAATGGAGGGGGTAATTATTTTTCCGACGTCTGGCTGTAGGGGGTAGTTAATAGGGCGGGGGTAATTATTTGAGAGAGGGACATTAGTTCAGCATTTACGGTAATTAAAAATTATATAATGAATTTCTTAAATTATTTTCAGCCATTTAAACTTGATGTCGAGAAATTAAAAGAATTAATTAGAGAATATGAACAATGCAAACTTTATGAAGACAAAAATTATTAGGGAGCAGAAGGCGGAGAAAATTTGAGGGCTTTTAAAAAATTTTGTAAAGAATTTCTTCCATTTTTTCGTATTAATATATTTCAAAATTTTGGTATTGAATATAAAGTGGATGAAAAAATAAAATTAAGTTTTCCATCAGAAGATAAAAAGTTTAGTACAAAGATAGTAGATTTCAAGAAAAAAATTTTGGAAATTAAGCGAGAAAGTATTGATAAAATAGAAAAAAAATTGCCGGGAGGAAAATATTTAAATGTTGATGATTTAGAGAAAATCGAGGTTTTAAACCCTTAATTTAATTAATTCGTTTAGATAACACTAAGTGTTAGGCATAATGCGGTACTACCGATAATATAGACTCGGTACTTTAGGTAATGCTGGTATTACCTACATATAAATATTGACATTAAATATCTATTCTCATTAAAAGTCAAAATACCTAATTAATATCTCGTCGAAGTTGCCCTACTAAATACTTATATATTTAAATAAATCTGAAAATTAGAAGGCCGACGGTGGGTTGTCGTTAAAGTTGAATCTCAATTTTAAATATATACCCCTTCCCCCAATTCTAGATAAGTTTTTTTTAAGTTTATGGGATATAAGGTTGAAAGGAGAGTCAAAATATTGGTATTGAAAAAATATAAAAAAACAGCCTAGAATATCTCTTATTATATTTAAAATACACATATAAAGAATTTTAAGAATTTTCCAGTCCCAAGCTAATTTTTTTTTTAATTTCAAAATTTAACTAAAAAAGGGGAAGTATAGGGGAAGTATATCCCAAATAAATTAAATTAATAATTTAAGAAAAATAAAATTTAAAAATAATTAAAAACTAAAAATCAAATTAAAATTTAAGATATATTTCATCAATTTTGATAAATTAGAAAAAAGTATTGTGTTGGCTCCCATACAAAATACCGAATTCTTAAAATATGGAATCTCAAAATCGCGAATCGGCTAAAAAAGCTCAAAATATGGAATCTCAAAATATCGAATCTCAAAATATGGAATAGGCAAAAAAAGCTCAAAATATCGAAAAATATCGACAATGCGGCAAAGGCCAGTTGAGTCTGAACAAAGTTGTGACCAACTTCTTCGTAAAAAAATTTTAAAAATAAGAGAAAGTATTTTTCTAAGGTAAAAAAATGTGCTGATTACGAATCTCAGCTCGGATTTTGAAAAAGTCGAATCCCGGACCCGAACCGAATTTCGAATCCCGAACCGAATTTCGAGTTTCCGAATGATAGCTCATCTGAAAGAGCACGTCGAGCTGCATCGAATGATACCAAAATCAATGAAATCCGACCTGATTGGACTGAGTTACAGATCCCTGAATAATCAGAAAAAGACCTGCAGCGGCACTCAAACGGCCCTTTTCGTTTTTAAAAAATTCGACATTTTTAACTACTTTTTAGCCGATTCGGTATTTTGAGCTTTTTTGGCCGATTCGCGATTTTGAGATTCGATATTTTAAGATTCCATATTTTGAGCTTTTTTGGCCGATTCCATATTTTGAGATATTTTTACCGATTCGCGATTTTGAGCTTTTTTAGCCTATTCGCGATTTTGAGAATTCGGTATTTTGTGCGGGCACGATTGTGTTATATGCGGCATGTTTTGATAATTTTTTTGGTCATGTCATGATGTCAGCAAATAATTGCAAAGAAGTTGAGACGAAAGTAAATAAAATGTTTGGAGTGTTAGGTCTTGAATATAAGAAAAAAGAGGTTTTGTTTTTAAGTTTCTGACATTAACAAAAATTCAAAATATCCAAAAGATTTTTTTTAATTTTTAAAGAAAAAAGAAAATTGAATTTGATCAGTCAAAAATTGAATATAAGCGCCAAAATATACTATTTAAAATAATTAAATATTAATTTTTATTTTTATATAGGGAAGATTTAAAAAAATGATAAATCGTGTAAAAAAGGCATTCGGTGGAAATGTTCATAAAGGAGAGGTAAGGGATATCTAATAAAGAATATTTAATTTAAGGATGTAGTAGATATTTATAATTTTTTTGAAATTTTTTAATTTTAAAGGCTTCCGGAGTTAAGAAAGGACCAAACAATGAGAAATATATAGAATTGCAGAAACATCTTCTTGAACACGATTTTGATGATGAAAAAGTTTGAAGAGAGGAAGATGGAATGAAAGGAAGAGGATTTGAAAAAAGAAAAGTAAAAATGTGGAGAAATTATGTAAAAAAGGGGCGGGCGGGAATGATTACATTCAACAATATATACCTTAAACCGAAAGATGTTTTTATTTAATTTTAAAATTAGTTTGGGATCAGTGCTGGGTACATATAACTATTCCACCGTAGCCGGCTCTATCCGAACCAATATTTTGGAAGTGTTGGGCTAAACATCAAATACCTAACCAATGTTTGAGATAACCATCAAAATAATGCTAGTTTTTGGAAAAACTTTCGTATAAAAAAAGGTGGAAACAAAAACTGGAAAAATTTACCAAAAGGTTTATCAAAAGCTGGGGTTGAATGTAATCAGCAAAGAATTTCCCCCTCTCATTCAACATGTAAATATCCCCCTTCAAAGTAGCTTATTAGTCATCAAAAGCCAAACAAAGTCTTCAATTTGAAGACAACTCCATTATATATCCAAATTTTTTTTATTTTTTAAATTTAAAACATTTTGAAGACATTTTTTCTTTGATTTTTTAAATTATTCAACAAATTTGTAGTTTAGATTATTTAACAAAAGCATAAATTTATTTTTAAATTTATTTTATTTTTTAATTATTCACAAAACAAAACATTAATTCAAAAATTAGAGGAAATTCCGGAAATGTTTATAAAATTAAAACAAAAAAAGTTAATTTTGTAATTCTTCCATAATTATTAACCAACTATTTATTCTTGAAGCCTTTCAAGAATTCTGAAACTTTTTATAAAAATTAAAGTAAATAAATTATTCATGCTCCATTTTAAATTTATTTTTATTTGCAATATTTAATCTAAAAAATTTAAAAATTAAATTTAAAAATTAAATTTAAAAATCAATTATTAATTTTTAAAACAAAGAAAAAATTTTTTTAATTAATTTTATACGATCCTGAACGATTTTGTATTTCTTTAAAAATTTTACCTCGGGTTTTCCTCCTTTCTTTATCTCCCCCTCCTTTAATTAAGTTGTTTAAAAAATTATGCGCCGTCATTGTCTAGACGAGAGAATTTAAAAAAGACTGTTTAAATTAATAAATTTAAATGGAAGGTTGACAAAAAAATTATTTTGGGGAGGAGTGGAAGAGAGGGATGTGCAAAAGGGGAAAATGAAAAGAAAAAAGTTTTATAAAAATTTTAAATATTTTTTATTTTATTTTTTATTGGATTTTTTAAAGTTAAACACAAAGAATGGCTATCAACGATTGTAAAATGGAAATTAAATTGATTTAGTAAAAAAAAAGGAAAATTTGAGGAGACATAAACGGTTGATTGTGTTGTTATATTCACCTTGTTTTGTCTTGTCCGTGTTTTGTCCGTTCCGTGTTTTGGCATTCCTTGTTTTGCCCCTCACCCCCGCCCCATTAACCATTTCCAACCTTTTCTCTCTCCCTTCTTTAAATTAATTAAGAATTGTCAAAACTTGTAAATTTAACTAACTCTTCTAACATTCCTTCAATAACTAAAATTAAATTATCAAATTTAAATTATCAAAAATTGTCTCGATTATTTTAAATTACATAAAATTATTTATTGAAATTGCACATAGGTATATTTATTTTGGCTCTTGTCCAGTTTATGCGTCCCATGAAAGTATATGCGTCCCATCAACAAAAAATTGGATATTTCTTGGTGTTGCAAAGTAGGGGTATGGTTCCAAAGCATTTCTTCATGTTCGGGATCTACGTCCACTGGGTCTGGGACCGTTCCTTACCCTATCCTTCGAAATTTCTGAAAGTTATAGCCAATTTTTAAAAATTTCAGAAAAACGATTTTAACTTTCAGAAATTTCGAGGTATAGAGTAAGGAACGGTCCCAGACCCAGTGGACGTAGATCCCGAAAATGAAGAAATGCTTTGGAACCATACCCCTACTTTGCAACACCAAGAAATATTCAATTTTTTGTTGATGGGACGCATATACTTTCATGGGACGCATAAACTGGACAAGAGCCTTTATTTTTTGGAATAAATATCACCCAATTTGATAAGAAATACAGAATGAAACAAAATTATGATTGCTCCTTGTAATACAAATAATTTCAATTTTTTTAGCAAAATTTAACAAATATAAGCTAATTTAGTTTTGGTCTGGAGAATAATTTTAAATAACTATGTATATCGTTTTTAATTTTATAATAGGTTTAATAGTATAGATAAACCTTGGGTCCACCCCAGAAGATCAAAACCCCTAGAGATCAAATACAAAATATCAACTTTAAAAATTAGAATATTATTTCCCATGTTTGCCTATCCATTTAATTAACCTAATTAACCAACTCAACCTATATTTATTAATTTGGTATATAACATTAGAATTTTGTGAAAAAACTTTTAGGTTTAATTTATTTGTGTAAAGCATATAGCTATTAATTTCCTAAGGCTGAGCAGTAGGCGGCGTGGTGTAATGGCTAACACATCAGTCCGGTCTACTGAAGATGCTGGTTCGCTCCCAGCCGCCGAATAACCTTTTGCACTAGCTAAAGGAGAGAAATAGCTATAGCCCAGCTGCTTTACTGGTAGCACCGGATGGTTCAGCGAACGCTGAACGAATGACGATCCATCCCATAGGCCCTGGGTTAGAGAAAAGGAAATTCCGCCAGAGAAGGCGATGATTAAGCTACCCCGCAGGTGAGAGAAAAAGCGGGAAGAGGGCAGATAAGAAGACTAGGGACAGTCTTCCCTGGGGATGGAGGTGTAAAGCATATAGCTATTAATTTCCTAAGGCTGAGCAGTAGGCGGCGTGTTGTAATGGCTAACACATCAGTCCGGTCTACTGAAGATGCTGGTTCGCTCCCAGCCGCCGAATAACCTTTTGCACTAGCTAAAGGAGAGAAATAGCTATAGCCCAGCTGCTTTACTTTTGGAGGGATCAAGTAGGATTTGGATAGATATCTGACCTCTATTTAATTTTTTATTTGGTTGGTCAGTTAATATGAGTGAATGTTCTATCGTATTTCTTATTTAAAATCCAAGGGAGTATTTTCAAACAAGGTCCGATTTACTTGTCTAATGGCCATAAAATTGTTTTTTGTATTTGTGTAAGACCCCAATTACTTGGAGAAAACATCGCAACTCTAAAACATTTATTGCTTTATTTAATTTATTTAATTTTTTATTTAATTAAAAAATCAATTTAAATTTTTTTAATTTTTAAAAAATTGATTTCCTTTCCAAATTTAACTATTTTGTATTTTATTTTTTGTATTTTGTTAAAATTTTATCTCGGGTTTTCTCTCTTTCACTATCGCCCTCTCTCTCAATAAAATTATTTAAAATCAATGCCTTGGCAGGAGAGAAGTTAAACAATGGCATTTCAAAAGAATAAATTTAAATAGAGGGCTAGCAGGAAAAAATTTTGGGGGAAGAGGGGAGGGAGGGGAGAGGAGGAGAAGGGATGGGAGGGGGGAGGTGATGGAGGGAGGGATGGAGGGAAGGCATTATTTTATATATACCTCCATTTTTATTGCCAATGCCATTCTTCTCTTTAAATTTTTAATTTAATTTTTTAATTTACTTATATTTTTCCTCCCCTTCTCCTTCAATTAAAAACCCTTAATTTTAAAATAAAATTAATTAAATAAAAAATAAAATTAAAATAAAATTATTAATATATCCCCGCATACCCCAATAGAAAAGAATTTTTAAATTAAAATTTCAGCAAAGCAGGCGAAAGTTTTTTTATTTTCTGAGGCCCAGCAAAGCCAAAAAAGACCAAAAGACTTCATCCTTTTTTACTCTACTTCTAATAAAAAAAATTCTAAAATTAAGGAGAATAATGTGGAAAATAAAAAAAAATAAATTTAAAACAAAGGCGGAAAAATTAATTTTTAAAAAATTCAACAAATTTAAAATTAATTTTTAATCTCTAATAATTTTAAATATAAATATTTTTACATAAAGTATTCCTAAATTTTTACTCACAAAATTTTATTTTTAATATTTTAATTTTATTTCAAATTAGTAGAAAACTTAAAAAATTCTAAAATTAAAGAGGGGGGGCTATAACGTAGGGGGAGGGGGGTACAACCAAAAACATTTCAACATTTAATGGCTTATAATGTTATATATACCAATTATCCTTTTTAACTTAAAATTTTATTAAAAAAGTTTTTTTTCGAAAATTATTTTTTAAGATAAAATCCAGATAATTTATTTAAAGAAAATTATGAATTTGCTTCGAAAAACTTCCTCCCATCTTTTAATTGTTATATTTATTATTCAATTAATTTGTGTTATTGGAAGTAAACGAACAAATTTACCAGATAAAATATTAGAAATAAATAATTTTGACGACAAAATAGGAAATTTTGAAAAAGTTTTGAGTAATTTAAAATTAGAACACGGTGCTTATGTAAACTTCGAAATATTGCAAAAAGAAGAATCGGTTTTAATTTTAATATAAAAATTTATAAAATTTAAACTTAGATTTTATAGCCTAAAAGTTGAAAATTCTTTGATTTGAAGGATTTCTTCATTTCATATTTTACTACTTTCTTGTATTCTCTATTCAAATAAAAATTTTCATCGTTTGGTCCATATTAGGGAATTATTGGGGTTGGATTAGATAAATTTTTGTTCATAGAGTAACCACAAATTTAGGCAAGTCTAGGTATTATAATTTATTAGAGTTAGCCTACAATTTTATTGAAAGCATTTCTTAATTAAAAATTAAAATTTTCAGAATAAAGAGAATTTGGAAGTTTTAAAAACAGTTTTTTATTCATATGAGGCTTGCCTTCATATACTTCATATACTAGATAAAACCGTTACTGCGGAAAGCAAAGATGCTTGTGAAGATAAAGATATTATTACTCGAGTGGATGGAATATTAAAGGCATTAGGATTTGAATATGTAGAAGGAGAGGAAAAAAAGAAAAAGGTTTTATAAAAATTTTAAATATTTTTTATTTTATTTTTTAAAGTCGTGGTGGGGGAAAATTAGTGGTGGGCTTTTAAAGTCAAAATCAAAAAAGGGCTATCAACGATTGCAAAATGGAGTTTAAAAGAAAAGAAAAAGATTTGAGAAAATTTGAAGAGACAAAAAACGATGGATTCTATTGATATATATTCAATTGAAGTTTTATATACCTCCTCTCACCTCCTCCCATTAACCATTACCAACTTTTTCTTCCCCATTTTTTAAATTTAAAAATTGTCAAAACTTGTAAATTTAACTAACTCTTCTCCCATTCCCCTCATTAACTAAAATGTATTTATTTAAATTACCAAAAATTGTCTCTATTATTTTAAATTGCATAAAATTATTTATTTAAATTACATATAGGTATACAGATTGTTCCAAAATTATAACCGTACCCCTATTTTTCTCAATATTTCATGTCCCATTCAATTGTTCATTTTTTATATTTCTTGTTGATAGATGTTCAGAAAAATTTTTGCGGGTTTTTCCCTTTATTTAACACAAGAAATCAAAGTAACGGTTATAATTTATTTTATTTATTTATCAACATAAAAATTTTGGAACACTTTTATTTAAAAAATTTAAATAATTCAACGTCGGTACATGAAAAAACTATATTTTAGTATTTAATTTGGTCCTATTATCGAGACTATGTACATTGAAATCTCCCTATAACGACTCTTCACAAAAATTTTTTTCTATATTTTCAGACTTGGAAGAAATTAATCGCAGAAAAATACAAAAAATATCTTCATTCCCATTATAATATTAGGTAAAAATAAATTTTTATATAAAAACAAAATTTTTCTTTCAACCAAATTACACACAAAATAAACATAAAAATGTATACATAAATATATAAAAGAAATAAATTGAGGGGAATGACAGTCAGAGGAAAAAAGAGAAAAATTAAATATATTTTTTTAAATTTTATATAAAAAACCGAAATTTTTTTAAAAATTAATTTAAATATTTAAAAGGCAATGAGCATCAATTGGTCTCTCTCTACAAGGGAAGAAATAACAAAAAATATAAATATATGTATAATATCATTCAGACTGGGTATTTGTGCACGACAGCAAATCTGTCAAGACACTGAAAAAAAATTAAATTTAAAAAATTTTTGAAAATAAGTTTTTTAAATTTCCAAATTCCAAAAAAGGAGATAATTTCTTGCTTAATAGTCGGGTTCGATATTACAGGGCGAGGGCTGGGCTTTCAGGAAACAAGGGTTGCGGGAAATTTGGGTTCGGGGGGTCCCCCGATAGCTTCTCTCGGGGGAATTTTTATAAAATTAAAAGTACCCAAAATTTTAACAAAATTTGCTAAACGGCAGATAAAACGATAGGTTATTCCCGGGGACGGGGACAAATCCTACTTAATATCAGTTTTGGAAAAAATTCTAAAAAATAATAAAAAGGAAATCAAAAAAATTCTAATTTTACTAAAAAATAAAATTAAAAAATAAAAGGTCCTCCTCAAAAAGAAGAGGACCTTTTATTTATGAATCCCCCGTCCTCTCCCAAAAAAACTTAAAAATAATTTTTTAATTCAAAACCTGCCGAATTCCAGGCAAATTTAATATTGTCCCAATTATAGGCATTTGACGAAGAAAATTAACTGCTGACGGTAGAAAACCGCTAAAAAATAAATTTTAAAAATAAAAAAAAATCCAAAAAAACCCAAAAAGAAGCACAAATCCCCATATTTCAACAATAATTCCAATTAACGCCCATCCAAGTAAAACTAAAAATATTCCTCCAAAAAAGAGTGCAGAGCCACGAATTTTGTGCCATTGAAAAAAGAAAATAAATGTTCTTTGTATTCCAATAACTAGTGTTAATCCAGCAATAAATAATAACTTTAAAAATGATTTTTTTGAAAAAAGAAAAATAATTTTTTTTAATTCAAAAGTTCTTTTATAAAATTAATACAGCGATTGCGGACTTAATTTTCTTTTTCCTTCATGTCAACAAAATATTAATTTATTTTATTAAAATAATTTAGTAGTAAATAAAAAATAGGCAATTGTGGGAATCACATTTTTTGCGAGATTTACATAGATCAATTACTCCCAAGTTGACACGACAAATGTTTTGAACAATAAAACTTGTTAAAAAGCCCACCCCAAACTTGAAAACCAAAAATATAGTTTACAATTGTATATAGAATTTTAGGTTTACTAAACTCAAAAAGGGCATAAAAGTAAAGTTTTATGGGTGAACTACCTATTTGTGAATATTAAAAATACCTCACTCCCCTCCCTCACAAATTTAATAAAATAAAAAAATATATACATTTCCAATAGCCAAAAGCGCCTTGTCAAGAAATAAAACGATTCCTAAACCAATAAAAGTAACGCCAAATAAAGCTAGACCAACACCAATTTCTGTATAAAATTAAAAAAAAATTTTAAAAATTAATAAAAAAATAAACGTTTTGAATTGCTGAGTTCAAAATTCATTTTCGTCTTTAATTAAATATGTGAAATAAAGTCAAAATATAAATTGGAAAATTTTAATTTTAAAGAAAAAAATTTTTTTTGATAAAAATTATCTAAAATTAAAAATAAAATTAATAATTAATAAATTGACTAGCTGGAACTTATTTTGTAATTAAGCTACTTCACTGATAATTTCACTTCGGTCAGAAGAGAAAAAAGCTTTTATTTGGTCAAAAACTGAGTATGTTTATAGTTAAATTTTGTTAATATCAAAGGGCAGAGAATATTTTTCTGTAGAATTATTCCATAATTAACTTTTGTAGGAGAATATTTTATCAAGTTTAGTTAACAAAAACCTCAAAAATTAAAACTTTATTATTTTGTAATTTGACGTTATTTTGGTGTTTTGAAAATTTTCCATTTAGACATTTTACATAAATGAGAGAAAATGGAAAAAGAAAAAGAGTAAATTTTGTAAAATTGAAGGGAAATTTACTTGGAAGTCATTCACATATTTTTTTTTATTTTGTTGCAAATTTTGTTTGATTCTAATCATTTCTTTAATAAAATTTTATTTTATTTTTAGATTTAAAAAATTAAAAAATAAACGCAGTTGCGAGGACTTTATAAAGGAGCATCTTGCGAGGATTAAAAATGACGTTAATTTTTGTTTGATTTAAAATTTATTTCTTCAACTTTTTAGTGAATCTTTAGAAACAAACGAAGTTCTTAAACGTGTTTTGAAGTCTGCTTTGATTGCGGATGGAGTTGCTCGAGGTATTAATGAAGCTGCCCGTACATTGGACAAGTTTGTGTTTTTAATTTGTTTTTTAAGACGGTTTGGTATTTTTCGAATCTCGGGCCAGAATTTGACCTTTTGTTCATTTCCTAGTGGAAAAATGTTTCCATTGAGATGTCATACACGAGACAACGGGTCGTGGAATTTTCTAGTACGGAGAGAATTAGACGGGTGATTTGACAATAGGAGTAAACATCCTTCATGCCCCACTTATCGTTAGTGTATAAACTAGGCGGGAACACATCCCTTATTTTCCATTAGTTTTTTTGGGAGTGTTTTTAATTTATATTTTTTAGGCGTGAGGCTTTTTTCTGTATTTATGCAAAAGGATGTGATGAGCCAAGCTATGAAAAGCTAGTTCGTTCTCTTTGTAATCAACACGGAATTCCGATTATTGAAGTTGAAGATAAATCAGAATTAGGCCAAATGGTTGGACAATGTAAAGTGGACAAGGAAGGGAAGGCTAGGAAAATTGTTGGTTGTTCTGTGGCCGTTGTTAAAAATTATGGGCGTGATGATGAGGCTAAAAGTGAAATGGAGGAAATTTTGAAGAAAGTTAAGGTTGGGGGAAATGATGAATAAATTAAATTGAAAGAAGGACAATTTAAAAGGTTTTTTTGTTGTTGTTGTTATTTTAATAATTGTTAAAGTAAAAGGAATTGTTTGAATTTTATTTTAAAGAAGTCCCTTCTGATTTGTATTAGGGAAGGGGGGGGGGGTGATTTGGCTACCTATATGGTATTTTTATTAATTGTAAGTTTTAGTTTTTAACATTAGCGAATCTCAAAAAATGAAATAACACAAAAAATTCCATCAATTATCAGTTTATTGTTATCCAAATAAAATAGCCTTTCAAATTAACACTGAAAATTAAAAGATGTCCAAGACCAATAAATTTGCAGAACATAAGACAAAAATTAGTATAAATTGATTTCTTATTTTGTTTATCCAACTTGTATTACTAACACAAGTAAAAATTACCAAATCAATCTGTAAATATCAAGCGAGTTAGTCTGAATTACAGCTCTCCCACTCCACGCCAACAGAACTAAAAAAGTTTCTTGAATTAAGGTTATCTAATATTGAGGGTGTTTTAAAATGAGTTTTTTTATTTTAAAAAAATATTGAGAAATTTTGTATTGATTTTGAGTGCATTTCCGCTAAAAACATCAAAAGGAATATTTATAGACAGACATAATCAATTACTTCACGTGAATTAAAATTGAAAAGGGCATTTATTTGAGGATAAAGATAAAAGGAAAAATATACATATAAAAATATTAATTAAGAAGCATTATTCACTCATTTTTCTTTTTCCTTGATTTTTTTTATAAAAACAATTTTCAAAATTAATTTAATATTTTAACGACTATTTTAAATTAAATATAAAGTCAAATCCTTATGTTTACTGGATACTAGGAGTGGTAATTCATGGGAAATCCCTATGATATTCGGAGCCGACCCGTAAATTTTTGGATATCCTGTCTCTTTAGGTTTTGAATATCCTGAACCTCCAGCCTTATCGGCTACACCTAAATTTAAGGTATTTGTTTAAAATCTGGTATACCCCTCATTTAAGATGACCTTCGAGTATAATTTTTTAAATCCCAAGGGTGTATCTTATAGTAAAGTTTGTTAGTAAAAATTATTTTTTTAATTTTTAGAGAAAAGAAAAAATGAAGAACAAACAAATTAATTTCTTCTTTTTTCCTTTAATTATTATTTTAATAATTAATTGTTTTTATTCAACAGCTGAGTTATTAACAAATAAAAAAGTAATGGGAAAACAAATTGGTTCAAATTTAAATCCGGAAGGTCAAAAAATTAAAAAAATATTATTTTTATTAGAATAAATAACTGGAAAAAGTCTTAGAATGAGATTTAACTTACCGTATTTTTCCCAATAGAAGCGCATGCGCTTCTATTTTTCAACCTCCTCGTAGACTGCGCTTCTATTGGGACGTGCGCTTCAAATGGGACGTGCGCTTGTATTTTTCAACTCCTATGCGAATTAATTTTTATAACATTATAGAAATTTAAAGCAAATAAAAATTTCAATTCCGTTTTCATTATCTGCATTAAGATCAATTTTTACCTAACTTTCTGAAATTTCTTTATCCTCTCAAGCTTGGTGTAATAAAGCCTGACCTTCTGGTCTAAAACAATGTATTTCATCATTTTCGGAACCGTCACTTGGACGGTTCCGATGAATCTGGTGAAACCGACAACCCTACTCTCAAATATTCGGTATGATATTATAATGCCAAAAACTTGTAATGCCAAAGCTTGTAATGCCAAAAGCTTGTAATGCCAAAGCTTGTAATGCAAAAAGCTTGAAATGCCAAACCCCCAAAAGCTGTTGAAATGCCAAACCGTGGAAAATAGCTTGTAATGCCAAACTCCCAAAATATGTTTAAATGCCAAACCATGGAAAAAAGCTTGAAATGCCAAATAAATACAAAACTAAAATTTTTTTGTTACTTCTGATAGAATTTGTTGTTAAAATTTTTTGTTTGTTCCAACAACAAGGATGTTGTTGTTCCAATTGAATTTTCGCTGGAAAAACTCTAGGCCGGACATGCGGGGAGGGGCCGGCACTACGGGGAATGTTGTTCAAATTGTGGGGAAAATTGTTCCAACGGTTGGGGGAGTTGTTCCGACTACAGGGAAAGTTGTTCCAATGACGGGGGATGTTGTTCAAATGACGGGGACGTTTGTTCCAGTGATGGGGGAAGTGAGATGTTGATCCCCCGTTGACGGACCAACTTCCCCTGTTGACGGATCAACTTTCCCCGTTGACGGATCAACATGCCTCGTCATCGGAACAACTTCCCCCATCATCGGAACAACATTCCCCGTTGTGTTGGAATAACATTTGGCATTTCAACATATCTTGGGGGTTTGGCATTACAAGCTTTTTTCCACGCTTTGGCATTTCAACATCTTTTGGGTGTTTGGCATTACAAGCTTTTTTCCACAGTTTGGCATTTCAACAGCTTTTGGGGGTTTGGCATTTCAAGCTTTTTTCCACGCTTTGGCATTTCAACAGCTTTTGGGGGTTTGGCATTACAAGCTTTTGGCAATATAAAACGCTCCGAAATATTCGATTATGAGGGCATAATCCATCTAGCTTTTTCCACTCCCTCCCCTAGGGAAGATGGAAATAAATTTTTCCCCAATTATAACTCAAAAACCCTTAAATCGTTTCGACAAGAGAGGGATCTGGTCGTTTACGTGAAAGTAGTACAAAGGGAAAATTGAAAAAATTTATCGATAGAATAAGTTTTGCGTTTTCGAGTATAACACCGGTTATACTACTTGAACATTCAGCTAAACATCAATTTCCATTTTTTTTATAAAAAAGTGTAAATTCTTAATCTAAATGTAAATGAATAATACTTGTTTAAAATAGTAACTAAAAAGCAGACTTGCACACGGATACTGATCTTGGTATCCGTATCCGGATATTTACGGCGGATACGGACAGATACAGACGTTTATATACAGACGGATATACGGCGGATATCAGGCATTTTGATATTATTTGTATCCGTATCCGTGTGCAAGTCTGCTATAAAAGTAACTAAAAAGTAAATAGTAATTCTAAATTTTTTAAAAATTAAAATTTATATTGCTTAAATAAGTATGCCATAGGGTGCGCTTATAATAGGACGTGCGCTTCTAATGGGACCTGCGCTTGTATTTTTCAACCTCCTCGTAGACTGCGCTTCTATTGGGACGTGCGCTTCAACAGGGACGTGCGCTTCTATTGGGAAAAATACGGTAAATGGGGGTATCTTTTATGCTAGGGATACACAAAATCAACAGAAAAGATAACGGGAAAAGAGGACTTTTTCTATTTTGAAAATTATTTTCTGTCTAAAGATGCATAGCCGGCTTTTATGCTCCACCGCTCAAAGGCCGACCAAACTTTTTTTAAAATTTAACTTAAATAAAAGTTTATAGGCCCTCTTATTGTGAGGTCGGATTTTATACAATTATTTATTTTTTTATTCAGCTGCTCCTTACAATCCTTTACCTCCAGCTCAACGTAAAAAATTATTTGAAAAAATTAAACTTTTAAATACTAAAAAATTAAATCCGAAAGGTTATTTCTTTTTAATTTTAAATTAATTATCTGTATTTAGCTACTCCTTATGAACCGCTTAGCCCTCATGGACGTCAAAAAGTTTTTGATTCTATTTTGAAACACCAGCAAAATTCAATTAATGAGCACCCAACAATTTACGAGAATTATTCACAACAACAGCAAGAATATTACAATAACTTGTCTCCACTTTCTGAAAATGTTTGTAAATAATTATAGCTACTAGCATTTTTTAGTTTTTCAAAATGAAATTAAACAGACTTCACTGACAGAAGATTTATATAATCCTAAGTTTTAGATATTTTTCTAAATTAAAAACCATTACACCAAGGATGGGCTGTCTCCTTTCGATTTTTATTTTGTTTCGCTTCCTTCCACCTTCCGTTTTCCGCTTTAAAAATGCGGTAGGGCCCATACTTAATATATTATCATATATGATTTTTTAAACTCCCAAAAGGATATCTTTAGTAAAGGAGATATAAATAATTTTTTTAATATTTAGTTAATTCATCGCTTTAACGAAGCAGCAGCATCATCAAGTCACCAAACTAATAAATTAAAAAGTAAAATTAAATAGGTATATAAATTCGAATAAATAAGTATTTGAAATAATTTTTTAGTTTAAATGCAAGAAATGGAGAAGAGCCTAACAGGAAAATTGAGACGGAAATATTTATGTTCTCCTTATCCCCAAGTCAAATTATAATGACAAAAATTGTTGGAAAGATTTTTTAAATATTTAAGAATGAAATTAAACCCTCAACAAATAAATACATTCAGCCCTCGCTATAAGTATACAATTCTCGATTTAGGTTGTTTTATGGTGGAGAGGGAGACAAGATTAGTGATTGGAATTTCGTACCGTATCGTACTATCCAAACAGAATAAAAATATCGAAAAATACGGCAGTAGTACGGATGGTCCGATCACTACTTAAGATAGGTACGATATAAGATATAATCTTTTCAGTCCCAGGGGAGTATCTTATAGTGGGCTAAATTGAATTTATACATTTGAAAACTTTTAATGTTAATTATTTATTTATTTAGATTTTTAGTTTAATAAATTTAATTTGTATTAATTGTGTATCGAATCTTTTTAAAAATATCCCTATCAATATATAATCTCTTTAAATCTCCATAAATCCTCCCTTCTATTTTGTATTAGTTTCAGTATCTTTAATTTTGTTAACTGGATTAAAATCAATCGGAATTGAACGTTTTCCCTCAACAGTTTGTTTGGCAGTTATAAATATTGAACGTCCATTAATGTCAAATTCACATCTTAATTATAATTTTTATTTAAAAATATTTTAAAATTTTTAGTACTTAAAAGTTTCCTTTTTAATTCCCTCGGGAATATAGACACGACGAGTAAATTGACGATGGACTGTTTCTCCTTCAATTTGTTTATTGAAATGTTCTCCGGTAACTACAACTTCATTTCCCTCAATTTCAACAGTTACTTCTTCTGGACGAAAGCCAGATACATCCACCTTGTAGGTAAAATCCCCATTAGGTTCAATTTTCATTTGGGCGGCGTGGTCACGCATCTGGAAATTCTAAAGAAGCTTAAAACTTTTAAAAAAATTGAATGAAATTATATTCGGACTTCTTAATAAATAAATAAGTTTGCCACAGAAAGATATATGTAGTAAAGAATCTGGGCTATAGCTATTCTTCTCCTTTAGCTAGTGCATAAGGCTAGGAGCGAAGGGATAAGACTGGGAGCGAGGGGACATCAGTCCGGTTTTCAGTGGACCGGACTGATGTGTTATCCATTACATCACGCCGCTTACTGTACAGCCTTAGGAATTAAATAGGTAGATATTTGGGTATAGGTATTTGGGTATCTAGTATTTGGAGTGTATCTTATTTTATGAGGTCTCCATCTTTATTCAAAATCTCTACTTGAAACCCCATATATTCATCAAAATAATAATCCATTGGTTGCATCCAATTATCCATTCGATTGAATCGGTCCATCCAACGGTTTCCATAAAATGGAGTCTTTGAGCGATTAAATGGAGTATAAGCGGTGAAAAAGGCTGGGGAGAACATTCTTTGGAATTTTGTGGATTTGTATGTGTTTGAATGAATATATTTGTTTTGTTTGGGGTAATTATTCTCTATTTATATATTTATTAATTTAAGCATAGTTCATTGTAAATTGCTTGTTTTGGTTTTTAAAAAATGCAAAACAAAGCAAAAAAGTGTTATTTAGAAAAGAATAATTATTTAAAATGTCAGCAAAAAGTGTTTTGAAAAAAAAATAATTTTAAAAACAAAAAATAAACATACGATGATAAAAAATTAGATAATTAATTTTTAAAATATTATGTCAAAAGAATTCAATTAAATTTAATAAAATGGATTACAAAGCCTTTAAAAATATTATTTGACTAAAAAAAATAATAACTAGGGATCGGATTTTTAGGTTGTAAAAAATGCCATTATAGTTGACAAAATACAACAACTTCAACAACCTATTTTAGGTTGCAAAACGCTAAAATAGGTTTGAATAGGTTTTTAAAAATAAAATTTTTTTAAAAGCTTTTTAAAAAATAACCACGGATTTGAGCTCAATTCATTATAACTATTTCGCAAAAAATAGGTTATAACCTAAAAATCCGATCCCGAATAATAATAGTTTCTTTAATTAATAATGACTAGAAACTTTGTCCGAAATTTAATTAAAATAATTAATTTAAACTAAAAATTTAGGTTAGTTCCTCATATGTTTGGATTTAGATTGGATATATTATAGTGAAAATTATACACAAAAATCTTCGAGAGCTGTCAGGATTCGGGCAATCCTCTTATACGTTAAATTAATAGTCTTTCTCCTTCTCTTCATCAGACACCTCATCTGCCCAACTCTTTTTTTCTTTCTAAATTAAAAAATCTCGATTATTTCAATTAATTACATCCATCAAGTAAACCCGATAATAATTATTTAAGTAAAGAAAATACCTCATGCTTTTTCTCAAAAATTATTTCTTCATTTATAGGTTTATTGTTTTCTTCCTCCCCTCCTTTTTTCTCTTTATAATTTAAAGATTCATTATTTCCAACAGATTTATCAATTTCCTAAATTTTAATTTTTAAAAATTATTTTTTATATATTTACAGATGGATGTTTTCCAAGAATTCCAGGTTGATTGTTAGTTAAATCAAGTACGTAGTGGTACTTAAAATAATTAAATATTTAAAATTATTTTTAATTTGTATATTTTGAAAAGATTTAAACTAATTTTAATGAACGGCTTTTACTTGGCCTAAAGGCGAACGAATTGTAAGAATGTAATGAGCCCACCTCTAATATAAGCCCATCCGAGGAGACCCATTGAAAGATATAAGCCCAGGGCTTATGTCAGAATAAATACGGCTTGATCTCTACTTTTAACTACTTTTTTCCCATTATTTAGTTAAATTTAATAATAGAGCTTGGATGAGAGAAATCGCAAATCTTTATTACCGAAATAGAGGTTCCCGTACTATCATTAAAGTCCTGTTCCTATTTAATATCCACCCTTATTTATATTTAAAAATAAAATTAAATATTATATGTATTTATGTACATGATATGGAATTTTTTCAACTTTAGCATTTTCTTCTTTGCTTTGATTTTTTGGAACATATTTTTGAATTAATTTTTTACCTTCATTTTTTTGTATTTTATTCTAAATATTTAAATTTAAAATTATTAATTCTCTATTTAATAAATAAATATACATACTTAGTCTCTCCCTATAATCTATTACTATAATATAAGGCCGGGATTAACCTAAAATCAACCTAAACAGGCATTCCCAGAAGCTATTAGTCGTTAATATCTAAGCTCAAAACGTATCTTAAATAAAGGGTTTATCCAATATTGTTTATCTAATATATTATTTATCCAATAATTATTATTACTTTCAAAACTTTTTTCGGTTTTTTAGCTTTTTTCCTATTTACTTCATGCCATACTTCATTATTATCTTCAATTTTATTTTCTTCTTTGTCGTCAATACTCGTTTTCTTCATTTTCTGAATTTATATTTAATAATAATTTATTTAATTAAAAAATCAATTTAAAAAGTCTTTAGTTCACAAAGTTGTCCCTAACGTTTTTTGAGTAACTAAAGATAAGTTTAAGCTTAACACTCAACCCTTAGCTTTAAAAACCCAAATAAATCTAAAATAAACTCGGCACATACATTCTCAAAATCTTTATTCAAATCATCCCAAATTTCCTCTTCAACATTTTTAAAAATTTCATCAGTTATTTCTCCAACTTTTTCTTCATTTATTTGTTTTGCTTGAGTTTTACTACCTTTTTTCTTTCCCTTTCCCCTTTTTCTATCTTTATTTTTTTCTTTTCCAAAATTTGAAGTATTTTCTTTAATTTCTTCAAAATTTTCTTTTTTCTTTACCTCCTCCTCTTCCTCATTATTTAATTTATTTAAATTTTGTTCTTCCTTTAATTGTTCTAATTTTTTCTGTTTATTTTTCCTATCTTAAAATGTTATTTTAAAACATTTTTAATAATCCATTTAACAATCATTGTATATGTTTATGATAAAATAAAAATTATACAGGTCTAAATAATAATTGCCCTCCCTCAAATAATACCCCGCATCTATTTATTACCCCCTCCAGCAAGAGATCGAAGCAATAATTACCCTGGGTAGTTAATACAGTTTTTACGGTAGTCCCTCAAAAATAAATAAAATTATTTTTTTTGTAAACTTACCAATTTTCATTTTTATAATGCCTGATTGGCTTAAACTACGGCGTTCAGATTTATGTTGGAAATCGACATCAGAATTGATTGATTTACCTAAAAATATTTTTTATTTAAAAAATTTAAAAAATTTTATACAGACAAACTTCACTATAAGATAGCCCTCTATAGCTAAAAAATAGTATATACTAGAGGTGACGCTAGTGCCACAAAATACGAGACGCAAGATTCACAAGATACAAGATGAGCTCCACCCCGGGTATATTCCTTATAATTAGGGGTATCTACATAATTCTGGCTATTTTTTTAATAAACAAAAAAATACAATTTATTGAAAATTTACCATTTCGTTTTTTATTTCCTCCAAAGCAAACTTGACAAAACAAAATTGCAATGAATAACAGAGAAATTAACAAAACTTTATTTGAAAAAATATTTTTTTGTTTTAAAATTTTCATTTTAATTAATTTTAAAAATTAATTCTTTTAAATAAAATTAAAGGGCAAATAATTATTTTATTTATATGTATGCATTTAACAATTTAAGGGCAAAATTTCAAAAGAAATTTTGCCGAAAACGTGTCGTGTATATTTTTTAAATTAAGAAATCGAATAAATTAAAGCATTTTACCGCTTTATTGCCCTTTTTGTTTATTTAATTTTACAATTAAAAGTGCATTTATTTATTTTTTAAATTTATAATTGGCCGACAGAGAGACCCGAATATAATTCCAAAATAATTTCAAAAAACGTTTTCTGCCAAACTTTGATAAGGATTTTCAAGTATTCAAGATATTAATCTGTGTCATTCGGAAATTCTAAAATATATTGCCCATTTCAGAGCTTTTCGAAAAAAATTTAAAGTTTTGAAATAGCCAAATAAATTTTTGTGATTGTAAATGCTCTATTAAAGGTAATCAAAATTAATCTTTAAAATATATAGGAAATTATAAAAGTTCCCAATAAGTGGGGCTGTAACTCAGTGGTAGAGTGCTTGCTTAGCAACTTGTCTAACTTGCAAGAAGTCGTGGGTTCAATTCCCACCAGCTCCAGTTAATTTTTTTCTATTCTAAAAAATATTCTTTTGTAGTTTTCTTAACTAATAATTAAAAAAGAAGTCTTTAAATTACGTCTTAAATGGAAGAATTCTAAAATATATTGCTCATTGTGGAACTTTTCGAAAAAAATTAAGTTTAGAAAGGGCCAAATAAATTCGGCAATTCTGTAAATGAAAAGAATTTATTTTTTCTTTATAATTCCTGAATTCTTTTTTATTAGACTTATTTTATCTGATTAATGTAAAAAAATTTTCAAAAAAATTAACTGGAGCTGGTGGGAATTGAACCCACGACTTCTTGCAAATTAGACAAGTTGCTAAGCAAGCACTCTACCACTGAGTTACAGCCCCACATGTTGTTTGTTTATTTTTTTAGTATTTATTAATTAAATGATGAAACACAGTAAGAGTTATTCTCTTCCAAAAATTACTTTATTGTTTTTTAAAATTTTCATTTTAAATTCTCAAAAATATTTTTGTTTCTTTTTATTCTCCCGACATCATTTCAAGAAATTCTAAAATTTTAAAAAACCCTTTAATTAATTTATTTATTAACCATCAAAATCAACAGTTCCAGACCCATCAGTATCAATTTCTGCAATCATTTCATCCAATTCATCATCCGTTATTTTATCATCCAAAGCTCGCAAAATCTCTCGCAGATCACTTACATTAATATAACCATTCCCCTTGAAGAATAAATTATTTTAGAAGTTAAATAAAAGGATTAGGGGCATTTTACTTTAAAATTATTTTGATTAAAATAAAGATAGGTATATTTTTGTGACTTTTTTCCCCGTCGGAATTAAAGAAAATTAATAAAAACTCATTTAAATTAATTTTTTAAATTTTTTCCTAAAAAGATAATTTAATGTTCAACAAACTTCTTTGTCATATAAACGGAAAGCTTCTCTTAATTCTTGTTGTAATCCTTCATTATCTTCACCCGAAACTACAAAATTCGCAACCATTGCTGCAAATTCTTCAAATTCAATTTCTCCAGATCCTTTTTTAAATTAATTAAAAATATTCTTTTTTTTTAAGATTATTTTAAGGGAATTTTTTATCTGTTTAAAGATTTAATTAAATAATAAAGGTCAACACGGATCTCGTAGTGTGTTTTCAGTAGCCCGTTTCAAGATTTTCCGAACTCTCAGATTGTAAGCATTTGGGATTATCGTGGGATCCCGTTTCGTTCGACATTCTAAAACTCGACCCAGTTACGGATTCCACGATTGCATTTTACCCTATCTCTAATTTAAACACTTTTCTTATGTTCCCAATAATCTGCAAATTTCATCTCACGATTAAATTTTCGAATTATTGGGAAAATAAATAAAAATATAAATATTTAAATTAATTTAAAAACCATCAGAATCAAATTCTCTAATTAATTGTTTTAAATCACGTTCTTCAAAAGCTTGTCCCATTGTACGCAATATTTGCCCGACTTGTGTTGCTCTAATAAATCCTTTACCTTCCTTAAAATTAATTATTTCCCCCTTTTTTAAATAATTAATTAATTACTTTGTCAAACATATTAAAATATTTTCGAAATTCTGAAAAGCATCGAATTAAATTAAAAAATAAAATTAATTTTTATTACGTTCAATTTGGTCAGAGGTTAATTGTTCCAAAGCTTCATTAACACGATCATCGCTCTTAATTTTTAAGATTTTAATTTATTTCTCTAATAGTTTTGTCTAAATTAACTCCGTTATAGATACGCAAGTTTTAGATTGAAGACACCCCAGGTTATAATTAAATGGAAAAAGGTGAGCTATTTAATAATAATTTTTACTATTTTTTAAATAAAAGGCAATAAAAAATCAGTAGAGATTTTTAAATTATTTTAATTTTTAAACCCACAGATTCATCCTTGTTACCGGATTTATTCCAATAGAACCACTATGGTTCTATTTTTCAACCCCTTAAATTTTTACATATACATATTAGAGACTGTGGTTCAAATGGAGATGTGTTTCTATTATTCGGTATATACATAAATATTGTATTAAATAAATAACCATTTTATTATCGGCAAAATTAATTTAAGAAAAAATAATTTCCAAAAATTTCAATAATAATTAGAATTAGAATGTTAAAAGTACTCAAAAAATTATATAAATTCTGAAAAATAAAAACTTGCTTTAAAGTAAAAATAAACTTGCGCGGAATAAAAGAAAGCTTCCCCTTTTCTTTCTTGACATCTTTAAAAATCAAAAGGATCGACTTTCTTTAGCTTTATTTTCTTCTTTTTGGCACTAATTTATTTGTTCTGTCTCATTGTTTATTTACACATCTTGAGTGGAAAAATCAAAAAGAAAAAAATTTTTGTGGAATGGAGGGAAACAAACATTGATTATCTGAACGAGTTTTTGACAAAAAATTTTGGAAAGTTAAGTTAAGACTATGGATATATTCAAATATAAATTTATTAAATCCTTTAATGAGAAACAGGAAAAATTGAATTGCAAACTGATAAAAGGACAAGAATGCCGACATCAAAATTAATTTAGAGAATTGGGATCCCTGCCCCAACAAGTTTGGAATGTGTTAATAAAATTTAATTCCAAATAAAGGGAGTATCTCATTTTTAACTGAAGCATTAATTAAAACGATTAAGGACTCAAAAGAATAAAATTAAGTAAATAAATAAAGGAAATCGAAAAGGTAAAAGAATTTTAATTTTATTTTAAAAATAATTATTATTTAAATTTTTCACAACAAATCCCCCCTTTATTATTTTTTTCAAATACCACCCATCAATCATTTTTTGTATTTTCTTTAAATTTTGGCGCTTGTGCCATCACTATATTTTTACTTTTTTTTTTAAAAGTCTGTCAGTTAATTCCCTTGCGTGTTTTAAATTTAAAAAAAAAATATTTTTTGTTTTTCCTAAACTTTTGAACAGTTTTTATGTGTATTTTAAAATCATTTTTAAAGGAAGGTAGTAGCAAATAGAGCTATAAAGTAGAGCTCGGTACTTAACGTCATAGATTTCCTTGACCATTAAGTAAAGCAGCTGGGCTATAGCTTAATCGGCGGCTGGGAGCGAGCAAGCATCTTCAGTAGACTGGACTGATGTGTTATCCATTACACACGCCGCCTACTGCACAGCATTAGGAATTAAATATGCTTTGAAATTAAGAATTAACAAAAAAATTTATTATAAAATAATTTTTACAAAATTTTTTATTTTTAAAATAAAAATTCTCTTTTCCTTTTTTTTGCAAACTTAACGCTCTGTTTCATTTTTTATTTTTAACACGCGGGTTTTTGTTTGTTTGACCTCCACAATATAAAAATTAAAATAAATTTTATTTCATACTTTGTCACGAGTTTTGTTTTGAAATATTTTTTTAATTTTTATTTTCCAAATAAAAATAATCAAAAAATAGAATTACACTTCAAAAGTCAGTTGGGCAAGGTCAGTTCAAAAGTCAGTTCTAAATTTTTGAGCTTCCATAAATTTTAGAATTTTTTATTAAAACTTTGTGGAGATAGGATTGGGGTAGAGTGTTGATTTTTGAAAATTTTTAGATATTTTTGTCACATTTTTTTCTAATATATGAACAACAAAGCTGAGACTTAACCTCAATTTCCTGTTGGTTTTTGGATGTCAAGTTTTCGGTGTTAAAATTTTTTTATTAATCTTCTTATAAGATATTTATATTCAGAGAATTTTGTGCAAAATTTTTATTCTTACCATAAAAATTTTTCGATTGTTTTATCTTTTCTATAATATACAAAATTCGAATTTTGTTTCCTAGTTATTTAATTAAAACAAAAATAATTTAACATTAAAATATATCTAAAATTATTTCCAAAATTAAAAAAAAAATAAAATAAAATATTTAATTAAAGTATTAACACAACTTTTAAGGTGTTTAAAGGTGTATTTATTTAACCTTCTCTCCAAGATTTATTATTTTTTACTTTCAAAAATAAAAAGTTTTTTTTTATTTCCGTTTTCTTTACAAATAAAAACTAATTTTTATATTTAATTCCAGCAATTGATCATTTGGCAATTGGTTTTTACTTTTGATAAAAAATAAATTTAAGGGGGGAAGTACCAAAAAGCACGTGTTGAGAGGGGTTTTACACTTTCTATCTTTCTCTCTTATTCAATTTTATTACAAATAACATGTATTATTTTATCGGTTTCATTCATTTTATTAATCTTTTTGTTATTCATTCATGACTAATAAATAAATAAATTTATTTTTATTTTTTACTTTTTATTTGAGCAAAATAATATTTGGGGGTTTTTTGCTCAATTTTTATTTTCTTTTTAAGATAAATTTTTTTAAATATGTATGTTTTTCGAAAGCGTTTTCAATTAACCATTAGGATGTTATACATGGCTGTCTCCACTTGTGGACTGCAGATGGATCATTTGGCAATTGGTTTCCACTTGTGGACTGTTCTGAATTGCAATTTAAAAGTTTGCCCTGATGTTACTTTTAGGCTTGGATTTTTCGAACCGGGCCGACGTTCGAGTCTTTTTTGGGCCAAAATTCGAGGCCCGGTTCGATCTTTCGAACCGAACCGAGCCGGGCCCCCAACCATATTTACTTCTTATATATTAAAAAAATTTTTATAAAGCGAATTTAATTATAGGTTAAAATAAAAGTTGACTTTCCATAAAAAATAATCGTAAAATTAAAAAATAATTTTGATAATATTTACTCGAAAAAGTCTAGCAAAACCAATATGTATTAAATTTTTTTGTTTATAAAATTATTTTTATCATATGCATTCTTATCAACTAATATCAAAAATATAATTTTTGTATAAACAATTTTTTATTTCATTTCCTACTATTAATTAATGTACACAAACAACCCCAATAAATATCCTCCCAAAAGATCACCTCGTACTTTAATTTAAATTAAGTGGTGATCTTTTGTATCTTATCTATTTTTAAAATATAAGCCCTTGTGTAGAATAATGAAATTCGAGAAATAATTTTTTTATTTTAATTATGAGAAGTGTGGGAGAGTGTATTAAAAAACAGGAAAGGAATGCGCAACATTTTTGAAAAACAAAATAAAAATAATGACTACTAGGGTTTTTTTTAATAATTTTCCCTCAAAAGGCAAAATAAACAAAAACAATGAAAATATTGAAAAATAAATATTCAAAGTTTTATTTTCATTTTTTTAGTAAAATTAATTCTTTTTTATCTAATTTTTAAATTTAAATTACTAAATTTGTGCTCATAAATGGGGGTGGGGGGAGACGATTATCCGAGACCGATTTGATATACGAACTGAAAATTTCCGGACATTCGGAGCTACTAATTTATGGGCATGGTTGCCTTATATGTAATTTTTGGTACCACGTTTTTACAAAAAATCATAATTATTTTTACAAATTTCTAGTCTTCCGATTTTTAATATTTTATTCACTCATTCTTCTCTCCCTCCATCCTCCTTCCCCCTCCTCCTCAACTCCTTCTTCCTTCCTTCATATAGAAAGACAGGTGTATTAATAAAATTGTGGGGGTGGAAAAAGTAAATAGAAAGAAGAAAAAAAAGATAAAAATAATTTTTGCCCAATTTTGGGGGAGAAAATTTAAAAAAACGGAAGGAAAAAGGGGGGGAGAACATTAAAATTTATATTTTTAATTTTATGATTGATTGACAACAATTTTGCTCTTGATTTTATTGCAAAACTTTTTTTTTCTTTCTTTAAATAAATCTTTTTACAATTCCTTATGGAAAATATCTTTTGTAGAATAGGACCAAGTCCTAGACAATATGGCAAAACAATCCAAATATCTGTTCTACCCTCACAATCCCTTTTTTAAAGTAATTAAAGGGAAGGATGTAAATTACCGTAAAACTTCTAATAGAAGCACATTGCTTCTATTTTTCGATCCTTTCGTAGGGTGTGATTATATTGGGAGGTGTGCTTCTATTAGAAGCTTTACGGTATAACCTAAGTTGGGCATTAAATAGATTAGGATTGGGGGGGGGGGTTCTAATTATAAAATAGGGACCTGAAGTCCTATCTCGTATAGATAGGACTCTTCTCTATTCCACTGTTTTTCTAATTTTATCTTTTTACTATAGTTAATGAGATTATTATTATAAATTTTACTTTTGAGAAGAAAATTCAAAATATATTTTAAACTAAAATTCCCTTCCCTTTTAATTATTTATAAAATTTTAACTTTATGTAGATATTTAAAAACAATTTAAAAATTATTTTTTTTTTCTAAATAAAAAATGGGAGAAACACAAATTGTCAGAAATATTGTAAATGATGAAAATATAAATCAACAACAAAATAGCAATAATGATAGAAGTGAATTACCTCAAATTGAAGGGCTTACTGAAGATCAAGTTTGGGAACAAATAAATTATTTTAAAAATTTAATATTTAAAAGGTAGCAGAATTTAAAGAAGCTTTTGAATTATTTGACAAAGACGGGGATGGAAGGGTAACAGCGGCAGAATTAGGAATTGTTATGAAATCGCTTGGACATTCCCCAACAGATCAAGAATTGCAAGAAATGGTTAGGGAAATTGATGAAGACGGTAATTAATTTAAATAAAGGGGGGGGGGGAGATTTGTTAGTTATTAGAGATCGAAAATTAAGACGAGGATTCTTTCAATAATCTCTAATCTATCCCAAGTCCTATCTTAATTAAGTGTAGAAAAACTACGAGAGATGGCGTTAGCCCGATTTTCTCATCTCTCTAAAATCGTGAATTGCCTTTTGCGTTAAAACAAAATATTCAAATAGAGTTTTTTGGTAGTCCCAACTCTTCATTATCACGTAAATGCCAGCTAACTACGGTCCCAAGAGCTAATAATTTTGCTTGAAAAATATAATCCCAAAATTCAGTCAGAATTTCTTAAGAAATTTCTTCAATTTAAAAGATATTCTATTATAGAGAGGGTGTTTTCTGTTTATTAAATAGAGGGTTTTAAAAACCAATTGTTATTCATTTATTTTTTTTACCAAAACAAATGTTCTTTGTTTAAAAAAGTTCCTTCTTTTAATTGAGAAAAATATTTAAAAACAAAATTAAAATATAGGCAATATATTTTAATATAAAAATTTTATTTTTGGAGAAAATAAATGGAATAAAAAATTTTCTTTAAACAACTGGCTTTTAATTTAATTAATTTAGGTAATGGAAGTATTGAATTAAACGAATTTGTTAAAATGATGAGTAGAAAAGTAAAAGAATCTGAAAGTGAAAAAGAATTGAGAGAAGCGTTTCAAGTAAATTTTATAAATATAATTGAACCTTACACACCTTTGAATTAGAAAAATTATATCTTATAATCGGGGTTATCTTAAAGGGGGGATGGGAGTGTGTTAGTGTTGCGCCTGAACCGTAACTGAAATTTTGACCGCATCAGGAACCAAAAAATCCCGGAACTTCCGGTGCAACACTAGAATCGATGTTGTTTAGGTTACCCCCCCCCCCTTCTAGTTAACAAAAGCTAGTATTGGGGATCTAGTATGTATTTGTAAAAAAATTTTCTCATTACACAAAAATTAAAGGTCTTCGATAAAGATAATGATGGATTTATTTCACATTTTGAATTACGTTTTGTTATGCAAAATTTAGGAGAAGACCTTACAGATTTTGAAGTTAAAGAAATGATTAGAGAAGCTGATTTGGATGGTGATGGAAAAGTTAACTTTAATGGTTTGATTTAAAATTCTATTTGAAAAGAAGGCTCCCTTCCTTTTTTTAGTTTATTTGACTTAAAGTCGTTCTTTGCTTGTTAAATATGTAAATTAAACACATTTATAAAAATCGGCGGAATTTTTTTAATATGGCGCCCCTTTGTCACATTCCTTTAAATGCCGCTTTAATTCGGTCCCAAGGGTCAAGTGTAGCTGAATAACTCCCTCTTACCCTCATCTGTCAGCTAAATCCGGTCCCAAGGAGTGATATACATTATTAGAGAGATTCCGTTGAGTATTGGTTAAGACCTAAAAGTCGATTGATTTGGAATCAAGAGAAAGGAGCTCGTCTAGTATAAAGTTGGAACTTGTCAGACGAATATATTTTTTTATTAATTTCAGAATTTGTCTATATGATGAAACAGAAAGTTTGAAAAAAGTTATACTTTTAATTATTCTTATGGCGAGATAAAATATTCACTGTATAAAATTTTTATAAGAAAACGAGATGTGCACGGGTTTTTAGAAAAAATTTTAGACAGAAAATTATTTAAAGACGATGTATTTTATATTTATATTGAAAAATATTCTTAATAAAATTTTATTTTTTTTATTCAAAAAATATTAAAGTTAATTTTCTAAATCTTTCGTTAGATGCAAGTCAAGCTTGTTAACTAGAGATGTAGGTCCATGAAAAATCTTCGGATCTCCGGATGCAAACCGAAAATTATTATGGAAGAGCAGCTTTTGAATTTTCTTTAAATTTTCTATTTTGAGCGCTGAGGGCAAAAATTTTTGGATTTAAGGTCAGGAACCCAAAAACCCTCCGTTTTCTGAAGAACCAAACAAAACATAGCCGATGTCCGAAGCGAAAATTAAGGATATCCGGAACCAAAACTAAGAAGTGAATAGAACCGACGCCCTAGTGCTGACAACCAACACAATACGGCAGTCACTTAAGTTTAACAATTGAATTTTCCAAAAACTTTTTACATAATAAATTTATTCTACTTGAACAAATATAAAAACCAAACAAATATAGCAAAAATGGAAAGAAAACGATTAATTATATAAATCAGTGTTCTACTATCGCCGCCTCGACTGCCGAACTGGTGAATTTATGACATTATCCGTAACATTTCTCAGTTGTCGCCCAACATAGTCGCTTCGGATTGGCACAATTACATTATTACCAGAGAAGGTTACACGTCTGCTTCTTGGCGGAGGTTCACCCGATTCATTGAGAATTCCAACTGGTTCAAGTTGTGCATAGGCAGCCATATTTACAATCTGCGGGAAAAAATTATTTTGTGATTATTTCAGGCAGAAACACACCTGTTGTCGCATTATTTGCTGGACATCAAGGCCTAGACGATGAGATGGGGGATCGTGTACATCCTCCCGCGCTAACGCTGTTCTCGCCAGGAAAATTGTTTCTCTCATTATTGGGCGCCCAATTACCAGTTCCACATAATCATTCTTTGAAAAAAATATTAAAAATTCATTAAAATATTTTTAAAATTTCTACCTCACTAAGAGACCTGACCATCAAATGCTTTGCCACCTCCGCTTGAGTCACTCGCACGCTGTCCACGTAGACAATGTGATCATACTGCCTTAGATGTGGTGAGCACAGGGAATTGGGCTCCACATTGGTAACAAGAACGCGATTATCTCTCGTTTTGATGGAAAGGCCAAGGGAGGTGCCGCGAACTCGATCAATTGTTACTAACTGAAAAAAGAGAAATGTTTCTTACTTCATTTATTCTTTACATTACCGAATATCTATATCCTCTACGTTTTTCTATTGCCGTCCGTATTTCCTGTGGCAAATCATCAGCCAGCTGTGCTTGGGGTAATCGTTGTTGTTGTTGTTGAGGTTCGTCACGTACAATAGATGTTGCTGTTCTTTCCGGCGATCTTTCTGTGTTGATAACACGGCTACTGGTACCCAACCTCCGAACCAAAATATTCGCGACAGGAAAGGTTATGCGCAGAATCCTGAAGAATGCATCCACGTCTCTAATCTTACGATCATTGACCGTTAATACTTTGTCGCCGACATGCAAATGACCCTGTGCTGGAGACCTTCGTTGGACGCTTGTTACAATCAAACTAAAAAATGATTATATGTAATTAACAGACTACACAAAAAGTAAATAATTAAACTCACGATTTATTAAGCTTAACTCCAAGTAGTTCATTCTCTTCAAGTGGAATTGACACTAGCACTGTTGGCCTGGACGTCTGTGGCCTTGTATTAGAGTTGTTGGATGAATTTGACGATGACCTTGAAGGAGTCCTTGAAGTACTAGAACGCCGCATTTGAATGGCACCAGCGATGGAGAACGAGTAACGGAGAGAGGAACCAGTTGTTTGTAAGTTGGACGTGAAGATGATAGCTTTAACAAGCTTTTATAGGAAGAATTTCCCATTATATCGACTTAGTTTTTGCAAAACTTTTTAACAAAAATCATTGACTATTTAAACACCTAAAAGCGTCAAAATCTACATATCAATTCTCCAAGAGATCACCTCAACAGCTTACTACTATTTTCGCCTTTCTTCAAAAGCAAAACAGGTATTATTCTTCATGCATTACTGCTTTGCTTCATGTTTAATCATCTTGACTGAGTCGGTTCTGTTCATTTCTGCACTTCTGATTGTATGTGGCAAGAGCAAAAGGAAGATTAAAAAAGTGAGTTTCTCAACAAAGTTAATTTCTAAATTAAAATATCACTACATCATTTAGGCAGGACCGAAAACTTTAACGGACCGTCAATTGAAGAACAATCAGCAGCAGTCGCCGAAGGCAAAATCGTCTCCTATGAAAAAACAAAAGCAAACACAAGCAGCAGCTGTTCCGGAGAAATCTTCTGATAAGTTGGGGGCCTCTCCTAAAAAAGCTGAGACCGAAACAGCGATTAATTCTATCGACGATGTGGTATGTTACAAGGAAAACACGAAAAATTTATATAAAAATATTTTTTAAGCATCCAAGTAATGAAGCACCAAAGCCTAGAAAGTTTGCGCTCGACGAAAAGGCGGTAAGGAGTTTTTGTTTTTTATTTAAAGTCAAATTGTTTTTATTTCTAGAAAAAAATCAAGGATCAAGGAATCAAAACGTTGAACCCAAATGAGACGATTGGGCATGTTTTTTCCAAAAGGGAAGATTAATAAGCTAATGTGGAGATAAAGATGTTTTCGATATATAAATATAATGTATAAATTAATAATGATAATTTTTTGTTTGTTGCTGTTTTGTTGAGGAAGTTATTAAAAATTGTGTAGATAAATGTTTGTGTGTTAATAGTGTAATTGGTTAAAAAAATAAATTGGTTAGTTATAAAATTAGGGTTGCAATTTTTCGATTCGGTTCGTTTTCAGCTGAAAATCCTCTTTTTGCTCGATCTTTCGAGTTTCGGTTCGAGCGAGCTGGCAACCCTATATATAATCATTCAGATTGGATCAAGAGTTTAAAAAATTATTTATATTTTCGTAATCCTAATTTTCCACAAATTTTATTTTTTTTTTGGCATTGTGTTTATGAAGTATGAGACAATAGAAAAGAGAGAGACGAGAGAAAGTTAGAGATTGGAAATTTTCATTAAATTGGGGAGTTCAGTTTTTCAAGATTTTTTTGTAAAATTTAACTTCTTTTCGTTTTAGCTTATTTCCTTTGACTACAATTATTCGAATTTTCTTTTTATTATCGACCAATGAGTTTATTTGAAGGACCAGCTGTTGTTGTTTCAAAGTTTATTTTTAATCTAAAAATTTTTTATTTTCTTAATTTTTTAGCGATATTTCAAAAGGCAAAGCAAAATATCCAATTAAAGTAATTAATTCAATTGACAAACCGCCAATATTTCTATCGTTTGATTATCGTTCAGAACCTGTATTTTCTGATGTTTTGCAAAATGAGCTTCCATCGAGAGTTTGTTTTTTTCCATCTAAACTCAAAAATACCTTCTAACATTTAAAAATTGAGATTTTTAGAAAATATAGGCAGGCCCGTAGCCAGGATTTTTCGGTGCGGCCAAGTGGTGAAAATTTTTAGACCTTTTTTTCCATTCCCCTCCTGGCTACGGGCCTTTCTAGGCCTAAACTCTAAATTTGATTTGTTAAACTCATTTCCCAAAATTTTTTCAGCAATTTTGTCAATGTTCGGATCAATGTTCTGCTGCCAATGGTTGTTTATGTATAAATATGAGTTCAATTAAATTAAGCAAAGTTTGTTTTAAAAAATATTTTATTCCTTTTTATTTTCTTTTTTAGTCTGGACGTATCGAAAATGTTGAAAAATTAAATGGGAATCCTTTCAATTTTTCTTTTTATGAATGTTCTGATGAATGTGGATGTGCTGGGAAATGTAAAAATAATTTGGGAGGAAATCAACAAAAATTTAAATTTGAAATTTTTCGAAAATCTTGTGCTGGTTATTCTTGCAAAACTTTGAAACAAATTAAAAAAGGTTTTCTTTTGGTAATTCTTCGTCTGACGCCTCCTTTTTATGTTCTATTTTTTTCATTTTCTATAAAATTTCTATGAATATTTTATAAGCTTCGAAAGAGCTCTGATATATAAATTATTATATGTCAAGCAAAACAGCTCAAAATGGTCAGGTAAGCATAAAAGAGGAGGGAGGGGCGACAGCCGAAGAATTACCTTTCTTTTTTTCTAATAAAATTAATTTTAATTAAAAAAGGAAGTTTTATTTGTTATATGGCTGGAGAAGTTTTGTCTTCAAATAATAATAAAATATCAGAAAATTTTAGTTTTACATTCAAAGACGAAACTGTAAGGGAATTTTTTTATAATTTTTAAGAAATTAATGAAATTTTTTCTTTAGCGCCAATTTTCTTTTACAATTAAAATGGATAAATTTGCAAATGAATCGAGATTTTTTAATAGTTCGTAAGTTTTCTTTTAAATGAATTTAAAATAAATTTTTATTTTCAAATTTAGTTGCTGTCCTAATTTAATGCCAATAACTGTTTATCGTAAATGGATAACTCCAGAGAGGCCGTTTATTGCTTTTGTTGCTATTAATGAAATTGATGTTGGGGATGGTAAAAAATTTAATTAAATTTTTCTTTGAATATTTAATTTATTACCTTCAATTTATCACAGTCTTTTGCTTTTCCTGTATCACAGTTTTTTTCTCAGGTCTGTCGAGTTTCGGCAGACCTTTTAGGACCCGACGGCAAATGTCCAGTTGGCTGTCTACCTGTCCGCAAAGAGATTTTTTCCTCTTTTCTTTCCTTTTCTTGCATCTTTTGCGTTGGGAGAAGTGCACCCTCATTCTTCCACTTTCAGCATTTTTCCTTCTCAACAGTACAGTATGTTTTCCTTTTCCTACTTGAAAAATAAAAATAATACTTCGAATTTTAAAAAATATATTTATTTTACAAATAATTTGAACATTTTCATATCTAAATTATACATATAAATATAATTTAAATATGCCCCTTTCATATTTTATAATTTTCGTATATTTTCGAATAATTTCTAAGTAGAAAAATTTTGAATCCCATCCCACGATCATACCCTCGATGATCAAACTCTTGATCAAAAATTTGACATCTACATGGTTTAAAAAACATCTACATGGTTTCCAATTGTTGCTATTTGAGAATGTTATCCGAAATTAATTTGTAAAATAAATATATTTTTTAAAATTCGAAGTATTATTTCTATTTTTCAAGTAGGAAAAGGATACTGTACTATTGAGAAAGAAAAATGCTGAAAGTGGAAGAATGAGGGTGCACTTCTCCCAACGCAAAAGATGCAAGAAAAGGAAAAAAGAGCGGATTCTCTTTGCGGACAGGTAGACAGCCAACTGGACATTTGCCGGACCCGACTATTACGAACCAGTAAAAAATTAATAATAAAGGCAAATCAAAGCTACTTGAAACGGACACCCAAAAGTCTTTGTCAGTCACTCTTTAAAGTTTTATTTCTAAAATCTTCAATTTTGGAGATTTTGAATTCTTTTCTGGCCATTAATTGTTTGTTTATAAATTAGAGTAGTCTTTGGTATAAAAATCTGTTTTAATTTAAATTTTAAATCCTTAAATTTACTATAAAAATCTTTTTATTTTTTCAGAACTTTGTTTTTATTATGGTGATTATTGGATATATAGAAAATTGTTACAAAATCCAAAATTTTTCTGTTATTGTAATTCACAATTTTGTGTTTGGCCGCCTAGAAGAGAAGAAATTAAAGAACCAGAAAAATTTATTAAAAAAATTAAAAAACAAATAAATTGTCAAAATGAAGAATTGAAAATTAAATATTTGGGGAAGAAAAAGAAAAATTTGGAAATTAATGGAGAAAATGAAGGAGAAGGAGAGGAAAATGAGTAGTTGATTGAGATGAGAATAAGTATTTATTTTTTAAATTATTTTTTTTGAAATGTTGTCAATTTTTAAATATATTTTTGAAATTAAAAATATGTACATATATTACAGGTTCTATGAAATTAAAAAGTTTAAAAAATCAATCTTAAGAATTCTAAAAATGAACAGCCTTTTATTATTACTCTCCAATCTCACTATCAGTCTTCAGGCATATTTCTTATCCTAAGTTTTTCAAATTAAACTAGTTAAAAATATGAAAAATTAAGCTTTTAATTCGAAACTTGAATGATTTTTGAGTTTTTAAAAGAATACACCCTTTTCCCCCTTTTTTGGCAGATTTTGCCCCCTTTTTTGTGAAGCCATGCCCCCTTTTGGTGGTTTGGAAAAGAGTCACCCTGAAGAATGTTCTCTTGTGAGCAGGAGGTTTGCTGTCTATCTATTTTAGCTCAATTTATGAAAATAATTGAAGCTCAAAACTTTAAAGAGAAAACTTTTTTTCTCTTTCCTTTAAAGAGAAAAGTTTCCACTCTTATCATGGCCTGGATCTTGAGATCTTTTATTAATTATTGCTTTAATTAACTATTAAATCATTAAATTCTGTTAATTATTTGTAGATGTTTTTATTAATTTTTTCTAAACACGGTCCACGCAAATAATTTTTCGAAGAAATTGATTGATTGAGTTTTATATTTTCACTTTCCATCTTTTTAATAAAAGTAAAAAGAAAAATTAATTTATATGATCAATGAATACAACAATTTATTCGGATAAATAAGTGGATCGTTAAATAAATTTATTTTTAATTCTTTTTCTCCAAATTGTGTGGCGTGCAAAAGCTTTTTTAAAAATACTTTTATTGTGTGGAAAATCGGCGAAAAAAGTCTGCGCTTTCCACAAAAATTGCTTAAAATATATCGTCAGTCTGCTAATAATTTTATATTTTTTAACCATATAAAGCTGGAAATGATTTTTTAGTTAAAGAGTCGGTTAGACGTGTACTTAATATCTAGATATCTTCGTTAGAGAATCCTTTAACCTATGGAATTGTAAAGCATATAGCTATTTAATTCCTAAGGCTGTGCAGTAGGCGGCGTGGTGTAATGGATCAGTCCGGTCTACTGAAGATGCTCGCTCCCAGCCGCCGAATAACCTTTTGGTACTAGCCGAAGGAAAGAAATAGCTATAGCCCAGCTGCTTTACTGCATTTTAATTCCCTTACACGCTTCCCTGTTTATTTATAATTTACAATATACCAAAATCCAAAATAATTTATTTAATTAAAAATCAGAATTTATCAGAATGAACGGTGAAAATATTCAAAATGAAACAGAAACTAAAACAATTTGCGAATCTCAAATTTCTGAACATAAAATGAATATTTTGGACAGAGAAATTGGTTATTGTAGATATGGAAAAGGACAAACTAATTTTCTCTTTATATGTGGTGGTGTTGGTTTGTTTTTGATTTTTTAATTTTGAAAAAAATATTGTCGAACCTTAATATGAGTAAAATACTCCGTTGGAGCTAAAAAGATTGTATCTTATAGTGAAGGGAATCTCAATTAGAAGGTGTAACAGCTTCCCAGTGTAGCCAACTAAATCTTAAAAATTTATCTCTAAGTGAGGTGTACTTAGTGAGGTGTACTACAGTATTTACCTCACGTATATGTGAATGCGGATACCAAAATCATTCAAATTCTGTCTAGATAATCCCTTTTTTAATAATAAAAAAACTTTTTTTAAAGGTTGCTACAAAAAAGATTACCCAGAAAGTATGCTTTCTGCCTACGATCCAGAGATTGTAACAATTATTTGTATCGACCCCCCAGGCTACGGTACAAGTCGACCACCAGACAGAAAACAAGAAATTAATCGTTGCAAAAAAGATGCCGGATATTGTATTAAATTAATGGAGGTTTTAAAAATAAATTTTTGGAAAATTTTCAAAAAAAATTCTTTTCCAAAAAAGACTCTAGAATTAACTCCTTTTGTTGTTCTGGGATGGAGTGAAGGAGGAAGAACAGCAATACACGTTGGGGGACAAGGAAAAACTTTGGTTAGTCATATAATTCTTCTTTCAACTTCTACACAAGTTGACTTTCGTGGAGATATGGCTTTTAAAGGTGAAAAAGAATTAAAATTAAAAAATATTTTTAATTGATAGCCTTTGGTATTTAAGAAGTTTTTGGTCAAACACCCAAAAATAAGACAAATTACGACCATAAATAAAGAATTTTTGGGCATAATTTCGAAAATATGATATTTAAAACTTTTAAATTTTTTAAATAGTTAACATTATGGAAGATAGTTATGCTAAGTTTCAAGGTTTTGAATAGATGACGTTAAGATATCCCAGTACTAGATACACATCAATTTACTAGATACACATCAATTACAAAAATTTAAAAAATTTTGGCCCTAAGGGTGGGGTACGACTGACTGTATGTTATAATTATTAAATTTATTTAAAATACAAATTTATGTATTTTTTCCTACAAAGGTATGCGAAACACTACACATTGGTTGCCCACTGCAAAAGAAAGTTATTTACAACATTATTCGGAAGAATTTCTTAGAGAACAATGGGCAGCATTGTGTGATGTTGTTGCTATGTAAAAAATGTTTAAATAATTATTTAAATTCTAATTAAATTTTTTTCAGAGTTTATAGAGACTTGGGTGGGCGTTTTCCTTCCGATCAAGTTTTGTCTTCACTTAAAATGCCTGTTCTAATAATTTATGGTGCTTTAGACCGATTTGTTTTGGATCCTAAATTAATGAGCAATAAAATAAAGAATGCTAGGTACTCCAAAAAATATTTTTTGAGAATTAAAATGGCAGTCCTACATAAAATCCCCTCTAAAAAATTTTGGTTAAAAAGTCAAATTTTTGGATATACAAATTTTTGCCCCTATCCAAAAAGATGGGCGAAATCGTTTTTTTCATTACCTGTAAGGAAAGGAAAATTGGAGACGGGTTGACAGACAAACCACGGACGGACATCAATTTCTAAAGCATTTCCGTCCGTCTGTCCGTGCCCATCTGTCTCCATTTTCCTTTTAATTTGTCCTTTCTTGCAGGAAATAAAAAAAACAATTCCGCCTTCTTTTGGATAGGGTCCAATTTTTAATCACAGTTTTGAAATACTTAAAAATTACACTTGGATTTCAGTCCTAATCACTTCACTTTGCCTACTAAAAATTTTATTTTTAAAGAGTAGAAGTTCACGCGCGAGGGGGCCACGACTTACATATTAAACATTCTCGATGGTTCGCACAGATTACAACAAATTTTGTCAAAGAGACAATTTCACCTTTAATTGCTAATAAAAATGGAGGAGTAAAAATTAAATAAAAAGGAATTTTTTCAGAAAAGTTTTGTTTTTTATAAAAATTAAAATGGCCTTTTACCTACAAAAACATTTAAATAGATTAATCAATTCTCTAACTTTACTACCTTTATTTGTGAATAAATAAATACAAACAAGTTTTTTTTGTTTTCTTTAATTTTTTAAATTTTCGTTCCGCTGTGTAATTGTGAAAATAAATAAATTTAAAGAAGAAATATTTTTTTATTACTTAATTAAAATAAGTAGTTTTTTGTTTTGTTTTGTTCTGTTTATCGCGATTCAAAATTAATTTCAATTTATTTGACAAATTAAAACACAAATTTAATGTTGATTTAATTTAAAATTTAAAAAATTAGAATTCATTTCAAAAATCAATTTAATTAACAAATATTTACTATCAAAAAATTTTAAAAACAATAAAAATCAAAAATTTAATAAAGAGGTACAGTAATTTTATTTAAATATTAATTTATTGTCGAGAATTTGGCATTGTGTCTTTTTTCTTTTTTTCTTTATTTCGTATATTTTTAAGTTTTATTTTTCTTTTTACATTTAAAAAAAATTTTTTTTGTTTATTTTTTCGTCTTCCTATTTTTTAAATAAACGTTAAATAATTTTTAAAGACTAATTAATTAATTTTAATTTTCTTCCAAATATTTTTATTGACTTTAATTTTATATTTTCTTCACTTTCTAAAAATGGACGTAAGTTTTACTCTTAAATTTATAAAAATAAGAACATTTTAGTTATCTCATATTGATCAACTTAATGATGAAAATAAACATCAACAAATCTATGAGCATTTGGCTAAAGTAAAGTTTAATTTAAAAACTCAATATCCTCCTTAATGAGAGATTGAATTTTTAAAAATTCTGTGCCCGGACTAATTTTGGACTTTTTATTTTTTGGTTGGAGTCTGAAATCTAAGAAACTAAGGAATACCTGAGGCTGGACTCTTATTGTTAGTAGAGAAAAGAATCCACAAGCCTTGTTCCCAAACATACTCTTTAGCAGCCTCGATTAAACCTTCAATTTCAGGTCGACGACACCAACATCCACTCGGATCCAGAAATTCTCTGGCGTTTTGGTTTAATTTCTAAATCTAAAATTTTCTGAAAATTCTTAAATTTCAGCTCGTTCTTGTTATTTTCTTTCTTTTCCATTGGACAATAAAGACCCAAAAAAGAAGCAATTACTAGATGAAGGTTATTTATATGCTGAGAAGGCATATCAACTTAAGAATGAAGACTTTGAGGTTATTAAGTGTTTTGCTGCTGTGACTGGAGCGAGAACTGACTTTTTGGGTACAAAAGAGAAGATTGAACAAGGGAATTTGTTTAAGGAATTGCTTGACAAGGCTTTGACTATGAATGCGGAGGAGTATACTGTTAAGGATTTTTTGGGGGGTTTTACTAATTTTTTGTTTTATTTTTTAGCTTTTGCATATGCGTGGCCGTTTTGCTTTTTCTGTTGCTAGTCTTACTTGGCTTGAACGTAAAGCGGCTGCTGCCTTCTATTCAAAACCTCCTGAAGCGACTTTTGAGGAGGCAATAGATGTAAGATTTAAAGTTTTAAGTAGAAGATTGAGGCCTTGAAGGAGGTACTGGGAATTGATTTTTCGAATCCATTAACGTTGGCTTCATTCTTACAATTAGCATGAAACCCACATTAAAGATGTAAAAATTTATTGGGAGCCTTTGTATCTTCAAATTAAATGTTTTACACTTTAAGGATTTTCTCGCTGTTTTGGCTCTTCAGCCGGACTGGTTAGACAATCTCTTCTTTTTGGGCAAAACTTATCTGCTCAAGAAAGATAAAGAGACTGCAATTAAATATCTTCAACGTGCTGTAGACGCTTACCAACAAAACGAGAATGAGCAAGAACCGAGTATGGTTACTGAAGCTAAAGCTCTTTTGAAGAAACATTACAAATAAGACAATTTAATTTAGTTTTAAAATGAAAATAAAATACCTACCTATATTTAATAGAATATTAGACTATATAGATTCTCATGTTTATAAGTTTTGTAAACATTTTTGATAAATTGATTTTTTAAATATTTTGTTGTTATTTTAAAAGTTATTTTGTCTTGATTTATTTTGTAATATGACTGAAATAAGGCTATAAATCTGGAATAGAGTACATCAAAACTCGTTAATTTTTTGCTTGAATAACCTTAGAAAATTTTAATTTTTAGACAATTTTTCAAAAACATACTACTACCATTTCTGATTTCCTATCTTGTGATGGCAACGGTTACTACTACAGGCGGAATGTCTCGTTTACGAATTTGGATGGTAAGGAAAATTTTGTAGTACAAGTGTTTTTACTTTGGATTTAAGGTCACTATAGTTTGTTGATTTTACGTGTCCAACGATCCAGATTTTTACTGGAAAAATCCTACCCTTACTTTGACTGTCGAAATCCTTTAGTTTTGTCGAACTCATTAATTTAACTCCACCTTTTTTAATTTAACTAATTAGAGCATTCCATTTATAGATGCCAGTTCCGGAAGGAGATATTTCTCACCACCAATTAGACAACTTTAACAACCTCAAACTTTGGAGCGACGACAGTCTTCAGGAAGATCCACGTCTTATGGTGCCTTTGGGATTCGACGAAGACCATCAACCAGTCGATCATCAACCGCGCAAATTATCATCGAGTATGAGCTCTTCGAGTGGATATAGTGGAAGTAGCGTGAACACATCTGCTGAAATTGCAAAGGAGAATTCTACTGTGGAAATGAAAATTGGGACTTGGAAGAAGCTGGTTTGAATTTAGAAAATTTTTTTAAAATATTTTTTAAATTAGCCTGAAAAGACTTGTGGGTTCTGCTACATTCAATATAAACGTCTTCGTCAAACTCTGGGCTTGCCATTTCCTCGTGCAACTGATCCTGGCTTTTGGGTTGGACACTATACTAAAGATGATGACGGGAATGTTGTGTATATATTTTTATTTTGAATAAAATTCTATTTTTATTAATTTTAAGTTGTCCTCAATTGCGTAAGCTGATGTGCCCTCTCTGCTTTGCTACTGGCAAAAAGGCGCACACTCTTAAGTTCTGTCCGCTGCAAAAGTGAAGATATTTAAATATAATGTTATATACCAAAAAACGCAAACCGGAACTGCCAAATTATTTCTACTTTTTTAAATCTCTCATTGCTCTCTTCTGGCAAGAAAACTCTCCTCTCTTATTTTTCTGATTTATTTTGGTATATTTTACTGATATTATATATTACCTCTATTTTTCTTAAAAAAACTTCTTACAAAAAAGATTGTACTTGATATATCCTATATCTCTCCGTATATTTTATAAAAGGGTGTAACAGAGAATTTTGGGACGAAATGTCACCTCAGAAAAAATTTTCGAAAAGAGAAAAGCATGATTTTAATTGCTTATGTCAGCCCTGTTTTTTGAAAAAAAATTTCTCTTGTTACACCCTTTTTCTCTAATATTATACTCTATTTATTTAGTAATATATTATTTAATATTGTTATGTGTGAGTTCTAAATATTTTAAATATTTACAAAAAAATGGCAAAATATTTTACATTCCAGTATTTATATATTCATAATATTATTATGGTTGTTATTTTGTATTTCCACAATTTTTACATTGCCAAAGAATAAAAATCCTGAAAAAAGTTCTTTAGTTTAAAAAGATTTGAATATCTCAAAAAAATTTTTTTTTTGGGTTTTACTAAATTTTTAATTATTTTTTAATAGAAAAATGTTTTCAACTAACGACCATTTGATTACTGTTAAAGAAATGATTAAAACTTGTGCATTTGATGTGCGTGATGAATGGCCAACAAATCCAGTTAATTATGCAAAAAGTTAGTTTTGTATGGATTTTGGAACGTTAATCTTTTTCCTGGCGTGTAGGGGCACCTTAAGTTTCCCTTTGGAACTATTAGATATGTTCAAGTCTTGTATCAGTCAATTATTTTTAAATCTAAAGCTTTACTCCCTTTTAATAGAGTTTCTTTAAAGGTGAGACAATTCAACGAGGGACCTTTGGAGTTATTCGTTTTGCTGAAGCAAGTGATTATTCATTTGGTTTGGATGGATTTGAAACTCGTACCTGTGTAATTAAAACAATTTATTTACAACGAATATTCGAAGACATTCTGAAAGATGATGAATTGGAAAATTCTCAAGGACAATTAGACATTCAAAAACATGTTGGGAATTTTAGTAAAAATGTTTCGCCAAAACTTTTTCATTTCTATCAACGGTTAATGATGGAAATGTTTGTTCTCAGCAGGTATTTTAATTTAATTTTTCTTTGTTTTGGGACTGTTCTGGAGTCGGAATTTGTGAAGAAATTAGCCTTCTCGTTTTCCCTAGTGGATTAATTAAGATATCTTTTTTAAGTTTCCATTAATTCAGACAGTAGCATAACCCTCAAATCCTAATTATACAAATTAACTTTAAAGGTGCCGACATGCCAATATTATGCATCTACACTCTGCATTTATATCTGACGGTGATTTGCATATTGTCCTTCCACGTCTTTATGTGCTCAAAGATATTGTTTTGATGTACAAACGATTGAGACAATCAGAGGTTTTTTTTAATAATTTTTAATTTTTATTTTCTAGCCTATTCCAATTTCAATAATTGCCAAAATTTTGCGTCAAATTTGTTTGGGACTGGATTTTTTGCAAAAAATTGGAATTATTCATAGAGATGTTCAACCCGAAAATATTTTTTTGACTCGGGGAGCTACTGTAAAACTTGGCCATTTTTCTCAATCTAAGGCACTATTTGAAGAAGTGAATGATGAAGACAATGAATTGCTTAGAGAATTGGGACAATGCAAAACGCCCGTTGGACGTGAGGAATTTATGTGTATCGAAAAGGTAATTACTAAGGTTTAGGTATTTCATCCTGAACTTCCCATTAATAACAAGGGAGTGTTTCAATCATCATATATTGGTTTTGGTTATTGGCGGTAGAGATATTTTGGGTCAGAAATGCACGGAGTCAAAATTTTACAATATTTTGGAATCATTAAGTTTTTTAATTTCGTGGTCCGGACCAGAAATTTGCAATAGGTTTTCGAGCATTCTCTGTACATTAGGACAATACATTTTATAATATTTTGGAAGCAGTTTGTGAAAAAGTCCTTGTCATTTGTTAGACTTGAAATTCATTTTTAATTCTTTTTAGCAATTAAATCTTGAATTATGGTGTGAACACCAACGTTCAGAAGCAGAATATAGCTATTCTGCCGATATGTGGTCTCTAGGTGTTTTAATTTTGCATATGGTTTCTTACTTCCCAGACGAGCAATGCCAAAAGTTACATAAAAATTTTGCTTTAATAATGCATGAAGAACAACTTCCTTTCATTTGGCTTACTGTTGATATGCTTCAATTACGTTCTCGTTTAGTTAAAAGTGGAGGAGAAGAATTAAAACTTTTTCTGAATGATCATCTTTTAACTGTTAATCCAAAACAGAGATCTTCAGCTTCGTCTCTTTTAAAAACTCAGGAAATGAAGAAATGGTGTTTGGCAAATGTGGAAGCTGATTCTGCTTTTCTACGTGCACATTTTATTAATGAAGTTGATTTTGCTAATCAAATGAAACTTGAGGCCGACTCGCCAAATTATGATGCTTTGGAAACTGTTGGTTTTTTTTGTTAAAAATAATTATTTCTCAAAGGGAAAACCTTCCATCATTTTAATCATAAAAAGTCAATTATGTTATTATTAGACCTACCTGTAGTTTATCGAATTTTCATAAGTATACTTTTAAACGGATGCCCTTAAACAAGTTACCTTCGTCTAGATTACCACAAGATTACCACACTAGGCTAATGTTAATCGGATATTTTTTGATTATTGATATATTTTTCAATTTTAGAAGGATATTCCAGCAGAATTTTATTGGGATGATCGTTGGAGACTTTTAGAGGAAACTGAATTATATTTTTTGTTAGTTATTCATTTACCTAATAGAGGACCTGTCTCAAAAGGGTTTCTTTTAATTTTATTTTTAAATAAAAAATATTTTTAAAGACAATTATTCAAATTTTCACATCCAGAACCTTTTTTTCGACTAATTTATTTGCAATTATTGTTAACTAATTTGGATTTTACTAATTTGTTGAAAATCGATTATGAAGTTAGGCAAACTCTTTGAATTTATTCGTCAATATTCGACAAATCTTGGACAAAATACAGCTATAACAAGTAAATATTTTAATTTGGTTTTAAAAAGGGAGGGGTTTGGTTGGGGTTTCGGAGAGATACCTTATTTTCTCTAATAGAGCGGCCGGCCGATCTATTTTTCAATCCCGTCTTAAAGGGCCGCTCTATTGGAGATGGCCGTTCAAATGGATGCAACCGCTCTATTAGAGAAAATATGGTACTTCAATAATTTAGATACTCTCGGTTTAAAGCATTTTCGACCCGAACAGTATTTTAGAGGGAAAAGTATTAGGCTGTCTAAATAGATAATTTGATCAAGAAGACTATTTAGTTTTTAATTAATTTTTTTAATTAGGAAGACAAATAGAATTGCCTTCAAAAGAAGAGAGGAATAATTGTTTAATAGAAATAGAGATAAGGACTGTTCCACAAACTGCGCGACGTTTAAGACTTTCTTCTATTTCGCCTTGAGATTTCTTAAAATTTAAAGAAAAATTAAATTATGTAGATGTTTTTTTGACTTTTTTAATTTCTATGGTAACTAATTAATTAAAAATAATTTTTTATTTTATTTATTCGTTAAAACGTAGTAGTATTATTTTTCTCATTAATAAAAATTTTTTAGATTACGAAAAATGATAAGTCATTATTTTTATAAATGGTTTTTTGTCTCTCGTAATTTGGCGAGTAAAATAAAAATATTTTTCACTATTACACCTTAATAATTTTATTTTTAATGAATTCTTGTTTTCTTTTTGTTTTTTGGTTGTTATGGCTGTACTAATACGTGTACAGAGTATTTTTGTTTATTTAATATTTAAAAAGTAAAAGATAAATTTCTTTCAATGAATAATTAAAAATTTGTTAATTTTTAATTTTATTTTGTTTTTAAATTGGGGGATACAATTTAGTGATTTTTAATAAGCAGAGGTGAAGTTAAAAAGGCGGTGAATCCAGTTACTATCGGTCAACTGTCCATCCCTCATTAATTTCTTTTCAACTTTCAGATAATTCTAGTATATTTATTTTGATTATTCTCTTTTAAAATGTCTGAATTATTTAAAGATATTGGTGTTTGCAAAAATCAGGACCATCAATTAATTAATGGAGGACAAGAGCTTGAGGTATTTTTAAATGTAAAATTTAATAAATTACTTTTTTAGGGAAAATTGACGGCAATTTATTTTTCTGCTCATTGGTGCCCTCCATGTAGAGCCTTCACTCCAGTACTTAAGGAATTCTATGATCAGGCAAAAGCTAGTGGTGAAAATTTTGAAATTGTTTTTGTTTCTTTTGATCGTTCTGAAGGGGATCTTAAAAATTATTTGGATGAATCGCATGGAAATTGGTTATATATTCCGTTTGGTAGCAGCAATATTAGGTTAGTTTTAAGAGAATTTTTGAGTGTTTTCTTAGCGGTCGAATCTTACTTAAAGATACCAACCAAATTAGAAAAAACTTTATAATTTTTCAGTGTTTTGGTCAAAAAGTATGACGTTAGCGGCGTTCCAGAACTTATTATTGTTAAATCGAATGGAGATATAATTACTCGAAATGGGAGAGCTGAAGTTCAGGTATCAAAAATTTTATTTAAATAATTTTAAACATAAATTTAGAGTAGTCAATCGGCGAAGGATGTTATTGCAAATTGGAAGGCAAAGGCTTAAAAGGAAGATTTTAATGATATAGGCAAATTAAAATAATTATTCTGGGAATATTTAATTCTTGTATTGTGAAATACATAAAAATAAAATCTTGAATATTTTTCTATAATTATTCGGAGATCCTCGATTTCTATTTTTGATTAAAAAAAAAATAAAAGTCATAATCATTCGAAAAGTTTATCCTTTAAATTTTAATAGTGAAAATATTGTGTAGAATTGTTTTTTTGAATGCTAAGGTAATGCCTAGAATTTTTTTTGTAAAAATAGTTTAACTCCACCGCAAACAAATCTGTTTGCTTACTCAATTTAGTCTGGTACAAAACAGGAAATGTCCAATTATTCTGATAGAAATCGATTTTTTCCTTTCATCTCCCACTAAAGAAAAATTTGTAATCCAATCGTCAGTTATAATTCTAGGCATTACCCCAACAATAAAAAAATTAACAATTATATTGTTAATTTAATTTACATATAAATTGATGTGAAAATTGTTTTAAAAAAGTTGACATTTTATTATAAAACTAATCTAAAATAACCTTTTTACTAAATTAAATGTAAGTTTAAACCTAAAAATATCTAAACTAAAAACTAAAAATAAAATGTCCAAAAATGTATTTATAAAAGAGGATACGTCTGAATTTAATCAAATGAACTGTTCAAAAGAAATTATATAAAAAACAGTCCAATTAATTTTTATAAAATAATGGGAGTTAGGCTGTTTTTGGACAAATCGTTTCTTTACTTTTAATTTTACTCCAAACCGAGCATAATATTCTTCAAATGAACCATTCAGGTTTGTGTTCCTCCACCGTCCTCTCCACCATAGACGTTCTCATCGCTATAGGCTATGTAGAGGAAGAGATCCTCTTCGTGATGATCCTTTAGAAATCAAGTAATTATTTACTCCAAAAATAAAACAAAAAACCTGATACAGTTGCCCCATGGTAGTCATCGTCTGTAAAATTGATATAAAATTTAAATACTTGAAACTATAAAAATAACCTGCGGTATAAGAGTGTTAACAAAGAAGAAAAGTGTTTCTTCTGGACGAAGATGAATCCTTAAAATAAAAAAAATATTTAATTTTATAGCAGTGTCAGGGAAGGAAAATTGGTTTGGCCTTTTGGAGGTGTACCAATTTTTATCACCTATTTCCCTTATTCATTAATAAACTGCGTGACGAGTTCGATGCTTGGGTCGAGGAACTAGGACACCATAAGAAAAGCTGTGCAGTCATCTATAATTTTTGATTTGCCTAACATAAACAAACATAAGAAAGAGAAGGTGACCTATTAGCAAAAGAAAATGAACTATGGGAAGAAGGCTAGAAGCCAAATTTCCTGTCCTAGTTATTAATTGACGTTAACTGTGAAATCTATATACGATTAAGTTTAAATAAAGGGAATAACACCGTTTAAAAAACGGTGAAACATCCAATAAACCAAATGTAAAAAAATAGCTAGAAAAATACCTTTTATGGATTAGGAAGTAGAATTGCCCAACAGTAAGCTCTGAAGGAACCAAGTACTTTTTCTTATCCAAATCACGTAAGCGAGACTTAGGCGCCTTAATTTAACATGATTTAAAAATATTTAAAAACCACAAACCTTCTCAACAATAACAGGAATCCGATCCGGATACTTACGTTTAATCTTCTCGCCCTCAGCACGGCGTTTCTCAAACTTATTCTCTTCTTTATAAGTCCAATTCATACTTTTAACCATTTTTTTCAAGTAAAGTTAAAAAAATTCGATTTAATGAGTAATCTATAAATCAAAAAATGTTTAAAACACGTTATTCTATAAAAAATAAATAAATAGAGGGACGCCGACTTTTACCAAATATCATATGGAAATAAAAATGAAAAGAAACATGAGAAACAACGAAGAAAAGAACAATCTAGCATGTTTTAATTTCTTTAATTCTTTTACTCTACACTATTTCTCTAATTCTTTTTAAACATTTCGCCAAAGATTAACATCTACCCGCAATTTTAAAAATATTATTTTTTCGGTAACCTCAATTGAGTCCCGGACCTTATAACTTATGAAGGGATGGTCACTTTTTGTTATTCTTTGTACCATTGGATAGGGCATTAAATAAGCTACAATATACCAAAAAATTAAAATTCCTGGCCGACTGGTAAAAAAGTTATGATCGATAAAGTGCCGAAAAATCAGATTTTTCGAAAAAGTTAGTTTTTAAATCATAACTTTTTTATCAATCGGTCAAAAATTATGATTTTTTGATATGTTATAGAGCTTTTGATTCTCTATCCAATGATACCAAGTACATGAAAAAGTGACCATTCCTTGCTAAGTTATAGGGCCGGGACTCAGTTGAACTGCTCCGTTATTTTTTATTTCAGCTGTTAAAAATTTCAAAAAATTCTTTTTAGTAATGGGTTGTTAGATAAATAATGAGCCCTTTTCGCATTTTTAGTCTTTTTTTATGTATAGGTATTCGAATTCTAGTTAAAATTGTTTTACATTTACTAGAATCGATAGTTCACACTTTTTTCTACTATTCTAGACGATTTAAACATTTAATTTTGATTTTTGCAATTTTTTAAAAATTTTTTAAAATTATTTCCTCAAAATCTGAAAAACGGACTGTTATTTTGTATTGCTTCAAACGCGGTCTAAGTACAACTCATGCCAAAAAAAGAAAATGCTCCTTGAAGGGCACAAGTTGGGCATCTTTTACAGTAATTAAGCGATGTTACAAAAAATTCCGTGATGGGGATATGGGCCTAGATGCCAAAATTCCCAAATTCGGCCTAAATTTTGGGTTTTACACTGGGAATTAACTTCTAAGGGCAATGGATTGACGGGCGAACTCTATATTACAATATCGGACAGAGTTCAGATTGCCTTTGATGGCTTAACTGCTTGTGCGGTTCGTTATGGTCAAGTTGACTTTCAACAGGAAAATGCACCCCCGCATCGCGCGAACGGAACTCGAGCCCACATCACGGAGACACTTGGATGGCAATTTTTATTTCATCCGCCTTATTCTCCGGATATTGCACCGTCTGATTACCACTTATTCCGTTCGATAAAAAATCATCTGCGAGATGTGAGGTTCCAAAACTGTGCTCAACTCTCAAATTGGGGTGACAACTTTCTTGATACCAAAAGTGCCACTAAATTTTATCAAATGGAAATTCAAAAACTGCCCAGCAAGTGGCAAAAAGTGCTAGATAATAATGGGCATTATATTGTTTCTTGATTTTATTTCATTAATTAGTTATAGTCGATTGTTTTATTTATGCGCAAAGGGCTCATTATTTATCTAACAACCCATTATATTTGTAGAATTATAATGGCCGAAACTGAGGATAAACAAATTGATGAGAAGATTACTTCAATAAAAAAGAAAAAATCTTATACAGTTGACTTTAAATTGGAAGTTGTTGAATTTGCTAAAAATCACAATGCTTCAGAAGCGTGCAGGCAATTTAATGTGGATAGAAGACGAATTCGTGATTGGACGCAACAAGCTGATAAACTTAAAGAATTAAGGTTTGCTGTTTTTTTAAATAATTTTCTTGAATGTTTTCATTGTTTTGGGGACTAACACTTCATTCCAGTCGATTGGATAATTCAGAGTAGATTGGAATGACGTAATTGACGACTGGACTTGAAGTCCTTCCCTTAAGTTCATTGAATTTTTCAACCTAGGTACCAAAAAATCCCTCGAAAACACACTTTAAATGTATATTTACATCAACCACTTATTAGTCACTGCCAAAATATAATTTACAATTTTAGAAATTCAACTCCATTACATATTCAAAAGCGTCGATTAACGGGAGCTGGGCGTCATATCCACAACGTAGAATTTGAAAAAAATTTACTAGAATGGATTAAAGAAAAACAATTAAAAGGAGAAAAACTTTCTCGAAGAATAATTAAAATGCAAGCAAGCCAAATGTCTTCAAATTATCCCGAATGTTTTGAGGTTAAAATTTTATTTTTTAAACATGAAAAAATTTTTTAAAGGCAAGCGAAGGTTGGCTGCAAAAATTTTTAAAAAGAAATAATATTTCTTGCCAAAATCCAAGTCCTACTGCAAATCAAGAAACTAAAGAATATGAAAAAGAGCTTTTTGATTTTGCCTTGTATTTACAGGAATTTATTAAAAACGAAAATTTAAATGTAAAATAAAAAGGAATTTTTGATTAAAAAATTGATCTTTTCATTTTTTAAATTTGATTCGGTTTATTTCACACGGCGAAATTAAATCAGTATTTTTCCAGTTTCAGAAAAAGCGGGACCTTTTAATTTCTGAAATTGGGAAGTAGAGATCGGTATTTTCAAATATTTTCAAAAATCCTGAATCTGGATTTAGGTTAGTAACCTGGACAGGATTCTTGATCTGGATCCAGGTAAAATCCAGGACGATCAAAAAATGCCTGGATCTTGACTCTGGATCCAGACCGTCTCTATTGGGGATTTAGCTTTGAAATATAACTTGGTACCTTTTTATTATTAAAACGCTTCTTAATTTCCTCCTTTTTCTAAAATAAAGACAAATTTATTCTATATACCGAATGACAATAAATTACAATAATAACTATGGGGCAATTTTAATTAAAAAATTTTTTAAAGAAAGAAATATTAAGTGAATATTTTAGGAAATAAAAGGCACAAACCGAGGCATTAAATAAAATTCTTTTTTCTTTCATTCATTCATTTCCAAGGATATAAAGGAGAATGACAACTCAATTCTAAATGAATAATTCTCTTTCTAGTATCAAGTTTACTCATTTTTTCCATCTGTTCGTCATTTAACATAAATCTAATAATTCTTATATTTTCATTCATTCTAGCCTCATTTGAAGATTTTGGAATAACTGAAAGTCCTTTTTGAATTAAATAATGTAATGCAATTTGGGCATTTGTCTGAAAAATAGAAAAATGTTTTTTTTTTGTTTTAATTGTTAATAAAATACTAAAGGACCCACAGAATTAGATAACCCCAAAATTTGGTGTTCTTATTTTCTTGGCCACTGGATAGAAGTGCACACATAAAAGTGCCCTCTCTATACACATTAGCCCACACCACGGTATCTGTTAAGTCAAAACTTTATAAAATTTAAAACCTGTCCAAGTTCATCAGCAATTTTCTTAATAACTGGATCATTAAAAACAGAAGGATAATCACTCTTTCGAAAAGGATTTTCATTTGACGAGGCAAGAGGACAAGAGGCAACAACATTAATTCCATTGACTTTACAAAATTTAAATAATTCGTCTTGTTGGAAATAAACATGAATTTCTGTCTAAAAGAATTTTTTTTAATAAAAATAATTTTCTGATAATTTTTGAGGACATAACCCTTAAGAAAATGAAAGATATTTCCCCATTCTCGGTAAAAAATAAAAATACGATCTCCGAAAAATTAAAGATGTGAATTCACATCCATGCCAATTTCTATCTTAAAATAGCGGAGGAATTCTCTTGAGCAATAAAGGCTCCTTATAACAGGACTGTCTCTGCAACCGCAAATTGCAGCTGCGCGGATATCCCTTATAGCTTAAATAACCTAAATCTATTGAAAAAATAAAATGTCAAAAAAAACCTGTAAAACAGCTGGGCGTATTCTACAATTACTAATAACTTTTTGTATTTGTTTAGTATTAAAATTAGACAATCCAATTGACCGCACTTTTTCTTTAAAAACAGCTTCTTCCAAAGCCCCCCAAGTTTCCATAAAATCAACATCTGACAACAAAATTTTATTATCAACTTTTGGAAATAAATCTTCTCCTTCTTTATAACCCATTGGCCAATGAATTAAACAAAGATCCAAATAACTTTAGAAAAATTTAAAGAAATTATAAAAAGTCCCTTACTCAATTCCCAATTCATTCAAAATCATGTCAATATTTTTCAAAGCCCTTTTGTGACTATGAAAAGTATTCCAAACTTTGCTTGTAATAAACAATTCTTCTCTCTAAAATTTATTTGAAAAAATATCTACTATTCGGTTATCTCCCCCATTTTCTTCTTTTTTAAAAAATGAGCAAATAATGGTCAAAGGCATCTATGACGATAAGTACCGAGCTCTACTTTATAGAATCTTTAAAGCGGTATTGTGTGTGTGTACCAGAATTCTGAGTGGGTAGAGAGAAATTCTCATAGAAATTGGCTCTTATACAAAGGATCTGGGCAAAAAAACCGAACGGGCAAAAAGAAGGTGAAAAATAGAGCTAGAAATTTTGAAAAACCGGGACCGGGAACCGGGTTCAAAAAATGACTGGGCGGGAACGGGAAAACCCGTTCCCGGTTTCATCCCTGTATCTTTAAAAAACCCGGGAAAACGGACCCGGAAACTGGGTCCCGGACCGTTCCTAGCTCTAGTGAAAAACCGGTTCCTGTTTTTTTTCATTTTTGCCCCGGTCTTTTGTACAGACACGTAAAAATTTTATGAAAATAAGTTAACCGAGGAGAATATGGGAGGGAGATAATCAGATAATACAAAAAAAATATTTAAAATAACCTTAACAATTCCTTCTTGAAAAACTTCATTTAAAGCCTTCCCAATTTCCCTCTGATTTCCATAAACAAAAGCACAATCAAAATGTCGATACCCACATTTAATAGCATTTTTAATTATATTTCCGACATTTTCTGGTTTTAAAAGCCAAGTTCCAAATCCAATTCTAGGCATTTTATGAAGAGAATTTAATTCAACACTTGGCACAAAAACTGGTGTTTCGTCCCCCATTCTAAACTAATAAAATAAATTTAAGGGGTTAATTACAGGTAAAAAATTAAAACCTAAAAAAGAAAGAAAAATCATAAAAAGGTAAATTTAGACAATTATGACATTTTTATATTTTGAGATTCTGAAAAAAAAAATCAAGATTTATTACTGTAATTGATATTTTGCAAAAAATTGATATTTGAAAATTTTAGCACTTCCCTTCAAATAGCCTTGATTTCTTATAGGAAGGTTACCCTACTGATTTCGGGACCTGCGGCCACTGGGTCTTGGATTATGCCCTATCGAAGATATCAGTAGTGGTTATTTTTCTCACAGCAATCTATATATGCCCGTCCCGATATTCTCTCTACCAAATATTAAATAGCTTCATGCTGGTCGAGTAAATAGAGTCTTTATGTAATCTTTCATTTAATTATTAATTAAATTATATAGTCTTGGCTATAATCTCCTACATTATATCTCCAAATATTTTTATTTAAAATTTTTTTCTTTTAATATTTTTTTCAATTTTTATTCGTTTGAGTTTTCTATTTGTTAATTTTTTCCTTCATTAGAAATTAAAAGAGCACAGAATTGGATAATTAATGCTTAAATACTTGGATTTAAAAAATACATATTTTTTTACGTTCATAATAGGAAAACTATAAAATATGCGTGTTGGTGTTCGGTGCCTAGCAACGTGTCCGGTTAACTCATCTACTCGTTAACTCATCTACACGGCCAAAAACGTTCAACTCATCTAAACGGCTAAAATTCCTTAACTCATCTACACGGCCAAAAAGGGATCAACTCATCTAATCGTTAACTCATCTAATCGTTAACTCATCTACACGGCCAAAAAGGGTTAACTCATCTAATCGTTAACTCATCTAATCCTTAACTCATCTACACGGCCAAAAAGGGTCAACTCATCCAATCCGAAACGAGACTATTGAGTAACGGCCGTTTGAGTCTTTGGCCGTCTGAGTCTTTGGCCGTCTGAGTCTCCGGCCGTCTGAGTCTCTGGCCGTTTGAGTCTCTGGCCGTTTGAGTCTCTGGCCGTTTGAGTGGTAAGTTGAGTCCATGGGTAAGTTGAGTCCATGACCAGTTGAGTTCATGGGCAGTTGAGTCCATGACCAGTTGAGTCCATGGGCAGTTGAGTCCATGACCAGTTGAGTCCATGACCAGTTGAGTCCATGGGCAGTTGAGTCCATGACCAGTTGAGTCCATGACCAGTTGAGTCCATGACCAGTTGAGTCCATGGCCAGTTGAGTCCATGACCAGTTGAGTCCATGACCAGTTGAGTCCATGGGCAGTTGAGTCCATGACCAGTTGAGTCCATGACCAGTTGAGTCCATGGCCAGTTGAGTCCATGACCAGTTGAGTCCATGACCAGTTGAGTCCATGGCCAGTTGAGTCCATGGCCAGTTGAGTCCATGACCAGTTGAGTCTCAACCGGCGGTACTCTACTGGCCATGGACTCAAACGGCCGGTACTCAATAGTCTAGTTCCGAAGGATTGGATGAGTTGACCCTTTTTGGCCGTGTAGATGAGTTAAGGATTAGATGAGTTAACGATTAGATGAGTTAACCCTTTTTGGCCGTGTAGATGAGTTAAGGATTAGATGAGTTAACGATTAGATGAGTTAACCCTTTTTGGCCGAGTAGATGAGTTAACGAATAGATGAGTTAACGATTAGATGAGTTGTATAGGAGCCGCCTAGCAACCATAAAAAAAGAAAAAAAAATATTGAGAAGACAATAAAAATTTTATTATTTCGTTTTTCTCTTCTTTTTTGACATTAAAAAATTAAAAAAATTAAAAAAAAATGGCTGCAAAATCAGTAAAAGTTGCTGAAATATCAAAAACTACAGCAAATAAAGAACAAAAACAAAAATCAACAGAAACAACAAAACAACGAAGTAGTAATACACAACAGAAAAAGCAACAACAAATTCGTTCAAAACAACAAATTGCTGGAAGTAGTGAAAGTAGTTGTGAAAGTTTTTCTGACAATATTAAAAATAATTTTGATGGAAAGGAAGGCATTGGATTTAAATTGTAAATAATAAATAAATATATTTGAGGAATTTTTGTAGGAAGAGGAAGAAAATGATTTTTAGAATTCGTTAAAAAAAAACTCGAAAAATTGGATACTTCTCACATTACAAGATCTCTTAATTTGGTGTTCTTGGGTGTTATAGTTATATCTGAGGAATTCATTTATCACATAGAAATAGGGTACACCCCGTTCCCCGAAAACCCGACCCCCGGCGAATTTTTAAGCAAAAACACCGACCCGAACCCCTAAGGCTCCGGGTGCTACCCTACTTAGAAAGGTATGTATCAATAAGACAGAAATTAAAATTAGTTATTAACTCTCTTGTAATTAACGCTCTCTGTATTATCTCTTATTATTATTTTTTAATTAGAAATTGGATGAATTTGCGAGATGCTGAGAGCGGTAAAATATTATGGCAAAGCACCGAGGATTTAGCTAATCCTAATTTCGAACATAAAGGTATTGCCTAAATATGGAAAATAATTAAACAAAAATTTTTAGCCAAAATTCCCAAAAATATTTTAAAATGTAAATCTGTCTCTCGAGAAATTAATTTTACGTCGGAAAGAAAAATTGAAAAATTTCGATTGGAACAACGTGTATTCCTTAATAATCGAGCAATTGAAGAATGGTATTTTGATTTTGGATTTGGTTAGGGATTTTTATTGATGAAGATAATTTAAATTTTTTTATTAGTTATTCCACAATCAACTAATACTTGGCAGGTAAATAAATTATAATTACAATTTAATCCTTAACTGGAATACTATAAAATATCTCTTTGGAGTTGGATTGACCTCATATATCCTATAATGAGAGCTAGTCTAAATTGGGGTATTGTTAGGTCGCTTAAGCTATTCGCTCTTCCCTAATAACCAAATTTAACTTAAATTGAAGTGAACGAGTCTTAGAAGTGAAACGAGATGAGACAATGTTGCGTTTTACAATTAATGGGGGTTATTTGTAAAAAACAACAATTTAGTAGGGATTTGTTCACATCGACTCAAAAATTTGATTTTTCAAAATTTCCTAACATTAACATCCTAAAAACTTTCAAAATCAAACCAGAATTCTTTTTCAAATTTCTAGACCTTAATAGAAGCAGCCCCCGAAGGACAAATGTTACCTGCTTCCTTACTAAGGTAATAAAAACATAATTTTAAAAATAAATATATGCTACTTCAGTGGCAATATTGTAATCGAAACAAGCTTTTTTGACGATGACTTTTTGGTTTCTACATCCCGTGTTCGTCTTTATTATGAATAAATAAATATGACCGAGTGATGTAATAAATATTATTTTGATATTAACTAATTCATTATGGGGTTTGAAACTCATTAAATACTTTAAAATTCTACAAAAACCCAAAATCATTTTATTCCATTCTTTTTATGTATAAAGTTTTCACTTGTCTTAATTAATAACTTAAGAGACATATCACAATCTCTTTCCTCATTTGTAATTTTTCGAATTTTTATTAAAATAAAAAAATTCCCTAAAATTTTTAAATAAAATTTACCAAAAAATAACAGCTTTAAAAATATTGAGCCGGACCTCACTAAAAAGATAACCTAGAAAAAATCCTAAATCGAGTGTATCACCATTGTGAATGATTAGCTCTCCTACGCCAACCAAATTTAAAATCGTTACATAGACTCAAGTTCAATCTTTAATCTGATATTGAGTAAGGTCTGACTGTATAGCCAAAATTTATTTGTTTCCTACTAATCTTTCTGGCCTCAAATCTTCAATTTCGTCATTGTCTTTCTCTTCAAAATCAATTAAAGGCGTCGTTCTTTCTTTGGCATCAGCTTCTATTTTTTCTCTTTGAACCTCTTCAACTGATTTCAGGCCATATTCACGAAGAATTTTTGTTGTTTCTTGTTCAGCGCTTAAAATGAAGAGTTTCTAATTTTTTGAAAAATTAAAGTAAAAGAGACAAAATTCATATAAAGGATTTTCAGATTCTTCAAAGTTTATGAGGACTCCCTCTTACCAGGCTCTAAAAAATCGATCGGTTCTACGGTCCCGGCTACTAGCAGATCCAGATTATCGGCCTTTCAAGAATTCCAATTCTGGGCGGTTCTAAAAGACTGAATCAGGACCGCAGTAAATAATAACATAAACTCACCATCCAACTCTCAATATTTTAAATTGCCCTGGCAAAGAGAGATCAATCACTGTACTTCCCAAACGAGACATATTGTTCTCTAGAATCGTTCCTCCATCAATTATCATATCAATATCGTCCCATAAATCTTGAAAATCCTTTAAATTAAAAGATTTTTTTAAATTAAATCCTTATATTTACCTCAATTTTAATTGGATTTAAATCTGTTCCACTAACATTTGCACTCGTTTGAGCAATCAAACGGTAAGGTAAAAATCGACAGATATCACGAACAAAACGAGCTTGAGGAACTCTGAATCCAATAGATTGAATGCCAATATTAAAATTTGAAGGAAGTTTTTGGGAACGATTGAAGACTAAAGTAACTGGACCGGGCAATAAACTTTTAATAATTCCATTGGGGACTGTTCTTTCAGCATAACTAAAAATTAGAAAACGATAAAGTTGAATTTAAATGAACAAAAAAGTGAACATGGACCGAACCAAATAGTCTAAGATTTTAGGATAACCAAAAAATTTGTTGTTACCGACATCCCTATTTTGAGAAAGGATGAATGTAGAGGGAAAACTCTTAAAATAGTTAATTGCTGCCTCCTTTGTCAGGTAACATTAACTGGACGTTGTTTTTAAAGAATTCCAATAACACTTAAGCCAATGTAAAATTAGAATATTTTTAAAAAAATATATACTTAAAAACATCCTCTCCTTCATTAACAAAAATCCCCAAAGGCTTTCCTTTTGGCCTCCTTTTTAATTTATAAAGTCTATCCGCATTTTCTGCCAAAGTACAAAGACCATATAAAGTATCTGTAGGAACAGCAATAACACCTCCACTTTTTAAACATTCAACAGCCCCATGCACAGCTTTAAACCATTCGGCATTGCCTAAAGAAATTTTTTTTATCAAAATTAAAAAAATCTTTCCTTACTTTCCGGATCCAACTTAACAATATTTGAACCAGTCCCCATTCTTTTCCTTTTTAATCTTAATCTTTCCAATTTGTAAATACTTTTTAAATCAACCAAGTATTGTATTGAACGTTTAAGCATTATTTGAAGGAAAAAATAAAATAAATTTATTTAATTCTCTCACATCAAATAAAAAATTTTCTAAAAAAATTTTTTTTGAAAATTAATTTTAAAATTAAAAAAAATATTTTTTGGTATTAAACAAAAAAGGGTAAAACAAAAGATTAAATAATTAAAATTTATTATATTAAATATTTTGCTAAATTAATTAATAATTTTGCGATTAAAATTAAAAAAATATATTAAATGTATAAATAATATTGGGATAAGTCACACAATAAGTACTTAATTAAAAAATATTTTTTAATATTAAAAAAATTTATAATTAGGGAATGGAATTTTTAGGTAATAAAATATTTAAAAAGTAGAGGTGTCCAAGACTAAAGATCATTCCTTTTCAAGACATTGTTTTAGATTTCCCAAGATTCAAAAACATATGTATCTCAAAAACATTGTATGAAGGTCTCTACTTAAAATTAATTTACCTAAAAATCCCTTTTTTACAATTAAATATTTAAAAAATATCATTTAAAAATAAAAAAATAACAATTTTAAAAGCACCAATATTTCAAGCAAACGCAAGATTTTTAATTTAATTCAACGATTGACTAATTCAACATAATTAGCTGGAAATAATCCATGTTGTCCTTTACACCATCCTCGCCACCAACCAACATCAATCTTAAAAAGGATATATTTCAAATTTATTTTTTTAAATTTAATAATAAAAAATATACACTTACTTGCTCAATGTCCGTAATCAAATCGTTTATATCAAAACCTAAAAAAATAAATTAAGAATTAAGTATAATTAAAAAGATTTTTTAGGGAAGTCTAATAACTCAAATTATGATTTTTCCATAAATATTTTTGATATCAATTGCTCACATATTCTTTGTTTTGTTGAAAATTTATAGAATTTGATACCTTTGGTAAACCTTTGGTTTTCCCTTAGATTCTCTGAGATTCTCATCCTCGTAACCAACCTCCATTATCATTCCACACTAAATTTCTAAATCAAAAAATTACCAATTTCATCATCATCTTGTTTATCATATTCATAAATAGCTTTAGCAGTCAATCCTCTAGTTGGGGTAGGATCTGTTGGAGGATTCTGTTCCAAATATTGTTGAGATGTATTATTTGTTTCTTGAATTGGTTCATTTTCTTCCAAATTTGGCGGCAATTCATATTGATGATTAACAGGTGGAGAATGTTCAACAGGCTAGAATAATTATAAAATTTATTTAAAAATTTTGAGATCAGGCCTTTTTAGATGATAGTGAACAATTTAAATAATAATATTAGACTAATTGTAAGTAAACTTCAAATTGGTACCACTACAAACTCCAACATGCATATTAACTAACTCACCCAGGAAGATTTCGTTTGTTACCTTCAACGTCGCCAGGGACTGTTTACTAGACCTCTGGTTTTCCATTAAAATAACGCTCCTTTACACCGCTAATTTTTGACGACCTGCCATACCCCAAATAAACTTTGTTGGAAAGTGTTACCCCACCCCCCTTGTAGCCCTGAGTCTGCTCTATCAGATTAACATCATTTCACTTTAAAAATTTTTTTACGGGAAGGGTACTTGAAAGAAGACGCTAAGGTCGAGACTGCGGTGGGGAAGACAGTGCTTCAGAAATGGGGTCAGATTTTTTTAAAAGGGGTAACCATGAACTTCTTTTTTGTTTTAAAAATGTTGTTAAGACTCGGGGCAATTATTTAGTTCAGTTAGATTTTTTATTTGTTTGATTTTGTTAGTGATTTATCGATTTTTCTTAAAAAATTTCTTTGTGGAAAAAAACGAACTTTTTTATGAAACGACCTAGTAGTTCAAACCAGACGTGGGCGAAACGTTTCGTTTCGTTTCGTTGTTTCGTTAGTTTCGTTATGTTTTTTCCTGTTTCGTCTCGTTTCGTGACGAAACACTTTTTAATTTGTTTCGTTTCGTTTTGTTAACGAAACACCTGTGTTTCGTTAACGAAACATTACCTATTTTTTAAGCCAAAATATACCCCAAAAACTAAAAAAATTTCCCCTTTGGTGATAAAAATTCAAAAAATTTTCGCCTGCGGCGCTGAAAAAGGAAGAAATCTGGCTTATTGGCCTTCAAACTTTTCAAAATTTTCGCCGGCGGCGCAGAAAATGAAAGAAATCTGGCTTAAGTACACCTACTCACTGATGACCTATTGACCCTGAAAACTTACAAACTTTTGATCAACACCATTTTTTGCTTATATCTCTTTACAAGTTTAATCAGTCGATCTGTGGGATTAACGGAGCTAATGAGGGGTACAGAGTTGACCCCCTTTTTAATTATCTTTAGAGCCCGTACTGTGAGTATCCGCAGATTAATCTTTTTGCATATTTTTGAGGGAAGGACCTTGGCTTAATAATCGATTACTCATTCGGTAATGCGACGATTTCGACCAATCCCGATCCTGTGTCGGGATCTGTATCACCATTCCAAAATCCAGATCCCGGTTTTTATATAAATCCCGATACCGCTGAACTCTAGATTTAAGTGAGATTAAGAGAAAAATTGGCTAATGTGACCACAATTTACCACAATTTCTGGTCCACATAATTTTACGATCACTTATATGTCATAATTGGCCAATTAATATGCTTAAAATTGTGTAGTTAATAAAATAATCCAGATTTTTGAGATTTTTTTCGAAATTAAAATGTTTCGTTTTGTTTCGTTTCGTTAAATTTTGACTGTTTCGTTTCGTTTTGTTAACGAAACGATTTTTAAAAATTTTTGTTTCGTTTCGTTTCGTCCGAAAAAAATTTGAAGTTTCGCCCAGGTCTGGTTCAAACCCATCAAACGGTTAAAGAATTTTCTCTCGCCTTAATATTCTTTAGATAATTTTTTATAAGTCTAAGAATTCAATTTAGCTCTAATTTATCCCTAAATTTTACAAATAAAAACAAACTGTTATATCGACTTCAGGCAGATTCTCTTGAACCACATTCTGATGTTCTTTCTCTTTTTCATTATCTAAATTTGTAGATTTTCTTTTATGTGATTCAGAAAGCAATGCGTGGGCTGTAGCAGATGCCCCATGAATTGCAGTAGGCAAAACCTTAAAAAAGAGAAAAACTATTTAATTTAATTATTAGACCTGAACAGGCTGATCTTCAGGTAGTGGTTGTTCAGTTGGTGGTTGCTCAGTAGGCTCATCTTTTAAAGGTGTTGTAGTGTCTACATGACCATAAGGAAGTCGAACACCTGTCAGGAATTTTCTTTTAATTAAAAGAAAAATCTTAAAGAACCAATTGAAGTATGCAATTTATTATGTTGCTGTACTGTTTTTTTAGGTAATTCCTCAATTACTTGCTCTTTTCCTTCTGTGTCGGCCCATTGCTTCTCCAATTTCTCTTGACGTTTTTGTTCATCTTCAGCTTGTTTTTTACGCAATTCCTCATCCTCTCGCTTACGTTTTTCTCTCTCCTCGCGTACCTTATCCGCGCTCTAAAATAATTGTTTTTAATATCTTAATCAAGAATAAACCTGATTTTTATTTTGTAAGGCTAGATTTTCAAATTTTGAGCGTAAATTGCCAAGACGTGGAACTAAAGAAGAAAATTGAAATGGAGAAATATGCAAACCTGTTTGTTGCGTTTCATCATTTTGAGTATTTATTTTATCATTAGATATAGCCCCAAAGCCCTTCTTGTAATCTAAAGAAGCAATAAATAAAAACAAACAAGTTTAGACATTCAACCTGTTTGACTTTCATGTTTAGGCACCTTTTCATGTTCTTCCCAACCAGCAGCTGATTTATCTTTCCGATCGGTTTGAACTCCAAATTGGCCACCAAAACCCTTTTTGTAGTCTTTTAAAGATGAATATGAAATCGTCTGGAAATTTGATATTTATGTACCTGTTTGACTTTCATGTTTAGATAATTGACCGTGCTCTTCCCAACCAGCCGCTGAGGCATCTTTTCTATCAGTTTGTACTCCAAATTTCCCTCCAAATCCTGCTTTATAATCTATAAAGAAATAATTTTTAAAATTCAAATAAACGATTTTTACACCTGTCTGGCTCACGTGCTTTGCGGTTTGTTCACGATGTTCCCAACCCAGGGCAGATTTATCCTGACGATCTTGTTGCAGACCAAACTGACCACCAAACCCCTTTTTGTAGTCTAAAACGTCAAAACTCATTTAAAATAAATTTTTGTCATAGAAACCTTTTTGACTTTCATGCTTCTGTAATTGCTCATGATCTTCCCAACCGGCAGCTGACTTGTCCTTTCGATCAGACTGAACGCCAAATTGTCCACCAAACCCCTTTTTGTAGTCTAAATTAGAGAAATATGAAAGAAAATAAAAAACAAAAAACCTTTCTGGCTTTCATGTTGCTGCAACTGTTCACGACTATCCCAACCAAGAGCAGATTTATCAACTCGGTCTGCTTCAACACCAAATGTACCTCCAAAACCACGTGAATAATCCTTCTGCGATGGATGCGGTTCTACTTTTCCTTTGTAATCGAAACCGGCGGCACACTAAAAAAAAAGAATTATAAAACAAAAAACCAATTCATTAACCTTATCAATTCTGTCAGTCTCCACGCCAAACTTTCCTCCATATCCTTGACTTGGTTTTGGCATAAGTTCCAATTTCTTTTGCTGAATAATGATTGAGTTTATCTACTCCAAAATTTAACCAACCTTATTTTTCTCATCATTTTCAAGGACTTCGTTCCTCAACATATCCAACTTTATAGAATCTTGATGACCCGAGCCTTCCACAGTTTTTGATCCCCAACGACTCTCCTTCTCACTTAAATCATTCTAAATTTTGTGGATTTAAAAATAATAATTTCTAAAAAAAACTATGAAGGTTGGGTCTGTTTCCCAATCATCATCTGCACCAGTTAAAGTTTCTGGTTTTGGTGGTGGAGCTGGTTTTGTTCCAATTGATGGCATTGTTAGATATTTAAGTATTTATGAAACCTAAAAAAATCAGATTGTGTTTGGGCGTTTTTATTTTTCCAGACATTTAATTCCAAAACGCTACAAAATTTTTAAAAATAATGCAAAATTTAATGCATTCTGTCTAATGACAGGCAAAATTGTGTTCGCAGGTTCCCACATGCGGAACTTTTTCTAAAAAAATTTTGCGGGACGGGATCCCGCGTAAGTGCTGGATTGCGAGATACTTGGCAGGTAAATAAATATGTAAAAATATAATTTAATGTCTTTAATTGGGTACAGCCCAAGTAGGCGCGGGCCAAGTAGGCGCGACCGAGTAGGCGCGACCGAGTAGGCGCAGGCCAAGTAGGCGCAAGGCCAAGTAGGCGCACGGCCAAGTAGGCGCAAGGGCAAATTTCTTAAATTTTACCCAACAATTTTTTTGTTAATCTTTAAGTAATTTTGTTAATTTAGCTGAATAATCAAGCAACTTTATGTAGACACTTTATTAAGTAAAGCTCGGTGATATTTTTATTTTTTGATAAAATTTAAGAAAGATCTTTTCTTTTAATATTTTTCTCATAAAGTCTTCATACTTAGCTGTTGATAAGTTTTGGAGGGTTTACTGATTAAGTTTGTTAATTATGAAAGCCGCGCTGCTTTGATAATTCCTGTGGCTTACCAACGTCATGAATACTTAACCTGTACTAAATAGTTAGTCTCCTTTAGGAACTAACTAGTTTAAGGAAACATGGAGTGTATACGAACGTACAATCAACAATCAAGATATGAAAAAAACTTCTTCAAGGATTTCACAAAAAGTCCAGCTATAGTTAGGAGTCTTTGGATGATTAGAAGCTTTTAATGGATTAAAAAAATAAATATACACTTTTGAACTACTTAGTTAATGCACAAATTTAGGGTGTAAAACTATGTGATGCACAGTACGTTCTTCCAGTTTTCCAGCCTTTCTTCCAATTTTTATCAAGAATCTTTCTTCTATATTATGTTTACATAAATAGTGTTTATTTATGCTGATTTACTTAGTTTGAATATTTTAAGTTTGAATATTTTAAACTAAAACATTTGCGCCTACTTGGCCGTGCGCCTACTTGGCCTTGCGCCTACTTGGCCTGCGCCTACTCGGTCGCGCCTACTCGGTCGCGCCTACTTGGCCCGCGCCTACTCGGGCGTGTCCCTCTTTAATTATTTTGATCTAAGAACAAAACCGGAATTTTTGAAATTTTTTGCAAAAAATTAACCGTTTTTAGAAAATTTTCAAAACCGAAAACCGGAAATTTGTGTTAATTGAAAATTCCCCCAAGACAAAACCGGTATTTGCCTAAAACTCAAAACTGAAAACAAGGGGTACCGGTTAATAACAGGTCGTCAACAACCCTAGTGTTGTTGGGTAGGGTTGTTGGCGACCCAGCAACAATGTTTTACTCCATTCTTTTTATTCATTAATGTGGGTTGATTGTACAGTACTAGTAGGGGTTTGTTTGAATCAATAACTTAAGCGATCTAACAATCGCAATCTCTGGCAATCCCGGAGAATAGGGGTTTCTTCGAAAAAAAAGTTTAAAAATAAGGAAAAGGATTTTTCTAGGATAAAAAAATGTGCTGATTACGAATATGAACTCGGATTTTGAAAAAGTCGTACCCAGACCCGAATATAGGTCCTACAAAATCGAAAAACCATAGGGGGGACCAAGCTGATTCTGGGGTGAAAAATTCGAATATTCAAATAATAGCTCATTCGAAAGAGCTCGACGAGCTGAGTCGAATGACACCAAAATTACCGTGATTGAAAAAGATCTGTCGAAGTTATGACACAAAAAACAAACAACGTAAACCTATATTTTTGTGTTGTAACTTTGTCTGTTCTTATTCAATCACGGTGATTTTGGTGTCATTCGACTCAGCTCGTCGAGCTCTTTCGAAAGAGCTATTATTTGACCAATTTGCGCTCTGTGAAATTTTCCTCAAAATGTCGAATGTCCGAATTCGGGTTCAGGATTCGACTTTTTCAAAATCCGAGCTCGAATTCGTAATCAGCATATTTTTTTACCCTAGAAAAATCCTTTTTCTTATTTTTAAACTTTTTATTCGAAGAAACCCCTATTCTCCGGGATTGCCCAATCTCTTTCCTCATTTGTAATTTTCTCAAATTTTATTAAAATTAAAAAATTCCCTAAGATAAAATTTTTAAATACAATTTACCAAGAAATAACAATTTCAAAAATATTGAGTCGGACCTCACTAAAAAGATACTCTTGAAAAAAATTATCCTAAATCGAGTATATCACCATTGTGAGTGAATATCTCATGTTAGCTCTCCCCCACCAAACAAATTTAAAAATCGTAACTTAAATTGAGGTCTATCTGATAGAGATATACCAGAATGATATACGACATAACGGTCAAAAATATTATCGATCGATTACTCAAGTTCAATCCCTAATCTGATATTGGGTAAGGTCCGACTGTATGAACAAAATTTATGTTTTCTACTAATCTTTCTGGTCCTAAATCTTCAATTTCGTCATTGTCTTTCTCTTCAAAATCAATTAAAGGTGTCGTTCTATCTTTGGCATCAGCTTCTATTTTTTCTTTTTGAACTTCTTCAACTGATTTCAGGCCATATTCACGTAGAATTTTGTTGTTTCTTGTTCAGCGATTAAATGATTCTAATTTTTGGAAAAATCAAAGTAAAAGATAAAAAAAACCTTTTAGACTTTCATGTTTCTGTAATTGCTCATTATCTTCCCAACCAGCAGCTGACTTGTCTTTTCGATCAGACTGAACGCCAAATTGTCCACCAAATCCCTTTTTGTAGTCTAAATTAAAGAAATATGAAAGAAAAAAGGGTAATTTTCAATTTCGTTCCCCCCCTCCTTTTTACTTACTCAAATTATGAAAAAATGGTCAGACTTTTCTTTTTTCCTCAATTACACTCTTCTTCCCCATGGCATACAATCAGTCAAAAAGGATTACCTTTTTTAAATTTGTTTGTATAAATATAAGAACTGAGAAAGAAAAGCGTCACATTTTTAAAAATGGAGAAACTAAAAAATTTCAAAGATTCCCATCTACATGAAAAATTGTGTTTGAGTGACAAAGATTTCGATTTATGGCTTGTAGAGCTTGGACTACTTCACGGAAAACGAACTTGTTATAAATGTGGGGGCCGAACTACCATTCATCAAATTAGAGATAGACGTTATGGCAGCTGGCGCTGTACAAAAAAAGATGCCGTGCAGAAAAAGGTTATTTATGCGGCACCTTTTTCGAAGGCACTCACTTAACAACAAAACAAATCTTTCATCTTTCTTTTTTTGTGGGCTTATCGCTTAGGCAAGTAAAATTTAATCCTTTTTGACTGATTGTATGCCATGGGGAAGAAGAGTGTAATTGAGGAAAAAAGAAAAGTCTGACCATTTTTTCATAATTTGAGTAAGTAAAAAGGAGGGGGGAACGAAATTGAAAATTACCGAAAAATGAAAATCAAAAAAACCTTTCTGACTTTCATGTTGCTGCAACTGCTCGCGACTGTCCCAACCAAGAGCAAATTTATCAACTGGGTCTGCTTCAACACCAAATGTACCTCCAAAACCAAGTGAATAATCCTTCTGCGATGGATGCGGCTCTACTTTTCCTTTGTAATCAAAACACGCGGCACACTAAAAAAGAAATATAAAACAAAAAAACCAATTCATTAACCTTATCAATTCTGTCAGTCTCCACGCCAAACTTTCCTCCATAGCCTTGACTTGGTTTTGGCATAAGTTCCAATTTCTTTTGCTGAATAATGATTGAGTTTATCTACTCCAAAAATTTAATCAACCTTATTATTCTCATCATTTTCAAGGAATCCGTTCCTCAAAATATCCAACTTTATGGAATCTTGATGACCTGAGCCTTCTACAGTTTTTGATCCCATAGTCTGGGATTGATATTTCTAAAAATGGTTAATGAAAATGACATTTTAGAGGTTTAATTTCCCAAAGTTTGAGGTACTTTTTGAAAAAATACATGTATAAACATGTATTTATATATTAGGTTTAATTACCCAAGTTAAGGTTTAAAAATATGATAAAAATTAAGGAGGGGCAAGGATTTCTAATCAAACCGTCAATCTTTCAGCTGCTAATTCGGTTCTGCTTTTTTTGAACATATGTCGAAGTTCGCCCTTTTTTCTTTTACAATCTTTATACAGAATCTTTAAATGGGGAGCTGGCATAAGGATAAAAAAATTAAAATGAAGTATGAATGAAGAAAAATCTCAAAAATGGACAACTCAATAAACGAAAAATAAAACAAAATGCCAAAAAAGCTAGATGAAGCGTAAATTTAAATTAACTGTTTAGGGACCGCCGGTTTGTAGCGGAATTGGCTCTCACTTTTTCTAATTTCTTAGAAAATTTTTTGGATTTTGAATATTTTTTAATAAAACATGGATAGAATATTAAGTTATTTTTGTATTCCTTTACTGTCAATTTTTCTGTATATTCTCGTTCAATTCTGCCTCAAATCTGATGATTATAATTTGTGTGATATGACATTTATGTGGCGAAGAATGCAATACATGGTATTTTTAAAATCATTTTAATTTCATTTTTTCTAAATTTTTTAGAAAATTAATGTAGAACATGAGAGATATTTTTTATTTCTTTATGGCGAAGGGATTTATGCTGAGAATTTTAGGTTCTTTTAAATTTAATTTTTAATCATTTCTCTTATTTTTGTAGACAAACTAATTTTCTAAATGGTTTTCCTATTTTATTTGTCCCTGGGAATGCTGGTTCTGGCCGTCAAGTTCGATCACTTGGTTCACTTTTGCAAAACAAAACTGAGGATAGAATGTCTAACTTTCATTTTGATGTTTTTGCTGTTGACTTTAATGAAGTGTAACTTTTTTAAAAATATTTTTAAATTTATTTTAAATAATTTTTAGGAATTAACTGCTTATAATTTTGACTCTATTATTTCTCAAGCAAATTTTTTGGTCAAAGCTGTCAATTCAATCCAAGTTTTGTACAAACAAAAGCCGGTAATTATTACTTTCATTTTTTTCTAGGGGCTTGTCTTTTTGGATTTTATTTTCTGGGTTCAGGACCTATTACACACGTGTCTGTGAACCTCCGTTGGCGTCAATCCCTAATGCCTTAAGTTCAGAAAAATAAAAGCAAAGCCCCAGAGAATAAATGAAAGTCCAAGGAAAAAATGATTCGGAGATGAAAACTTATTTATTACTCAAAAGGTTCAAAAAATTTTAATTGTTGGCCATTCTATGGGTGGTATTGTTATTCAATATGCAATGATGCTTGAAGATTTTGTTGCGGAAAGAGTTGCTTTTATTATTGGGTTTGCTGTTCCTTATTCTGAACCACGTAAATTTATTTTTATAATTTAAAATTTAAGAATTTGTATGATTTGTCAAATTCTAGGGGGCTTAAGGCCGTTTCAATATAAATATTAAAAAATAGTTCTTGTAATTTTTTTTATTTTTCCAGCTTTTTATTTTGACAAGCGTTTTTTCTCTTTTTACCATCAATTAAATAATAACAAATCTCTCAATTTACCAAAAATTATTTCAATAAATGGAGGCATTAAAGATGAATTTATTGACGAAGATTGGACAAATGCTCCTTTTTTGGCTTTACATTCATCTACAAATTCTTTAGATCGTGTAGGGCTTGATATGGACCATAAATGTATTTTGTGGTGTAATCAACTTGTTCGGTTTTTTTAATTTTTTTAAATAAAAATTATTTTTAGACATACTTCACGTATTTTATTTGATTATGCTTCAAATCCTGACCTTTTTATTAAGAAATTTAATGAATATTTATATAAACATTACCATCTTTCAAAAAATGATTTTGGTTCTCAACTAATTAATGAGGTATGATTTTTTAAATTTTTGAACCCAAATTGTAATTAATCTGTCTATCTAGCTCCTTCTTTTAATTTCAATCTAAAATTGGAATTTTAACAAAGTTTAGTAAAAATTTTGGTTTTGGCCAATTTAAACAAAACTATAAAAATTTGAAAAATTTATTCTTTTTAATTGAAAAAATTATCAGTAATTCCTTAATCAAAGAATATTTAAAAAATTCAATTAGGGAAAAGCCACATATGTATGTTCTTTTATTTCGGCTTTTTATTGATAAAAAATTACTAAAAACTAATACAAATTTTGAAAATTAGCTCAAAATTTATGTTTTGTCAAAACAATTGTGTTTAATTAAAATTTATTTTCTAAATTTAGGAGGATTATACTCGACTGTACAATACTAACGGAAAATTTAATGATCATTTTTTATTTATTCTTTCAAAAAATCAAAAACAATCTCTTTTGGCAATTAATGGTTGTGAATATAATAATTTAATAAATAATCGTTATTTGTCTACAAAATATATATTTTCTTTGGCACAAATTGGAAATTGTTCAAATAATGCTTTTTTAAAAATAAATTTAAAAACAAAATTTTGGGTATAAAAATTTTAAATTTTTTTAAAATTATTTTTATTTTTTAGTTTTTCAATCAAAATACTGTTAAACAAATTCCAATTAATTTAAATTTATTTAAAATTCTTTTTAATTGGCCAAAAATTAAAATTTTTAAAAATATGGATGAGGAAATGTCACTTTATCAAATTCCTCTAAATTTTACTTTTTCTGAAGCTGACTTTTTTATTTACAATGTTGAAATTGTTATGAATAAATGTAAAACAGGTCTGATTTTAAAAATAATTTTTTCTATCAAAAAAAACTAATTAAAATATGAAATTGGGGTTAAAAAAGTTTGGAAGGGCTAAAACATTTTTACTTCGTTTTTGTAAGGCTAAGTCTTTTTGAAAGCGACCTATTTCATTTTTAATTCCCAAATTATTCACATATTTCTTCTGACTTTATACCTAAACCTATTATTACTTTGAAGTCTTGTCCAGAGCCGTTTCGAAATTTTTGATTTTCCTAATATATTTTTGGGCAGGGCCGGACGTTGGGCTCCGTTGATTGGGCGAACCCAATCAACGGAGCGCGTCCGCCCGGTTAATTAAACAAAAACCTCTCCTTTAAAACGTTTATTAATTTAAATAAATAAAATACAAAAAGAAATGCGCCGGTCGGGGAGAGGACCCGGCCAAAAACAAGATCCAAAACTGAGAGCGTTTGGCCTGGGTCCTCTCCCCTTTTATTGACAAAATTGGGGGCGGGAAATGATAATAAGTAATTTCATGACATTCCACAGCGGGGGGGCCTCCTGGTGATTCCTGGTTCATCTGGACGAAGTAAAGAGTGTTGTGAAGGTTTAATTTCTTTTGATTGGCATTCTGTCGATAGAGCCCCATTTTTTTTTTTCAATACTTAATCTTTGAATTTCAATTTTCTGGCGTTCCAATGATTGCATATCAATCGGTGGAGTTTCTGTTATATTAGATATCCCATGAAAGAAAAGTGCCCAAAATGTGCTCGGTTAATGTTTTTGAATCCGCGCCCATTTTCTTAAAATTATGCGTATTTTTGGCGTACTTTTGGCATTCCGTATTTTTGTGACATTTGATCCTTGTAGTTATTTTTTTGCATTTTCTTCATTCTCTTCAATTTTTAAATTTTTTTTTTTTTATTTTCCTTTTAATTTTTCTTTTTTCCCATTTCTGCCCTCTTTATTGATTTTAACCCATTTTGGCTTCTCCCCTTTTTTTTACTGCACAACTTTCCATCCCCTTTTTGATTCTCCTTCTCCCCTTTTTCACTGTTTATCTTTCCTTTCTTTTTATTTTCTAGTCATTCTCGAATCCCCTTCTTCTAGTCACATCCTCCCTTCTAGTCCTTCTCAATTTCTAGTCATCTTCTTTCTTTTCTAGTCGCCTGTTTATTTTTATTCATTTTCCATTTCCAGTTTCTGTTTATTCCATTCCTCCACCTGCGCTTAAATTATTTTTAATCCCAAAATTTTGTTTATTTTCCTTTTGTATAATTTTTGTCCGCTTTCGTTCTTTTTCCAAAAAATTTTTATTTCCAAATTTTTGCTTTTTGTTCTATGGGTAAAAGGGAAGGGCTATAGCTATTTCTCTCCTTTGGCTAGTGTTTTATTTTTAATAATTTTTGTTCGCGCGGCGCACGTGTTCAATTTCAATCGTCAACTTTCTGTAGCTTCTTTTGATTTCCCTTTTGTTAATTTTTGTGTTTTTAGTCAATGTTTTGGGTGGGTGTTCCTTTGGTCCTTGTTTGTTCCTCCCATTCCTTGGCCCTTCTTAAGCTGGTCCTTTCATTCCCAAAATTTCTGTTTTAATTGCCAACTCCTCTGAGCCTATCGATGGTAATTTTAATTTAAATTGTGAATTGAATTCTCCTTCAGGTACTTTCTCGCTTTTTCCCCTGGCTGATGTTTTTTATGGTGCTTCATGTTGTTGTTGTTGCCGAAGGCTCCCCCGCATTTGGTAAATAATAATAATAATTGGGGATAAAATATTATGGGGTAACAATATAATGGGTTACCCCCGAGAAAGATTTTAACGGATAACTAAAACATTGGCTAAAAGCTTACTTCCTCTCCCGGGGGTGTTAGTCGGTGCGGAAAAAAGGGGGTGTATTGGCACATTTAAATTTGTATGTTTTCAACAATTATTTTTAACTAATCCCATCACCCAAGAATTATTTTTCCCCTTTAACAATATTCTTTTTTTTACATATCCCATCACCACATATTCCTTTCCCTTCCTCACTCACGGTCCTCTCCCTTGCTTCCTTTCTGTTTCTCCCACTTGTCTCGACC